TAACCCGCACAACCCGACGCTAACCCGACGCTAACCCAACAAAACCCGCTAACCTGAAACCTGAAAACATCGGACCCGACGTTTTTGACATCAGACTTGTAATTATACCTTCGGACTTTGTTTCCCACGCTTCAGACTATCTTCCTTTTGATATAACTAATTATTCTAAATCCAACAGCAAGCCCCTCGGGTCGAACGCACTTGTCTTGCAAGTATAGCAGACTAGGCTGTGCACGACCACAACATTTTTATATTGCTGGCTACTTACTTCGTGTAGTGCCCAGCAATTGTTGTATCTCTACAACGGTGTGGGTACAACAATTCAGATGGTGTATACTGAACAATGTGTTGGGTCTTGCAGAACCTAGCTGCTATTCGACCCTAAAGGGTTTCTGGACCAGGCTCAAGGCTCAGAGGAGAGGAAATATGATAGAAAACAGCTGAAGACTCAGACTCATAGTGGAACTGGTGAAAAGCTAACTTGATTATGTAAGCTACAAAAGTGCAAACATAACACTAAGGTAAGAACAGTCTCTACAAGCCTAGCCAGGAATCAGTTCCTACAACGGGTCCATAGTGGCACTAGTGACATGACGACAGTCCTTATACATCTTGAGAGGACAGACCTGTAATAGCGAGAGAGCCTATATCATTAAAGGCCCAAGTCAGCTATTAAATGCCGCAGAACCAATTAGAGCACTCACAGCATGCTTGTACTCATCAAAGGCATCAATGGAGACTTGGCATCATCGACTCACACATACCAACCTCGATGCTGTGAAGAAGCTGTATGCAAAGGACATGGTCAGAGGCATGGATGTTTCCGGGTCAACAGCTCATGAAACAGACATATGCAAGGCATGCCTCAAGGGCAAACAATCCCGGAAACCAATTCCAGATGAATCCAAAGTCGAAAATCCTCGCATTCTCCACAGAACATACTCAGACATCTGCGGTCCAATGGAAACAGCTGTGCGCACGGGTATCATTATTTCATAACATTTATTGATGCCTATTCACACCACGTCGTCATCAAGCTGCTGAAAACAAAGGATGAAGCACTTGGACTCACAAAGACATATATTGAGCATGCAGAGCTTGAAACTGGCGAACATGCAAATGTCTTTCAAAGTGATGGAGGGGGAGAATATGGTTCAAGCCAGTTCCTGAAATACCTTGAGTCAAAAAGTATACATCACGAAAAAACGAACACTTATACCCCTCAAGAGAATGGTGTGGCAGAGCGAATGAATTGCACGCTAGTCGAAAGTGCACGGGCCATGTTGAATGATGCAGAATTACCAAAGACGTACTGGGGTGATGCTATCTTGTATGCAGCACACGTTCTCAACAGGGTACTGACTCGTGCCTTGAAGGAGAATATGACTCCTTATGAAGTCTACACTGAGAACAAGCCATTAGTTGCACACCTAAGAGTCTTTGGTTGCAAAGCACATGCGCACATACCGGATGAACGACGCCAAAAGCTCGATGCAAAGTCCATTGAGTGTGTTCATCTAGGATATGCCAAGCATTGGAAGGCATACATCTGCCTGCAGAGGTCAAGTGGGCAGATATTGGAGTCTAGGGACGTAGTGTTCGATGAAGGGGACTGCAGAGGGTCAAGCCGAGTGAAGATAACTGTTGATGATACTGAAAATTGCCAAGTCAGTCAACAGCAAACACAATCAAAGCCAAATACCCTACTGGCAGATCCAGATTCAAATGAAACAGGACAAACGCACATCAAGGAGGTTGCAGATGTAGAAAATGAAGACACCCCACAAGCCTTTGAAGAACCAGCAGTCTCTACAACTAGTCAGCATGAAACTAGTTCTCAGCAACTGCGATGCACCTCAGCAAGACGTCGCATGATGACAGCAGGTCCTCCAGTTCCATATCCACATCCTGTTCCCCCATGCAAAGCCAGACAATCAAACCACTTATGAAAGAAACCAGTCCCTGACAATGATCCTCGTTATTTTGTCAATGCATACAAGAAATCAACTGTTACGCTGACCGTCGGTCGGCATGTGCGAACTAGGATAGGTCTTCTCAGCGACGACTTGAGTGAGTCTACTGAAGCTGAGCGTGGTCTAGCCTTGACGGAACGTCAAGGATTCCTCCGGCGATCTCGGTAAGACGGCGCTCGTCGAGATGCAGGGCTAGCGGATACGTGCTAAGTCGTATGGGGGCGACTTAGAAGTGCGGTCTCACACAAGGAAGCTGGTAAGGCTTAGATGAGCAAGTTCTGGGATGAACCTAGTAGATTAAAGTAAAGTCTAAGTACAATAATCTGTGTCTACTTATAGGGAAGTACTACAAGTATTCTAGCTCAGTCTGTAATCAATAGTATATCGTAAATCTATGATAGCCAGACATGAGGTTCAGATAAGATACATGAGGCTTAACCTCTGATCAAGCATGCTGCGCCAAGGGCAGCTGCGCATAGGTACAGGAAGCGCCGAGAGCGCTCCGGATCTTCATGAAGCGACATGCGTTATGCATGCGCTGATCTAGGGTGACCATGAGGCGTACAGCCCTCATGGATCAGGCACAAGGCCATCTAGGCCAGGGGCGGGTCATAGCGCCAGGGGCGGGGTCACAGCGGTCCAGACCGCTATCTTTCTAGGCGCAGGCGGCGCACCGCCGCGCGGGGAGTCTAGCAGAGCGGGGGCAGGTGTAGGCAGAGCTGGGGCTCTTGTAGGTGTTACAGATGCCTGTAACATCAACACTCAAAACTCACTGAGAAGACACCATCGAGGATGAAGAAGAGAAGGGTGCTGTCATGGATGAGTATGAGAGTGAGAAGGAGCTTGCGGATGAAGAACATGCTTACCACACTGTAAAGAGTTGATTCTGTGTGGGCTCTACAAAGTGTTCCCTTCAGAACTCAATGTGCGAGTGATATGCTCGTCCCAAAGAGACTGCCTATAGAAATACTCCTTGATATAATGCAAGGGATATCTTGTTAAGATCGAGGATGAGAGAAAGGAAAGTTACCAAGAGCACGCTCGATGTTCCGAGGATGTGTCCGAAGTACCAAAGTACTCGTCCGAAGTGGTCCGAAGGTGGTCCGACATCAAGAAACGAAGGTCTGAGGTTGCACGAAGCGTCCGAAGAGCTTCCGATGAACAGCGAGTGTTCCGAGAGAAGTACGGCAGGTGTATCGAAGTATAAGACTCGCGAAGTAAAACTAAGCAAAGTCTATCGGAAAGAACTTAGAGACAGCGAGAAGCGAAATGGCAGTGGTCAAGCCAAACAATCGTTCCGAATGAACAAAGATCAATTGCGCGAAGTACGACTATCTGAAAGTGACTCTACTAACTATGACTTGTAGCAGGGAAAGTGAAGTGTAGTGCGAGTAGCTAGCGAGGCAGATTATATCCTACAGCGTGAATGTCTGGAAACTGCATAGGCGAAACCAGTAGCAAGATAAGACATCCAAAATGTAATAAGACTCGAGGCGAGCCGCTACAGAGATATGCATGTAATAAGGTGCAAGGTGTGTTGTTATACATGTAACCGACAGGCCGACAACATATGTGCCCCTAGACATAATCAATAACAGATAACCAAGTGAAAAACACACCAGCGAAGTCAAACAGACACAGATGGGACATGGTACGGAGGATCGGAACTGTATACAGGCCTCAGGAATGGACAGATGACCTTCGGATGACTCGGACAAGTGCGCGGAACTCTCAGAAGGTAAATGGAGTGTCGAGGAATATGTATGTGGGATACCTATGGGTTTGGCAGGATATGAGCCCAACACCGATCCGAGTGCTACAACGTGGAGATGGCCGAAGATCCTAAGACATTCGAAGAATCAGTGAACTGGCCGGATGTGGACCTATGGCAAGCAGCCATGCTAGAAGAGCTGAGAGTCTTTGAGAAGATCGGCTTATATGAGGAAGTTGAGAGACCAAAGGGACGGAAAGTCGTTGATTCTAAGTGGGTATACAAGGTCAAACGGGGACCTACCGGCGAAATAGACAAGTATAAGGCCCAGTTGGTTGCTAAAGGCTTTACCCAAGTCGAAGGGATCGACTATACCAAAACCTTCGCACCGGTCACAAAGTTCTTGACCATCCAGATCCTCCTAGCATTAGCAGCGAAGCTTGACCTTGAAATCCATCAGATGGATGTAAAGTCAGCATTCCTCAATGGTGAGCTAGACGAGGAGACATACCTAGAGTTGCCCCCAGGTTCTCATGGCTCACAGGACCAAGTCTGGAAGCTCAAACAAGTGTTATATGGTCTAAAACAGGTGCACATGGCCTGGTACAAACGACTCCAGACTGTATTCAAGGGACTCGGCTATATGCAATGTGAATCTAAGCACAGCATATTCTACAAGGTCAAGGACAAAAAATTCATCATAGTCGCAGTATATGTCGACGATAAGATGATTTTTTCAAATGATCTGAAACTCATAAATCAGCTGAAGATGGAGTTAGAAGATGAGTATGATCTAACAGACCTTGGAGAAGCATGATGGATTCTGGGCATGGAGATCATTAGGGACCAGAAGGAGAGGACAATTCACCTTGTTGAGCGTTCCCAGAAGTTCAGAAATGGTTGATGAGTTGCTTGAATACTCGAAGTCCAGTAGAATTAAATGTAATTTTTTCCTATGTCTAGAAGTCTGAGTCAAAGATGAGAAATTGTTTGTGAGGGAATGAGAATTCAGATGGATAGTGGGAGATGGAGAATGTAATTGGTCTGATGAGGACATTGTAGCTATTGTCGAAGTTACTCCAGAAATTACCGAATATACTCAATACTCCAATCAATACTGCATATTGAGTAGCATGCAGTGCCCTTCATGTGGAAAGTGCTTTCCAAATGACAAAATTGTTCTATGAAATCTAAATCAACCTACCTCACAATGTTTCAGTTGGAATGATAACTTGATTTACTTCTCAGGACCACCAGTGCAACCCCAAGAACCTCAAGCCTCACTGCCAGAAGATGAAATGGACGATGCATAGATGATGGAAGACCATCCCGGGCCAGAAGATGGGGATACTGGTGTAAAGGCTGATGATGGGGAAGAAGTGGTGGTTTATGTTGGTGTGGCAAAGACCTGGGGTAGAGGAACCATGTTCATGAAGCAGTTCAAGTCTGACACTTACACTGAGGAGAGGGTGAGCAATCCATATTTTCCATTCACTGGAAAACCAGACTGGGAGATGGCAGCATTCCTTCTTCAGTCAGACTCAGCATGGCAGACATTGATGAGTTCCTCAAGCTTGAATTTGTGAGTCTATTTGTGTTGCATGTAAGAATGTCTGAACTCAGGTAAAATTAGAACAGAAAACTACCACTTTTATTTCACTCTTTGAGAGAGCTCAGAGGACGTGCTGAAATGCTGCCATCTCCACCTCAACAATGATGAAGACCCTCCGGATATTTTACCGGGATCAAATCAAGTGCCTTCAGTCACTTCTTAGCCACCTCATGTTGGCTGATAGTTTTGATTTCATCCCACACAAAGTCTATGTTGAGGCAGAACATGCCATTCGTGTTGACTATGGTTTCATGACTGGTGATCATGCTTGGGAACCTCAGGTACATTCAACTCTCAACTTCTTCAGCAAAGCTAACCAATAATACAGGAAGATTTGCCTGATGGCATGACCCTACTTGGTGTGGTCCTCTCCTCAGACAAGACCAAGGTCAGCAACCTCGCTGGCAACTGCTATGCCCATCCGCTCCTCATCACTCTCGCCAATATCAACCCTGATGTATGTGCTAAAGGATCCCTCCAGGCATAGGGTTTAAAAGTCCGGTTAAGTCTGGTCTTTTGACCAATTTTCAAAAGACCGGACCCAAACCAGTCTGCCCAAACTCAACCTTGTACTACAACCTGGACCGAACTCTTAGAAACCGGTCGAGTGCAGTAGCAATGAGGTTCGCAGTTGGTTGCAGATGCAACCAGTCTGTAATTGCATAGGACTGGTTAGGACCACTCTGGAAGTCTGGTCGGTAAGTGTACTCGCACTTATATTTGTGTATTTGACTGATTATTTCATTTAGACACATTATTCTATGTATCCTACACTTGCAAGAATCGCTATGGACATCTGTGCAATTCCTGCATCATCTGTACCCTAGTAGTCTGTATTATCCAAGTCATGTTCATTTGCATAGGTAAATATTTGTGTTTCACGCAACTGGTCCTGGTATAGACCAGTTGCAGTCGACTTTTCATCAGTCTGATGTTAGACGTCAAACGAGGCAACTGGCAACTGCAAGATGTCAAATTAAGGGAAACCAAGACCAAAAATTTGGTCTTGAAAAGTTGTGGTACAGTTTGGTCTGCGGTCTTTGACTGGTTGCGCAACTGGACTTTTAAACCCTATCCAGGCATACATCAGGCAATTGACCACAGTATGACAAAGACTTAGCTAGCTTTACCTGATGAATAATATTGAAAATATACATCATAATTGCAGATCAAATGATAAAGGAATAGATAGGTAGACTACAGTGGCAGTATCTTCCAAATGCAACATATTGGCAGACTTATTGGGATCCACTAGCATAATGTTATGTGTTTGTCATATATATATGGAGACAACAAAGAGTTACCTAGTGATAGCAAGCTGCTGATTTGTCACCAAACATGCTTGGGTTTATATAGGTAGGTTCCGATGGCAGAGTCCACAACCACCGACAGTATGCCAGGAGGTGACAAAGAATTACCTAGTGATAGCAAGCTGCTGACTTGTCAGCAAACATGCCTGGGTTTATATAGATAGGTTCTGATGGCAGAATCTACAACCACCGACAATGTGCCAGGAGGTGACAAAGAGTTATCTAGTGATAGCAAGCTGCTGACTTGTCACCAAACATGCCTGGGTTTATATAGGCAGGTTCCGATGGCATAGTCCACAACCACCAACAATGTGCCAGGGGTGATAAAGAGTTATCAGTCAAAAGCAAGTTAGTGCCATCTTGCCTTGCCTATACCCCTGTCACAGTATGAAGATTCCCATGTTATAAAATGAGTGATCCATCTTCATGCACACAGTATTGCATCGAATAACACCGAATATTCATTAATTACATTACTAGGGTTCACAAGCATTTGCAGTACAGTACATTTACGAGACACAATGAACTAATTAATAGTACTAGCGGCTCGTTCTCGAAGGGCAGCACATTTTTCCCGAATTTTCGCCAGTGCACTATTTTTGCTGATACTGCGCTGTGAGGAGGAAGAATTAGGAAAAATTCGACTACACATGATATTAGCTTGAAGCTTGAGATTGATGGAATACATTACGAACCGAGTCCACCAAGTCATCAAATCACCTACTTCAGCACTTTCATCAGGATCCTCCAATAGGTCAAGAATGCTATGGTAGAAGTTTTCGGAATCCATGACTGTATCGGTACGTGAGAATACAGACGAGGAACTTAACGAAAACCGAATCTTGAGGAATAATCAATAACAGATACATAAGAGGTGAAATTCGTACACACCTGCATGGCAATATATGCGAGGGAACCTTTAGTTGCGGATTTCATTCCATGGAGGTATGCGTTGCCGGAGCGTGTGGCTTTGGGCTCCTTATCCACTGAGCTTGGAGACATGAATACATGTTTGAAGCCCTATCAAGAGAAATCGTTGCAAAGTGAGAGTTTTATCACAAATGGAATGGACTCACGGAGACGAGTATCTCGCTTCTCAGTAAGCCCCCCCACGGATCTTCGGAATCATAAACATAGCCAGCATATAGAAACATGGGCCACTGGTCACCACGGACTGCGGTTTCACCGCTCTTGAGACTTTGCTTGGTTCTGGATAGCATCATGACATTTAGTTTGTGGAATAGTGGGTCTTCAGACTTACTCTGCATTCGACCAGTCGAGGCCTGCGGGGCAGAGCAACGCACCAGTGATATCATGATTGAACCCCCGGTCGGACTTGATGTTTCGGGAGAGAGGTGGTATGACTGCCTGACCTCTGGGCACAAGCCATTCGAGGACAGCAGATTTGAGGGTCTTAGTGTCATCCCCTCGAGCACCAGAGGCCCCTTTACCTAACTGCAAAAGTGAGCACTGTAATCTTCCAACATACAAAAACTAACTTACCAGTTCTCCTACGTGGATAACATTTTCCTCTTCGTCACTCGTCAGACAATCCATAAGACCAGGATAAGAATCTACGAGTTCCATAAATACCCTATGTTCCTGCCAAACGCTAACGTTGACAGTATGTTAAGTTCTGGCAGCATATAAGTGCAACTGAACTCACTCAGCTGGGAAATCCTCTATGGGTGAGTCCTGCAATTCTTTGAGCCAGAGGATACCTGCTGTCAGGAGCGCAGGATAGTTGCATAGTGCAATAACTGTACGACCAAAATGTCGACCATGCAGAACAAGTGGATTTGACGAAGTCCTGGTCAGGAAAAGTTAGGAATGCAAGGATTCACTACTGACAGAACACGTATGCCTTTTTACGTGGACCCATATGAAGCGCTGAGCCACTGCGCTTGTGCGATGGTTCACTAGGAGAGGGATTATTTTCATCGTTACTCATACCAAACTGTACAAGGTGGTTCTGATACCACAGAAAATGAGACACTTTATAAGTCTGAAGACCAACAGTACGTGATGACAACAAACTCACCGACTGAGCGCCATCGATATCGTAATACTAAAATTCTCGTCATCCGTTCGCCATCGATATCGTAATACTAAAATCCTCGTCGTTTGAGCACCATCGATTTCATAATAAGAAATGGACTCACCGTTCGAGGAATATAAATATTGGAGTGCATGATCATCGCAAAGAGCTACATCACAGGCACTATAGCAAAAACGATCAGTGTCCTCACGCGCAGCAGTGAACATTTACACCTTCCATGGCCAGCTCACCCTCTCTGAAGAGATACATCAACGTTAGAAATGATGCAACACCAGAGTACGTTCTTCCAAGTCAGTGTCAGGAGGGTGATATTAAACTAATCAATTTACCTCAAGTTCCTCAGTGTGAACACCAAGGAGATCTAATGCAGATCACCGACAAAGATACAGACAAGCAAGATCTAAGCTACATCAAGTTAGAGAACAGCTCAAGGACGCGGAAAGAACTGCTGCGTACCTTTTGGACAAGGTGCATATGCATATGTACAGGTATAGGTGGCTTGAAGAGTACTACCACGCAGAAAATCTTGAGCACCATATGCCCCATGACATTCACGTGCCTGAGGTTCCCTGGCAGATCCCAAGAGGTGCTTCTTCTCCCTGCTTCTCTCCATATGTAGGGTGGGAAGATATAGGTTCAGAATGGGGAGAGCATAGTGATGGACATGATATTTGAGTTTACGTATATCTCACATATCTAAGGATGAAACAGTTTGACTCCATATACGTGCCACACCTAAGCTCCACCTCCTGTCAGTGCGCTTCACAGTCTACTGTATGCAGACCAGTATTTGTCAATGACATTTTCGTATGTTATATATAAATGATGGTAATTGGGATACTTGAGATAGGTACAACAAAAAAAAGCCAGAAGCGAGTCCAGAGTCCAGAATTTTTTATTGTTGCATGAGGATTGGCATGTGAAGTCGTGTTAGTGATGTGAAGAGAGACAGCAGCCTGTGCTTGCGAAGATCGGGCTTGAGCCGCACCATTCCGTAGCATTGCTATTGGGAGGGCAAACGGTGCTTGTGGCAGGGTTCCTGGGTTTCAATAGAATTATTTACATCCGCTTTTCTCTTGCTGATGCATTCCTGTGTGATATGAGAGGGGGTCTAAATACTTGAGAAGGACAAAGATGACATACAGGTTTGCCCTTGGTATACGGAAGGAACATCGACAGCTGCTGAGGGACGCAAAGCTCGACATCTTCACCGCTTCATCTTCCAGAAAGACGACTTTGAACCCAGTGGAGAGGGTGGGATCGAGATGGTGTACCGTGACCGTGAGTATTGGGGTATATGAGGTGGAATAAAGAAGACTGGCCACTAAGGGTGCTTGTATGCGATACCCATGATCGAGAGTGGAGGTGGTGTCATACAGAAACCTGAGAATATCGAGGTCAGGAAAAACAACACTGAATGAGACATTAACGACGTACATGAGCATGATCTGGTAAGTCGTCAAAAAACCTTGGGGTATTAGGCACTAGGGGACGATGATTGGCTGATGGACTGGACACCGTGTAACATCAACCTACATATGTTTATATGATTTATGAAATCTGATTATAAGTGTCACGTACAGTGAGGACCGATTTGTCATAAGTTCCTCAAGGCCAGTTTCTTTGACTATCGCAGAAATGTTCCGAATGTACCCAACGGCTTTTGTTCACCGCAGCTAGTAACTAGTATTATTTATTATCAGGCAGCGTTGCATCTACTCACAACTCTCAAGTCAATCGCTAGTGAGACAAGATCATCTCTACCAAAACTTTCTCAAGTCTAACGTACCAAGGCAAGTCAAAGTCAGTTATCGGATTTACTACAGTAATAAGGAAAACAAGAAGGTAAAGTGCTTCCTACGATCTACTACGCAAATAAGGGGAGTGAACACTTCATGGCTGGAAAAGGAATTCATCAGCGGAAGAAACATCTTGATATAGTGAATGACTATTCCAAACTCCGTCGGAATTCGCCTCAAACTTCAGTGACTAAGCGGGTATTTCTGGCTGGGTTTGAATATATTGCCATTCACTATATGAGCGCACCGACCCATTGTTGTGATTTCTTTTTCGAATCGTGAGACTGACACGATGACCCAGATTTTCATTGTGATTATGTAGAGTAGTACGGTGATTCAGGTGATTGGAGCTTTGGCTGGCGGTGGCCCACATCTGGCGGCCGCAGTTGTGGACTGGCTATGACTCGGACAAATATTCTATTGCATACAACCACTGGTACTAGTACTTACCAATATCAACTGGGATGGAAATTTTCACACATTCTATATCATTCACCCTAGATTTTGGAGTTATATACTATAATAGGGCCGGGACTTAACAATTGAGTCCGCACGATTCCGAGTCCCCAGCGTCACTTGAAGCCAACAAAAGAAAGTTCTCAGTAGTGGCTGCAACTGATACCCTAGTAATTGCCTCAAAATTAGTCATTCACTATAAATACTGATCATGCGCATTTGCAGGTCTTCTTTCTAATATTCCAACTACTTCGATACATACATACAGTACTACTGCATACAATGTAGGATAGACTTCTGAAGAGATCAACACAGTAAGTATACCAGTATACTTTATAAGATGAAGTTAACGTGAAGACTGCACAGACTTATAATGACAAAACGTGCGGCACTAAAGAATGATCCTGTCGGCGTTGGACGTCCCTCGAAGCGCATCAGGAGTAAGGAAGGTGAGTCATGATAGTATTACATCGTCATTGTAGTTGCTCACAAGTATGATACAGAAAATTGCACGCCATCTGCACTAAATGATGCAGGTGCATGGCGTTTTCTAGAACGGTACCTCGAGTCCGATCTGGGCTACGCACAGATGGAAGACGGATTGATATTGTACCTTGGCGATTGATATTGTGCGGATGACTGGGCAGATGCCAGGCTCGCACTATTCTCCAGTGATGGCGACGACGCCGAAGCGATGAAAAACCTGGCCGCCCTGAAAAACAAGTACATAGTACCCGAGACCTCTTCATCAAATTCGGTGCCCACAGCTACATTCAGATCAAAGCGACGACGAGTAAGTGTAAGATTCACTCCTGTAAATATATACTAAAGAAATATAGTTGAAAAGTTGTGTCTTCGTCGACAGTGAAGCAGGAGAAGGTGGGAAGAGGAAGAGGAAGAGGAAGAGGAAGAGGAAGAGGAAGAGGAAGAGGAAGAGGAAGAGGAAGAGGAAGAGGAAGAGGAAGAGGAAGAGGAAGAGGAAGAGGAAGAGGAAGAGGAAGAGGAAGGCCCCCCTGCACATCCTCGGAAAGTTACAACTTTGCCAGGACCGTTGGCTAAACATACACTGTCCACGAAGATCAATGAGATCTTCAAGTCATACGAAGCTCGCGCCTCTAAACCGTCAGGAAGACGTATTCCTTACAGAGCTGCCTGGTCTCCCGACACGATTGATAACAGAATGTATCTGCTCAATCTTCACAGTAAGTCCATTTTCAGTCAAGTAGCATGTTATTCATTAGTTCGCAGGAAGCGTTACGGACTACATTGCAGAATATCTTCAAAAAAAAGGGTTCCCTGTTACCGTGTCGCCCTGGGTACCGGGCCAGCTTTACGTGGTCTCAGAGAGTCCCCGGGCTATTAGTTCATCACTTCCGACCTCACACCAATTCTCTGTGAAAGATTATTTTCTCATCTCGGATGAAGAGCATGCAGTTGTTGAACACTCACGATTCCAACTGCCCAGCCCAGGGTGGGCAAGAATCAAATGCGGCAAGTACAAGAATGCTATAGGCTACGTCAACAGCTTGAAATTGAAGGACGGACGATCTGGCCCTTTTGTCTCGCTCTTAGTTGCTTTACAGGACTTTCCCTATGACATGCCCAAGGGATCTGTGGCGCTGCTAGACCGATCTCGCCTTCCGGCTGGCAAGGAAGTATCTGACATCATTATCGATCAAAAAGTCGTAGGATGCTCGTATAAAGGAGAACAGTATTACATGGGGCTGTTGCTGAAGAATTTTCACCATGATCTCTTAGACCTCGTAACCATACCTCACCCCTATGAAATTCGACTACACATTCAGTCCAGATGGGACACACCTTTCGTGAAGATTACTCAGCGGGCATTTTCGATGGAGTTCCTGCGCACAGGCGACGCGGCCAGGGTCATTACCGGAGAACTTGGTGCTGAGATTGGTGAAGTCGTCTCGACAGACCACAGCTCCATGTGTTTGGAATTTGACATTGATGGACACAAAACGCAATGGGAAGTTCGCCTCCAGGACGTCGAGCATGTGTTTCGGGTCGGCGATACCATTCGAGTCGTAGCAGGTATATACTTGGGTCTAGAAGGTTACATTGTTAGAATGACGGATGACGTATTTCATATCTGTCAAGCCTCTACTAATGAAGAGGTAGGTCTCTGGCGTATATAGAAATTTGCAAAACTAACTTCCAGCACATAGGTCGAGGTTCCGAAGTACTACGTGAATCGTTGTTCCCTGAAGCACACACTCCACGCACAGCTGCCAATGCAGCAATTTTTTGAACCTGACCCTGACATCAATACCATTCAAATCGGAGATTATATAAAAGTATTTACGGGAGAGCACTTTGGGAAATGTGGCGTCATGGAGTGGTTTCCTTCAGGAGGGACTATGCTGTGGTTCCAGTGTACGGACACTATGTTGACCAATGACGACATACTCCGACCCCGGAGTATTCAAGTTCCAGTGGCAATGGTCCAGCGGACGCATCTCCTCCCAACAATAAAATTCATGAAAGACAGGGGCTATGATGTTAAGCCTGGAGATTTGGTGAGAGTTGTTCGTGGGCCGGAGTATCAGACAACAGGGGTCGTACAGAGTGTCAAGATTCCAAACACTCGCTTGACAATACTATCGGACAGCGATCATACACTCGTAAGTTCAATGTACCTCAATTCGAACACCTCTAACTCATCACAGATCGACGTACCAATCGGATTCGTGTCGAAGTTACGCAACACAAGCATGGACTCATTCAAACACGTAATTAATAAAAAAGTATTCATTATTGGAGGTAGCCTGAAGGGCTATCAAGCTACGCTGTGCGATGTCGGGCAAGAGAATTGCACTGTTGCTATACACAGGCAGAAGCGTACAGTACTCAAAAGTCTTGATGTTGTCACCAGGTGAGTGGAGCACCTATTTTCATGCTGATTCAATTGCTTACTGCGGTTCAGTTATGGAATGAGACTAAACGGTTCGATACTCGAAGAGTGCGATCTACTTACATTCTGTGACATCCGAACAAAATCGTATGTGAAGGCGCCATCTCGAAGTGTCACACCCCCATCCGAAAAAATAGTTCTCTCGAGCTTGAACACCGATGCTATTCCGTCATCTTCTAACATCTTGTCCCACTGGACCTCCAGGCCTGAGGATATCGACATAGTGCTCAATCAGTCACCAACCGCCAATCCCAGTTCAGCATCTGACCCTTGGACTGTCCACGAGAACGACATCCGGGACAGCATTGAGGCCCAAGCAGAGAAGCTTCAAGACAATGGTGAGTCCCCAATGAAGGCGTCATACTATTAAACTTACTTTATTCTGATAGGCCCAGTTCCCTGGTTGATGAAGAAGGAGTTTTCTTCGGTGTTACTCAAGCACCACGCATTGTTGAAAGTCTCTCTGAGCTTTGATTATGGCAGATTATCGAAACGATTCGTATCAACTGCATGTCCTGACCCCTTCTACGGTGCTAACATCAGGCATTTGACCACAGTATAACAAAGCTTTACCTAACTTTATCTGATATATAAAATAAAACATATCTATCACAATTGCATGCCACTTTATAAAGGAATAGATGAGTAGACTACATAGGCAGAATATTCCAAAGCTATCCTATTGGCAGACCTATAGTAGTAAGTTGTGATCTACCTATCATGATGATCTTTTTATTGTCAAATCTACCAACTGTGACATGGGTGGCTTCCAATTACAAGGTCTGCCATCACTGGCACTCTGCCCAGGTATGACAAACTGTACCCAGCTATATATAGGCAGCCTCCATTTGTGAGGTCTACCATCATCAGGTATTTGATAAAATATAGCAAAGTCTTATCAAAACTGCAGAAAACTTGATAAAGAAATAGATAGGTAGACTATGTAGGTGAAATCTCTCATAAGAAACCATATTGGTGGACCTATAGTAGTAAGCTGCAATCTATCTAGCATGGTGATGTTGTTATTGTCAAATGTACCAAGTCTAACTAGCTATATACATGTAGCTTCTAATTGTAGGGCCTGCCATCACTGACATTATGCTCAGGTATGACCAACTGCACCTAGCTATATATAAGCAGACTCCAATTGTGAGGTCTAACATCATCAGGTATTTGATGAAATATAGCAGAGCTTTATCAGAACTGCAGAAAACTTGATAAAGGAATAGATAGGTAGACTACATAGGTGGAATTTCCCATAAGCCATCATATTGGCAGACCTATAGTAGTAAGTTATAATCTCCTAGCATGGTGATGTTGTTATTGTCAAATGTAGCAAGTATGAGACCTTTGGTAGTCAGTTATAATTAGTTATAATTTATCTACCATGGTGATGATGTTATTGTCAAATGTACCAACTATGACTAGCTGTATATAAGCAGCTTCCATTTGCAAGGTCTGCCATCACTGGCAATGTGCCCAGGTATGACCATGAATTGTTAGACGTACCTCCCCTTACCAAAGCTGCTTCTGATTGTGAAGTCTACCATCATCAACAATAAGTCTTGGCACTACAATGAGTTGCCAGGCCACAGCAAGTTGTTGATTCTATACCAAATGCATCTAGCAATATATAGGGAGTTTTTGATGGGGGGAACAAACATCTTTGACAGTGAGTTGAAGCACTACAATGAGTCATCTTGACAAAGCAAAATGCTGGTACATTGTCAGACATAACTACTCTTACATGTACTGTTTCCAATGGTGGAGTCTAACATCATTGACAGGGAGATCATGAGTTATCTCACCAAAGCAATAATTCGGTCACACATAGTATTACACACATGTAGATGGATTCATTGTGTTCTAGTATTATCTTTACACAACATTGTCTTGCATTCATTGATTACGGAGACGATACAAAACAACAAAATTATGAGAAATATCATATTAATTTGTAACAGTAGTAGCTCGCTCCTGAAGGGCAGCACATTTTTCACGAATCTTCGAGAGCACGCTGTTTTTGCTAATACAACGCTGCGACGATGAAGAATTAGGAAAAATGCGACTGTACAAGGTATTAGTTTGGAGCTTGAAGTGTATGGAATGCATAACGAACCGAGTCCACCACAGCATCAGGTCGCCTACCTCCTCACTTTCATCAGTATCTTCTAACAGGTCTAGAATGCTATGATAGAAATTCTCCGAGTCTGTGACCGTGTTGGTACGGGAGAATATGGACGATGAACTCAACGAAAATCGAACCTAAAATAACAATTAACAGGAAAGGAATGCGGTAATGAATTTGCTACGTGCCTGCATGGCAATATAGGCCAAGGATCCTTTAGTAACAGACTTCATGCCATGAAGGTACGCATTTCCGGAGCGCATTGCCTTTGGCTCCTTATCCACTGAGCTCGGTGACGTAAATACATGTTTGAAACCCTATGAAAAGGACCCCGTTATGTGCGAGAATTTTAAATAGACTCAAACTCACGAAAATAAGTATATCGCTCCTTAATAATCCCTTCCATGGATCTTCGGGATCGTAAACATAACCTGCATATAAGAATATAGGCCATTGGTCACCACGAACTGCGGTTTCACTGCTCTTCAGACCCTCCTTGGTTCTGGGTAGAGTAATGACATTTCAGTTATTTTGCGTGGTGGAAAGACTTACTCTGTGTTCGACCAGTCAAGTCCTGCAGGGCAAAGCAACGCGCCCGTGACTTCGTGGTTGAATCCTCGGTCAGACTTGATGTTTCGGGAAAGAGGGGGTATAACTACTTGTCCTCTGGGGACAAGCCATTCAACGACAGCAGATTTCAGTGTCTTAGTGTCATCGCCCCGCGCTGAAGGTACAACAATTCAGATGGTAAGTCTGAACAATGTTGGGTCTTGCAGAACCTAGCTGCTATTCGACCCTAAAGGGTTTCTGGACCAGGCTCAAGGCTCAGAGGAGAGGAAATGTCATAAAAACTGCTCAAGACTCAGACAGACTCATACTGGTAACTGGTGAAAAGATAACTTGATTATGTAAGCTACAAAGTGCCAACATAAGGTAAGGTAAAGACAGTCTCTCCAAGCCTAGCCAGAAATGAATCCCTACAGCGCGCCGGACACCCCTTTACCTAGCTGTTACAAGGTAAATCGTATGCTGACCTTCCATTACTTAAAACTTACCAATTCTCCTACGTGGATAATATCCTCTTCCTCTCCGCCCGTCAGACGATCCAAGAGGCCAGGATAGGAATCCAACAACTCTAGGAATACCCTGTGTTCCTGTCGGATACTAACATTAGGGGTACCGTAAGCGATGACTGTATCTGATGCTTGTGATTGGACTCACTCCACGGGATAGTCCTCTATGAGAGAGTCCTGTAATTCGTCGAGTCAGAGTATACCCGAAGTCAGGAGAGCAGGGTAATTACACAATGCGAACACCGTTCGACCAAAATGCCGACCGTGGAGAACAAGGGGATTCGATGAAACTCTGACCATGACAAGTCAGGAGGTTCGTCACCATGTGAAAGATCACTTACGCCTTTTTACGTGGACCCATCTGAAGGGCTGAACCACATCACTTGCATGAAAGATCGCCAGAGGAAGGATTATTCTCATTGGTGCTCATACTACAAGTAGTACATAGGTATGATACCACTAGCATGGAAAATGAGCCGCTTTATATGTCAAAGGTTTGATAGTACGTAATGAAAAGACGATGTGCTGGCTGTGTGCCATCGATATCATAACGAAAAGACTCATCATCCGAGTGCCATCGATATCGTAATGCAATGAACAGTAATAGTCGCCGTGTCCGGGTTATCGTAACGGGGGATTAAAAAACCTAGGGCCTAGGGCCGGTTAGTTTCCTCTGCGAGTTCAATTTTCCACCGAGAGAAAACTTCACCATCCGAGTGCCATAGGTATTCTAAAATAATCGGATTGCCTGCTGCGCCTCTAGGGTGTACAGAGGGTGAAAAACTTTTCCTCCTCTCAAACAGTTGTCACAACCTTTTGGCCAAAGGTAATCAAAATGCTCGTTGAAATGCGCAAGGATTGATGGTCGTCGACAGTCAGCCTCGTCAACTGATGGGGTGACACGGCATCCCTGTGTGCATAATCTGGAAGAGCATAATACATCAGGCAGCAAAGGGTAATTGTCATCAAAGTCGCTTACAAAGAATGCAGTCTGCCGGATCGCCATCGCGTCCAGTCTCCTGATAATACCTCAGACAGTAAGCAACTTCTCAATAAAACGTACTTGTAGAGTCGTAATGTACCCATCCATCGACTTTGGTAACATTGAGTGGATTATGAAGCGCACTATTCAACACGGTCAGACAGAGGGGAGTGAATAAACACAACTTTACCACATGGCTTGTCGATTCCCATCCCAAACGCGATCTAAGATAATGTTACGCACTCAAATAGATCTGTTAGACGGAGCCCTAAGAGGGGTGTCGTCCGCTAATGTTTGTGACGTAACTGGAAGGATCCGGTATGGCAAGTGAGACTGGCGACGTTGAGTCGGCAGTGATCACAGTACGTGTGTGTCACGTGACTTCTGAGACAGATGTCTTAGAAGTCGCTCAAGGTAAGGACAGTCTTGTCCGAACGATGAGGTCGATCGAGGTAGACTTAGTCACGATGAGCAACTAAGAAAAGATACTAGAGACTGAAGCCAAAGGGGTGTTCAGAGGGAAGTATGTTCCAGGGAAGATTGAGTAGATTCAAGTTAGAGAATCTAATACAGGGTGACCGACTACTTATACTAAGTGGAGAGGGTTAAGGGCAAGGCTACCGCACAGTAGGTAAGGGTAAAGGGGAAACGAGAATGGTATAGGTGCATTGGCAACAGAGCCGGATTAGTGATGGATGGTCGAATGTGGAATGAGACTGAGAAACGTTGGAATGGACCAACGGTAAGAATACAACGTGCGGGAATCTGCAGTCAGAAGGAACAGAAAGGGGAAAGCCACATTGGTGGCACGAGTCAGACCGAGTCATAGGTGTGGGACCACATTGGTGGTCGAATCAATGGAGGAACGTGCATGCACGTGCATAGAGGCGGACAATGTGAGGGACGGGAACGGTCCCGAGGATCCAGTCAACAGAAAGTCGGTAAAGGAGGACAAGCCGGTAGATGGTGAGGGCGAGGATGAAGGGAAAATGATAGGGGGGCCACGTGACCGATGTTACTTGTAACAGATAACGTCAGAATGGCAACAATGTCATACTGTGAGTACCATACCGTTGCTATACAGGTTGGGGCAGTTGAAAGACTGCATCAGGCATAAGGGGTCATGTAGACCTAAGCATGTACAAATATCCTGGATCGCGGGATTGTTCGCGGTTGTGGTGAGTGCCATGATAGGCACATCACGGTATCGCTCATGCAGCATATGGAGCTCTGCACACTAAGGATACAAATAAGAACTTGTTAATGCACTCATGGACCAAATTGTGCAAACTTACAGCATCACGAAAATCCTGCCCCCAGCTCTGAATTGCAGAATTGAGAGTCGGAGTAGTCGAGGTTAAGGTATCCAGTTGCAATATTGGGGGCTCGTCAAGGCCCTCCCAAAGATCATTGCTGTCAGGCATAATTAGGGTCTCAGCTGATACATCAGTATCGGCTGGCTCAAGCGGGCCATCGACATCGATATCTTCTGGTTCGAGGACACTCGAAAAATCGGTAGGCGCAGTAATAGATGTGGGCGGAGCTAAAGCCAGCTCGCTGATAGGGTTGAAGCAATCCAGGCCTTCTTGGATAGCTTCGATGCGACCTTTGATGCGAACCCTACGTAGACTTTAAGCAAGGAAGTTCACACAGTACAGTACACTCACAATAAAAATGTGATTTCAAAATGTCTAGCGGCTTGTTTGCATTTTCTGATATTGTTGCGAATGAATAATCGCGCACTTCGCGAAAATAGAGATGCGTACCTTTACAGATCTATCATGCCGCTTGTTCTCTGCCTTCCGAGTCTTTGATGTGTTCCTAAAATAGTGCAAGGTTGAGAACCGTCCATGGTGACGGGGGTTTATTGTTGGTAGTAGCATTGAACTCAAATTGTATACTATAGGTATGGGAACACCTTGACTACAGTATACTTAATCAAAGGGTGCATGGGACTACATAAAACATTCTGAATGACACTACTATCATATACCAAGTCTACAAACCGTTATAAATAACACTAGCAAAAATAGTAGGTACTAGATACTAGGTACAGATGGGAGTTCGGAAGAAGGCAAGTGTATGATATGACGTGCCAATTATAGTGAATGACTATATTGAAACTCAGCCAAAATTACTAAGCGGGTACTGCCGGCTGACTCTGAATATGTAGTAGTTGTTCACTATATCTACTGGGGCTTCCCCTAGTTTTGTTCTTTTTTACAATGTGAATTTTCGAGTTGCAATTTTAATTAAGTGAATATGTGCTGCTAGTAGTTAGTGAATGTGGGTATGTGGGGTAGACCTGATTTGTATGGGACTTCAATAAAGCTTGAACGTTGAACGTCGGACTCGGAGACTTGACAATTTGTGTCTCAGCAGCCTCGCCACTGGCACGAAGTAATTAGTATCGGTCCACAACTGATGTGTTGTGCCATTGTCAAAGAATTCTCACGGGCAATGGTGGTACTACGCCGCGGCAGTACTGCGTTATTGTGCAGCAGTCCACCGTGACAGCAGCACTGCTCACTCGGTGCTTAGTGGTAGTACATTAGCAGTCTGGGCCACAATTGATGTTTTACCATTGTCATAGAATTCTTAGCACGGGCTGTGGACTTAGCACTGCGCTATTGTGCAGCAGGGGCCACACCGTGACATCATCTAGCGCCCGATTAGTCATTCACTATAAATACTGATCCTCTATCTCTTGAAGGTCTTCTTTCCGCTATCACTACTTCGATACTGCATCACTAGGAATACTAAAAGAATAGTGTAGAGAACAATTTTTGAGAAGATTCAAATAGAACTGTATGTCAGGGTTTTACGTTCACTACTGAATGATAGACAATTGATTATGCAAGTTCCAGAAGGAGGCTCTGAATCATGTCGTGGCCCGATATGAAACGCGCATTAGCGCCAGCATCATCGGACAGTGATGACGAACCTAACCCGAAGTGCGTCAGAAGTGAAGGTAAGTCATGAATATGATGCTGCCAATTATCATGGTGACTCATAACTTATTGGAATGTATGTCAATACAGGCAAATCTCCACTGGAGGATGAAGGCGCATGGTGTATCCTGTTCCAGTACCTCACCACTGAGATGACCTATCCTCAGATGGAAGAGGACTTCATATCTTACCTTGGCGACAGATACTGCGCAGATGACTGGAAGGACGCCCGAGACGCGTTATTCTCTGCTGACGACCTGAATGATAACGCAACTCCCTTGGCAAATCTTCAGGTTTTGTACATGAAGCATGTACCTCAGGCTTCTCTGTCGAATATGGCGGGCCCACCGGAAGATTCTCGGGTCATAGTATCTCCAATCTGGATGGGACATGCCCTTCGTCAAAAGCACTGAGCTGGCATTCTCTATGCAGTTCCTCCACGTAGGCGATGAGGCGAGGGTCATCTCTGGAGAGATTTGTTCAGAGATCGGAAAGGTTGTCTCAACAGATCATGGGTTAGGTTGTGTGTTGTTAGAATTCGATTTCGATATTCAACATCGAACACAACTAGACTTCCAACTTCAGGATATAGAACGTGTGTTTTGACTAGGCGATTCGGTTCGAGTTATAGCAGGTGTATACTTGGGTTTGGAAGGTCACATCGTTCAAATGTCCGACAACGTATTTCATATTTGTCAAGAGGCAACTAAAGAAGAGGTGTGTACGAACAAACAGTATGTCAACTCTATCTAATGCTTCGTATAGATTGAAGTTTCAAAACACTACTTGGATCGCTGTCCTCTGAAGCATGTGCTGCAAAAACAGCTGTCAACGCAGCAATTATTTGAGCCTCCTCCTGAAACTGAAACCATTGAAATCGGGGACTATGTAGAGGTACTTGGCGGTCAGTACGTAGGGAAACGCGGGATCATCGCCTGGTTTCCTCCAGGAGAACCACCATCTGTATACTTACGGGTGAACGACAAGATATATAGTTCAGGACCGGTGATGATTGAAGTGCTTTCAGTCTGCATTCAGCGGATCCGCCTCACCCAGACAATAAAGTACACAAAGGACAAGGGCTATGATGTCAGGCCTGGAGATTTTGTGAATGTCGCTCACGGGCCGGAGTATCAGATGACAGGGGTCGTGCAAAGTGTCGACCTTCCAGCAGCTCGCTTGACCCTATTATCTCAAACTGATGGAACATTGGTAAGTCTAGATCATCTCAACTCGATCATCTCTAATTGGTCATAGATTAATGTCCCCATACGGTTCGTGGTGAAGATACGCAACGTGAGCCTAGATACCTTCAAGAGCGTTATTGGCAAAGAAGTATTTGTTATTCGCGGTCAGCATAAGGGCTACCGAGCCACGCTATACGATATAGGGAGGGAGGATTGCTCTGTTGCACTGCATGGGCAGAAGCATATACTACTCAAACTCCCAGAAGTGGCCACTAGGTAAGCTGTATCCACATTTCTGCGCTGATTTAATTGCTAACAGTTGTAAAGTTATGGAATGCGGTTGAACAGTACAATACTCGAAAGACACGAATTAGTTTCTTTCTGTGAAATGCGGCAGAAATCGTACTTGAAGCCACCGCCTCGAAGTATCACTCCCCCACCCCAGAAAATGGCCTCCTCCCACTCTTTCACATGTTCCAACACGCTGCCTGCCAGCGCCCTGAACAACTGGACTGCCAGCCCCAAGGATGTTGACGGGGCGATAAACCAATTGTTGGCCGTCGATTCGTCCACCTCGTCTCAGACGATACCTGACCCTTGGACTATCGATCCGCAGGACAATGAGGACAGACAGGAGAAAATCCAACATGATGGTGAGTCCTCAACAAAGGCATCACAGAATTTAACTAATTTTATCGTAGGCCCGCTACCTTGGTTGATGAGGAAGGAGTTTGCCTCGACCTTACTTACGTATCACGTGGTGTTGAAAGTCTCACCGAGCTTTATGGGGGGCAGGTTACACAAGCGGTTTGTATCAACCGCATGTCCCGACCCCTTCTGCGGTGCGAATGGGCCCACACCCGAGAATTGTGTAGCAGCATTTTGCACGTCCAATGGCACGGGGGCCGCGATCCAACACTATCACATACCCGCCCATGACCTCAGTCCGGCTCCTCCACGCAAAAAGAACCAGCAGTGCCTTATTTTGGATGGGGAGCATCGCGGGGCCATCCTAACTATAGCAAAGTGCAACGTCAAAAAAAATTCTGCGGAGATGTTTACAAATACTAATATTACTACAGCTCCCTTACTAGTAACTCTTCGTTTCGACCAAATATGTCTCATAGAACCTATGTAACCTTCAATCTGAAACTAGTTTAATCAGTAGTAGCCTTACCATCATGCTCGGCGAATACTCAGAGTAGTAGTAAACCATAGATAGTAGTAGTGGTGGTGGTTTCAGTGAAATTCACCAAGTGATACCAATGATGATCATCATGATAACTTTGGTCTGAACATCAGCAAAAATGTGAATAGTACATGGTTTTGCCTCATAACTCTACTTTGCATTTGGCAGGAATTGAACCCAAGACCACAACAATTAGAAGTGTAGCATAACAACCACTTAGCCACAGGACCATTGATAAATATCCTCAATAATAGCAATATATGCAAGAAATGTCACATGACCAAAATGCGAAAATTCTACCAAGTGTCTAGTCAATCACCTTGCTCTGCAAGGTCATGTTCACATGTTGGTAAAAATGTGCCAACATAAGCAATAGTCCGTGTGAATAAAAAAAAATTGATAATCACCTTTGACACTTAGGGAACTGCACGGGTACGGGTATACCCATGCGGGTGTGGGGTGCGGGTACTACCTCTGGGGTATGGGTATGGGTTTGGTATTGCAATACCCGTACCCGTACCCTTGCGCCGGGTCTCGATCGAAACAGAGTGCCTTGCAACAAATAATATCATATCAACCTAACTACAAACAGCAGTACTGTACAGTTACAAACAGTCAAACTTTAAACAATCAAATATATGCTACATTACTGGCATGATGGCTCCAGCCTTGCAAATTTTCATCACCCAACCACTGCCCACCATGCAGCTCCAGCAAAACGCATCATCAAGATGACTGGTAAAGCGAAAGCCGCACTGGAAGATAAAGCTTCTTCAAAGAAGTGTAAACCTGATGGTGGAGATAGTGTGAATCCACCGCTACCCAAGAAAGCCAAAAAAAATGTACCAGTGGGGAGCATGACTCCGGTTAATTTATCACCGTCACCGACTCCACCACCAGTCATGAGTAGGCGTGCCATTGTGCGCACAGAGGAGGAGGAGGAGGCATTGCATGAATATATCGACCTGGACAATTGGCAACGAGCCCGCAAATGCTGACAAGGTCAATGATGCTGACGAGGATCCTGAAGATGAGCTGAGTGAGTCCAGCAACCTATACATCAATATCAGATTAATTGATTATACACAGAGCAGCTAATGAAAGAATGGAACTCACCTGTTTATGCGTTTTTTGATCCAACACCGCACATCATTGAGATTGCTGACCGCCATGCGCATGAGTTCAAGTGCCAAGCAAGGGGTTGCAAGGTCAAAGTGTGACAGTTCCTCAATAAGGGCGATGCACGATCCACAGGTAACATGCGGAAGCATGTGCGCTTGTGCTGGGGAGATGAAGTCTTGAAAGCTGCAGATAGTGCGAAGGATGCAGACGAAGTGCGCCTCAAGATTGTCGGTAGCATTCTGCAAAACGGATCCATTACTGCATCCTTTGAATGCAAGGGCAAAGGGAAAATCATGTACTCGCACCGTCAACATACTCGCGCAGAAACAAGGTATGGTCCAAGTATTCTGATGGTTCTGGGAGTCTAAGTCTAACAACTTGAATGCGTTCAGGGCAGAAATTGTGTGTTGGGTGTCCGAGAGCCTATGTCCATTCAATATTGTCAAGGACCGTGCATTTCAGTCGCTGATGAAAACAGGGAGACCCGAATACTACATACCTTCCCCGTCCACTGTTTCTCACGATGTGTGACTCGTCTTTGCACGGACTCAAAAACAAGTTGCTAGAATGTTGCGTGTTAGTGTTATTTTGTCAGAGAACAATCAAGTATTAAAAATGTACCAGGAACACAAAGGCAAAATTAACTTCACCACCGATGGTTGGACATCACCCAACCATCGTGCACTGGTCGCATTTTTGGCCCACTTTGAGTACAAAGGGGAGCTGCTAAGTATTCTGTTAGATGTGATTGAAGTCGGGAAGGTAAAACTTACCAACCGAACATGTACTACATATGAACTAATGAGACAACAGTCCCACACCGGCCAAGAACTTGCAGAGACATTTGCAAAACTGCTAGAAGAATTTGACATATCAGAAAAGGTAATGTTTAAACAAAAAAAAAATGTACCTGCGGCTAAATGTAGCATGCTCAGATCCTGAGTGTGACTTGTGATAATGCGTCCCACAATGATGCGAAGATCCGTGAACTGAGTCGTAAGGTACCTGGATTTGGTGGAGCAGTGACTCACACAAGGTGTTTCCTCCACACCGTAAATCTCATGGCAAAATCGCTGATCCGAGAGTTCGACGTGAAGAAACAGGACGTTGACCACGAGCTTCAAGACTTGAGTGCTGATATCGAGGAAGATGGAGAAATCAAGAGCATCGGGTGTGAAGTAGACAACGACGACAGATTTATTGACTCTGAGGTCAAGCTGTTGGATGTTGAGGAACGAGTAATACTAGACAAAGACATTCGACCAGTCAAATTAGCGCTTGCAAAAGTAAGTCCAATCAAACTAACAAAACTCACCATCATTGATCCTAATCCACATCCCAGTTGCAAAAGCTCGCATACAAAATCATCCATTCAACCACCATCATCCTTCCTGCATGGGACAGCATCCTCCAAGACTTGGCACGGCCGCAAACGCTGATGCCACGAGATGTGGCAACTCAATGGAATTCGACCTTTGATATGTTGAGTTACGCTGTTGGACATCGAGATGCCATAGATGCTGTTACCCAACGGCGGGACTTGGGTTTGTGGAAGTTCGAGTTGGAGGATCATGAGTGGGTAATACTGGAACAGCTGCGTGATGTACTTAAGGTCCGTGTATTCCTTGTTTGTCACAATGGCTGCGCTCACATTGTTTGTATCTGTTAGATTCTCAAGGACACAACATTGTACTTTTCACGTGCAACACCCAACCTTGCAACAGTGATCCCAGCAATGGATCACGTCGACAAGATGCTCATATCATACTCCTACAACAAGAAATACCTACCCTCAATTCGTTCTGCAGTCCGGCTGGCCAATAACACTCAGCCGCTAGTATTACCAGCTCACAGACAGATCTCAGACGTATCGCATATCAATGGGTATGTCCTGAATCTTTACTGATTTTTATAAACTAACATTTGTATACTTCTAGTCCTGCATCCACAGCACAAACTAGCCTACTTTAAGGCCGCACAATGGGAAGATGGCTGGATCAAAACTGCAGAGCAACTTGTCCACAAGGAATTCGAACATTCATACCTATCAATCAACGATGACTCTGATGCTGGGTGCGAGGATGATGTCTTCAAGTCAGACAATGATGTGCAGATGGTGAGTTTTATTTGTTTTGTTTCCGATCCATACTGAATAATTCTTAGAGTGATAATATTTTTGACAATCTCCCAGCGCTCACACCCCCCAAACCTGCTAACCAAGACTCTGAGCTCGACCGGTACCTCCGTATGGACATCGAACATGTCACTGACCCTATTGGTTGGTGGCTCGAGTGTCAGAAGTCTTTCCCCCGGCTTTCATGCATGGCTATCGACTACCTAACCATCCCTGGTATGTAACTATTTTTTTTTGACACACTGTAGGCTTATATTTGGCCACAGCAACATCTGTGGATGTTGAACAACTGTTCAGTCGTGGCCGCCTCATCCTGACGCATGTCAGAAGTCATCTTTCAGCACAGTCATCATGCGCACTTCTTTGTCTCGGCCAATGGAGCGAGTTGGGCCTCGTTGAGTCTGAGGACGTGATTAAGGTATCAAAGCTTCCAGACGTTGTGGGAGAAGATGAAGCTATGGATGATGGATGGGACAGTATATCAATAGTGCAGACTGACTAACTACTACTTTTGTTATCTCATAGGTACATAATTGATTGATACCTGCGGGTATACCCTCCACGGGTCATACCCCGGGTCCGTTTTGCAGATACCCATTGCAAAACCCATACCCACAGCCTGAGCTGGGGTACGGGTATATCTGTGGGTATGGGTACGGGTTTGACTGCTGGTACCCGGGGGTATACCCATGCAGTTGCCTATTGATACTCCGACTCCAACTTGCCCGACTCAAGCCTGCCCACGCCGACCAATATCCTCTTAGTAGCTGATATGCCTTCCTTACACCCACTCTCTGATGACAGTGCTTGCAGCTCTACCCTCCTCACTTAGTAACTGCCTTTGGTGTAGCCAGGTGGCGAATGGTGTAAATAGGTGGAGCTCGCACTTAACATATCTACATTTTGCAAATTGCAATACTTGTTCAATGAATCTTCAAGTAGGTTGGTGAGTGTCTGGCCCGGGATCAGCCACGAGGTAGGCATCATCAGGCATTTGACCACAGTATAACAAAGCTTTACCTAACTTTATCAGAATAGATTGCTCTCACTACATACCTTGGCAACTGAATGCTCAGTGTCGTCTATCTCCATGCCTCCATCTGGAACATCTAAGTTAGCATAGTTGAGATCAAACTCATTGCGGACAAGTTGTTCTGCAGTCGCGATCCAATCTTGATCCCACTGGGCCATTCTGAAATATTGAAGTTTATGACGAGGATGCAACACTGTAATTATCATCAAACATAAGTAGTCCTGTCAGGGAGAGCACTTACCCATGGTCACACGATACACATCAGATTTGTCTGTCAATGAATAGTAGCGGTCAAGTGTTTTTTTGCCAAGAGTGAGTGCAGATTGTACAGCGCGATTCCGAGTCAGAGATGAGCTGGATTCATGGGCCAAGAGCATTTCATCGATATGGTCAATAGCGGGGATGACAGTAGCGACTGGTTGGGTGTGGAGCGTGAGAAGAAGGTCGTAGCATCCTTGAAAACCTAGAGTATTAAGTATTGCATGAGCACTGGTCAATGCAGCGAAATCCTGAGTGTACTTACCTGCAAAACTTCCTGCAGGTCAGATGCAATCTTCCACTCCTCTACTGACAACTCAAACACCCTTAAGTTGTGCTCACGCTTGGCTGTCATCTCCTCGATGGCTGTCTGATACTCGATGGCGAAGTTGATTAAGTCATATGTCACCCCATGTTGTAGTCCTAGGCCTAATATACTGCCAGGTGTTGCCACAAATGGCTTTGGCAAATAGTGTGGGTATTACCAGGCCGCTGAACAAGGCAAATGGCATGGCATTTACCACAGCGCGGTCCACCCCACAGCTTTTGACCTTGACAAGCCGCTGTTAAATCACACCCCATGTTTTTCTAACCCTAGGATCAATAAATGATATATTTTTGTTAAACCCTAGCACAATTGTCATCTGACCAATGTTTTATTTCAAAGCGACATTCTATTTTTGTACTTGACATGGATAATGACGGGATAATGACAACACAACATATTTAATCATCATCCTCATCATCCCAGTCTTCCAGAAAATCCTCTTGAGCACTGACATCCGAACTCTCTTCAGCTACACGCTCCTCATTCTGAAAACCAGACCAAAGATTAGTGAAATGGATCAGCAGACGGCCATGCACATCAGCTTGGCACAATGCATATGCCCCAATCCCTCTCCCGATCACAGCTTCAGAAATAGAGGTAGACCGATCCTCCCACCAATATTTTTTTCCACCGCAGGAACTCTAAGACACGTCGCATCTCCTCCTTCAACAAGAGGACTTCTTCTCCCCATCTTTTGACTTGAGCTCTCGCCTTTAGCCATTCCATGCGAAGCGCTAATAATGCAACTTAGCTCGTACTCCCCAACAATGTAAAAGCTCACCATTATTCAGCGTGAGGTCATCATCGCCGTTAGTCACACCACTGACGGTCCAAATCCACGAAATCGTCTTGTATCCTTCTCCAAGACCTCTCCTGGCAGCCTCTTTTGCTTTCTTTGACCTGTGTCTGCTGCCTGCTGCTCTAACCTCATCATTCTCCTCTTCAATTTCACCTGATGTTGACTCGCCCGGTCCACGGATGTTGTCTGGCTTTAGTTCACGCAACTCATGCATCCAGTCACCGTCCCCACGCAATTTCCAGAGAGCCTTCTTTGCTGCTCGATACTTAGCAGCTGAGGCATCGATCTTTGTTGTAAGGCAGTCAATGAAAGCATTTGCTTGGGTATCAGCATGCTGACCATGGATGTTGGTATTACATTGTTTGATGTAGTGCATTTTTGTGTGCAGCTGATTGCCTAGTTTGTTTAGCGCGTCTCAGCATTGGCTTTCCCGCAGTTTGGCTTCAATATCTGTGATATCGTTCCGGCACATTTCCGTCCTGCATATCCTGCTGAGGGAAGATGGGAACCACAAGTTGATGTCTTCCGGCTCCTCCAGGGACTCATTCACAACTTCAGCAAGCCACGACTCTATTCCGACCATATAAACCGACTGTATTGAGTGGAGACGTTCGATTTGATGTTGTAACACCATTCGCCATTGTTGTAAAGTCACACGTTGAGAATCCTTGGCCAAAAATCTGTTGGCAAGATCAAGTTTGACACAGCGTCTGAAGAGACTGTGAGTGTCAATATGATCTGGATCAGATTAGCGTACTGAGACTCTTCCAGCATTAAGGCAAGAATAATAAATCTGCTCGGAGTGGTCTCGTGAGGATGTGCATTGCCCGAAGCAGCCGCAGACTTTTCATCATCTATGAGCTGTGTGCGAACTTGAGCTTCAATTAAATCTGTGAGTGAGTCAATGATAACTTGAATGCATATATGTATGTGTGCAGCAGTGCTTACCATTCTTAACATTGATATATGGATTCAGAAGGCTCTTGTCGCGTTCCCAGTCTTCAACCATTCTCAACCATTCCCCTCACTGCTGCATGTCACTAACAATGTTGTTGAACTCTTCCCATGCTGCTTTTTGTCTATCTCATTCTACAATCGCGAGGCATAGTTTTACTTTCAACAAAGTACCTAGAAGACTCGTTACATTAGAATCATAGAATGGCATGTGACATTTAATTACCTAGACTGACATATTTGCGCCAATTATGATGGCCAAAGTGGTCATCAAGTGCCAGTGTGTCATGTTGTGAGCCCGGGCCCATCTCCTTCATGCTGTTGGCCACACGATTCATCTCTGACCAATTACGCTCTATGCCTTCACCATGATCCATACGGCTGACACCGGGAATTAAGTTGAGAGAATGAGGAGTAGCGCACTTGATGTCGTGCGCAGGACAATGAAATTTAGGAATGCCAAAAATAAACGCTAACATCGCGGTAGTCAATGGCACTTGGAGATGTTCAGGTATTGCTGCCATCCTCTTCAACAAGTTTAACTTCCATTGACAGGCGATATTGTAAGAGATGATGACAGTGAGCACAAGGAGGGGGGCGAGGCTAGAGAAAAATATATAGTCCATATTGCAATATCTGATATTAGAGTTAGTTCAAGGATGAAACAGATTTATTTCAAACATACCATTCACCCTTTTGTAAATCACCCGCACCGTTAGGACAAACAAACTCGTGACGAGCACAAATGCAAAGGCCCATGCCTGTTGCTCGAAGACTGTTCGAAAATTTTGTTTCCGCATGAGCCAACGATTTGAATCCGCTGCACGAACTGATCTGCAAACTTGATCAGCAATAATAAATGTATATCGTTGGAGCAACACTCACGTCTTTCTGACTCACGTGCTTCAATATGTGACTCTTGTACTCTTCATTTGGGACGCAATAAGCCAGTCCAGTGTGAAGACCGGGATCAGCAGTATCGGATGAGCATAAATGATTTTTGAGTCTAAAATTCGCATCCATGGCTAAGATGAGGAAATACAGAAACCTGTCGAAAGATGTGAGACTAAGGACACTACAGCAAAAACTAGGCATACCGCATAGACGGATCAACGCTCTCCCAGTTGTCTGGTAAATTGATACCAGGGTGTGGGCAGGTGGGACATATAAGTGCAAGGTCACCAGCACAAGGCGTTACATTTCCATCCTCGAGATTACTGAATCCTGCTCATTTCACCATGAGGGTATGTCAGTACTGTCGGACTATATGCAGGAAGGCTGCATAGCGACTCTTCAGAATGTCGCAGAATGTTAGTGAAAGTGAGGTAGGGATTGCTAGGAGAAGACTCGCCTTGGGTGTCTCAATACCTGTATTATCTGTGAGATGTTCTAAAGTTTTGTAATACTCGAGTGCAGACACCTTGCTGGACAACATAAGAACGTGGAAGTGCTCTAGCACACGCCTTGTGCATGCAGTTTGTGGTTGATAAACAGTTGATGGGTACCAATCAGATTGAAGAAGTTGTTGCCAGTGAGAAATACGACATTCACAGCCGCAAAAAGTCACGTTGACGTGATGGACACCATTGACATGTATGACAAGAAAGTGTACATGCCCACGCTCAGGGCAGATACAATCACTATGTCCTAACCGCACTACCAAACCCAATTCCTTCAATGTTGTCCACTGGAAGAACTGGCCATTCCACATCTATTCAAGTTAAAGGTCAGTTCTTTTTGTTTCTTGTAATGAACACTTGCATTCTACAGACCTTGATTATATGAAGCGGTAGCTGCTGGTGCTGTGCTATGCAGCACTCTCTGCAAAGAAGCACCAAACCAAAACAATCTTCACAGTGGTAAACACCTTCTTTTTTTTTACCGTCCTCATCTAATTCTCCGCACAGACATGGAGAAGCTGAGTCAGCTTCCCCATGGCTCTCGAGGCGGAGGTCTTCGAGTAGATACTCCTGATGAAAACCAGACCGATCTCCGCATCCGGCCCACTCCTGCAAAGGGGCATCCTATACATGTTACTGTGAGTTTGATACTGCTGAGTAACTCTGGTAACTTACAGATGCTTGGTACCATTTTGCCATTGGTCTGGAGACAATGACATTGCCTGTACCATTCAGGTCGTTATCGGAATGAATCCCAAAGTCAGGGTCTCCTTCTGATATTGCATGCAGACTGTGGTATGGTTCTACATCCGCTGCAATAGACACCCTTGGCGGCATTTTGACTGGTGAGCAGGATATGGTGGCAACCCTCCGTCTGTCAACAGATATAGCCACAATGTGAGTGTTGATTGTCCTGGAGTCGAGCTCATCTTCTGACGACGACTCGTGGTAAGCCTGATATCTTGGCCTTTTTTTTCCCATAGCAAGGGAGGGTCACATTGCTATGACTGGGGATGCTACATAGTCTCCCCATGCTTGACGTGTACGTTCTCCGTACTCGACGTGCAGCTATGATACTGAAAAAGAAGCCTGTGCTCCGTAATTCTGTTTAGTATCCTCCCTGTCCGATCGTACAACTCCTGAAGATTGTTTGGGTAGCTGCATTTGTAAAGCTATGCCCTATATAAATTTTAATGGTAAGCGAACCTCTATTTTCACCTCCTGCCATTCACTTCTGACCACCTCTATCACTATGTCCGAGTCTGAGCTCCCCCCTGTTGATGTCCCCACTTCTGTGTCTACTGACCAAGTTGGTTCAATTCCGTCTCAAGTGGATCAAACCCAGCCATGTTGCACATCTTGTGCTATTTGTAGTTCGTGATATCGTCGTTTAACTTTGTGCACTTGACTGAGGCTGGTATAGACTGCATCCACAGCGGGCACATTCAACTTCAACTTGATAGCTTCAAGCCTTGCAGTGCTACAGGGAAGGTATGTATGCCGGACTGCTGTGGTGAGTATGTTTCAGTTCTATATAAATGCTACTTATATTCATTGCTTATCAGTTGATCTTGTCACGTGTTCAGTTCTGCATCTGCTCTGCCAACCTGATGCATCCTCATCTTTGCACCATGTCATTTATCAAATCATGGTTGAAGAAAGTACTCGCATCGCTGATGAAAGGGAGGCGGCTTGGCATGCTATGGTGGAAGAAGCTGCCACTCAGGATGATAATACCCAGTAACTACTAATGGCTTGTTCAAGTTGTATCTACTTGCGTGAGGGAGTTGTAGTGTACATCATGCACTTATACTTGCGCTTATACTACTTTTTGAATATGATTTGGTGCACGAATTTATTGACCACATTTCTAAGGATAAGAACGAAATGTGCGCTTGGTGCCTCGTCTGCAGGCACGAGTTACGGTTCGTTAAGTGTGCTCAATCCTAATGAGAACCTGCCCCTGTGTTTTAATTTTGCACAACATCGCTTGCCTATGCAAGTTTAATCCAACTCTCCTGGCTGCACTTGGTGTCAGTCTTGGAAAGCAATGGTTTGTATATTTCAAGTCCTCTACTTTACTCTACCCCCACCCTATCTAACCCCATGAGCTATGGGAAGGCATTAGTGGTGACTGCTCAACCACTCATCGCTGATCAAGTGGCATCTTTGCGAGAGAAGCACATTAATGTTGACTGCATGTCTTCCCTAAGGACCGTAGACGATTTGCGGGACATCATGGGTCGCCTTTGAAGCCAGCAAAAACCCGACATTTGCTATGTCACTCCTGAAAAGCTACGCGAGAGCAATGACATGCAAGATATTCTAGCCCAACTGTATGAATTACTTGGTGTAATAACTAACTCGGTGTAATAACTAACAAGCTGTTGACACAGAAACTTTGAGCAATTGAGAAACAGACAGCGGTTATATTGTTTACATTCCATCAACATGGAAGAACTGATGATAGTGCGAATGAGAGTTGAACATTGAACATTAGAACCAGTGTACGTCGACTCGGACTCCTATTACTACACTGATAGTTGCCTGCACATGATACTAAGTTACTAACTATCAATTACTACTAGTTAATATATCACGACACCCGCTCAAGGAAATACACTTGCAAGCTGACATGTGGCACGCACAAGTTCAATTGTCTTAATACTACAACTTAGTACAAGGATCCATAGGACCACTGCCAGCAGAACATGGTAAGGCCGTAACCCATTTCGATGTACATAACTTGGCAGTCTCGAATTTTTCACTCCTGCACCTTCATACTCACCAACACAGTCTTTGTGCCATGTTTCGTCCTATTGATAAAGCCTGGATGGTTGCTCAACGTGAACGTCGCATACAATATTATGTGCTGTATGTTTATTCTCAAATATTCATGTTGCTGACCTCGAATAACAATGCAACAAGACACAGGGAACGGATAAAATGCCAAGCGAAAAATAAACACAAGCATTATCAGAGGGAAAACAGTGCAGCATCTCCGTGGGTGATGTCCCGTTCTGCAATGTGTAACATCGCTAATGTTCACACTGCAGCATGACACTCGGAGATTGTATTCAAGTTGTCAAAGATGCCAAAGATGAGTTCATGCCAACAGTCTGCTCACCACGTCAATACATCAAGAATGTTGTCCATGAATTCATGAAAACTTTACCATGCAAACCCGAAGACTTGCGTCCCAGGTCAGGTGACATTTCGATCATAGAAAATGCCCTGTCATTATTAGACAAGATTTACTCCACAGCTCGCTTAGGGATGGATACCATAGAGGAATTGTGCGGAGTATGTGTAGAGTGGCATGCTGCCAATGGAGTTTGTCTGGCTGTACTGGCTGTTCTAACTCACCTTGAAGATGTGTTATGCTTGGCAATGCGCGCTGAATTGGTGGAGGCTGCTTTGTTTGGTGAGCTCATGTACCATCAATCATCTTAGCTACATTCATATACCAAGCTTTCATTGTTCTTGCTTTGAAGTATCTGAGAAAACTTTCATTGAAAAAATGGTACTATTCGGACAGTGAATACTACTGAGTGATCAATTCAAACAATACCAATATAGCAAGCGGCTAAGCATACAAATCTAGCGGCGGCGCAAAGTCCTGACATATTTTGTCAGTGGGGAGATATCGCACACGACGGAATGCTTACGTGTGCTAGTCCGATTCCTAAGATGGCATTAGCAAATACTTGGTAGAAAAGAGTGTGTTTTTATTTGTCAGCTCTACCTGGTCATATCAATTCTGGGTTGATTTCCTGATGTTATCGACACATTGGTCTTGACAAGCCTTGCCCCACCAATTGAGAGCACCTATCACGCTGAGGAAGCCATTCTGTCCCAGTTTGTCAAGTTCATGCCAGGATCCTGCTATCTCTCAGCTAGGAAGTAGAGTTGGCGAGTCAAGGGGTGCAGTTATGACCCTCCATGTAGGCTGCAGGGCGATCCACCATGCCCAGAAGTCGGTGGAATACTTACCAAGATCAGGCAGGGGTGGTATGCCTGACCTTGCATGTGCAATCCACCAGCCTACAGCTTCGGGTCGGTGCTTTTTGCCAAGTGAATGCGCTGGTCCCCTGCTGCTCATGAAAGAGGAGGATTGTTCCAGATGAACAAAGGCCGACAATAGCAAGGCATATTGAGCTGGAAGAGAAGGTGCATGAAGGTACACATGAGAATCCAAAAACCATTTGGGGCAGTCCGGAGGGAGTTCAGCTAGCCAAATGTCACCCTGATGAAGGAAATGTACCAAGGCACGCTTACTGTCAACATGATCAGATTCATTGCTTTGGTAGCTCACATCAGCCTTACGTATTGGGAAAAGCAACGAAAAAGACGTACTCGGAAGGCTGGGCCTCGATGTCGTTACTGGTTTCCATGTTTGCATTGTTCACCTGACAGTCTGGCAGATATATTGTTGTAGAGATACAACAATTGCTGGGCACTACACGAAGTGAGTAGCCAGCAATATAAAAATGTTGTGGTCATGCACAGCCTAGTCTGCTTTACTTGCAAGACAAGTGCATTCGACCCAAGGGGTTAGCTATTGGATTGGTCTGTAGTTAGTGAAATGATAAAACGGTCAAAAGTCCGAGCGCAGGAAACAAAGTCCGAAGGTATATCTATGATGTCCGATGCCAAAGCGTCAGGTCCGATGTTTTTGGGTTTTGGGTTAGCAGGTTTTGGGTTCGGGTTTAGCGGGTTAGTGGGAATGGCAATAGCGAACGTCAGGAAAGCGAGCGGTATGCGAATATATGATAACGACGGGTATTTCGGATAGAAAGAGCGGTAATATTCGCAATGTCAACTAAGAACTATGAAATATCGGGTTTGATCACTAAGTATCGGGAAACAGCTCCCTACTACTTGGATAATCAAAATACTCGTAGTCAGTCCAATATATATAAGTACGTAGAAATCCGGAAGGCCGTAGGCGAAAGTAGCGGCCGACGATTTCGGGTCCGAAGTACATGTAAATAAACACGAGGTGCTGCGGATGATGGGAAAACATGTAATAGCGCTGGCTACAATGTGAGTAATGTGTGAAATAATCAACTACGCACCTAGTGGGGCTAGCAAGACGGGACAGGACATGGATAGGACAAGTGTGCGGGAAAATATCGGGTCCGATGCGGCTGAAACGTCGGGTCCACTAGTCAAAGTGTCGGGTTTGTGTCGGGTTGTGCGGGTTACATCAGATAGTGACGGGCATTGAACATATATCAGGAAATCAGTGAATACGAGCCTAGCGCGAGCTCGAGTGCTACATCATTAAAGCCATTCACTCAAAAGTAACAGAACTCACCTCCAGTAGATGGAGACTCGATACCTTCTGTGTCGGCAGCCTTGTGCGATGCCTCAGGTTCTGGGTTGGTATCTGAGTGTGATGGAGGTTAGTACCAGTGGATCAACATCACCATTGCTGTGAACGTTGTTGTCTGCATCGGCTGGGCTGTCATGTTGGTCATGCTTGTTGTTATCTTCATCATCGATACCAGCCACATCATTGGCAGCCACGTCATCGGCAGAGTCCATGGATTCCTCGCTGCTATCAGAATCTGACTCCGAGTCTGAATTGAAAGAAGACTTCTTCTAGGATTTTGGCATTGACTTCGATTTTGAGCCCTCAGCTGCTAAATCACCATCAGAATTGTCCTGGTCTATGGTAAATTCCGCAGTGACATCCTCTGGTAGCCAACTGGCTTGAATCTGCTCCTCAGCTTGTTGTATTGCCGAAAGCTGTTAGCGTAAGAATAAAAATAAACACGCATTATACCTACAGTAGCAAGTTGTGAGGTAATGGGCGAATGACTTGATACATTGCCGAAAAGTGTTCTTGTCGAATCGTTGCCAATCGAGTGGCTTCAAGTTGTTATTTGTGCCTTCATGCATGCTGAAAGAGATATGTCAGCTCATGATAAAGTGAAATAATGAGGGTCTACGTTATGATTCTGATCTTGCCTTGTGCACATGGCTTGGGACCGCCAACAAAGAGAGAACAATGCATGCCCATGATCTGGGACATTCCTGAAAGCAAAGGGCCAGTGAAATTTGCCAACCTATCGATAGCGCTATAACTTAAATTGAGCACGAATGTAATAGTGAGGAAACAAAAACACATATACTTGACGTTCAGCTGGAGATGAACATGAGGGTGCACACAGTTTCTCTGTCCAAGCCTCCACAGCTGCCTTACAATTAGGGATCCGCACGGGTGAACCCCCGGGTGTTGGCAGGTCAACCCACACCTGCACCCCGAGGTAAACCCACACCCGCAGCAAGGGTGCGGGTTGCACAGTGGGTAGTAGCGAAGTAAGGACCCAGGGTACAACCCATCAAGGGTGTACCCGCGGGTCATAGATACTATATGGTAAATTTACGACACAGTGTACAATAGCTACTCAATGATAATATCAAAACAATGAAAAAGGCACCTACATTATCGATTGTCAGCCGCCAGTGCTTAGCACATATGTCCAGCACATGTCAGCGAATGCTGATGTGACTCAAACGTATGTGGATGGCACAAGAAGGAGGAGGGGCGTGCGCTGGGCATTTGTGCATGGCGTCCGTCACATTGGGAATGGCGTAGTGGTCATTGGTGATGGTGTTGCTGGGGTATGCGCTAGTGCCGGCGCGAATGACAAAGATGGTGGTGTGAATGATGGCGAAGGTGACGCGGATGGTGGTGTTGGCGTCGTGGATGGTGGTGTTGGTGTGAAAGCTGGTGGTGGTGTGAAAGCTGGTGGTGGTGCGAGTGCTGGGCGCACAAAGATAGGTGCTGGCGACGTGACACGTATGACGTTGTTGTTGTTGCTGGGGGTAGAGTCTTCAATGTGAGTACTCACTTCCAGCGTGCCCAATGTCTCATCTCCTCGAGTTCCTCTTTCCTCCTTCATCTCTATACCATCCCTTCTCCCTTCTTTGATTCTCTTGTCCTTTTGTCTTCGCGTGTCATCCGCGTGTGTTTGCATCGCATCAACACTTGTTGATGCGTTTCGGGCATGCGTGCTGTGAACGTGGAGTTGGTGGACTTGGGAAGGTGCGTTAGGTGCCGGTGTTGGTGGTGGTGCCGGTTGTAGCGTGCACGCAGGAATGCTGGGTGCAAAGATGTTGATAGTGGCATGGTGAGCGAAGACGTTGATGACGGTTGCAGTTGAGGAGTGTGCGAGGATGAGAGGTAGGAATGAAGAAAAGGACAAGGTAGTTAGCATTATAAAAATACACAATACACGCACCTTTTGATTAAGAGACAGCCCAAGAATGGTCAATGGGAACTTCTGACTTGGTGAATGTTGACGTTCTTCATGCCAAAAAAATTACCATTTATGGAAGGCATGGGTATAGCTGGGGTACGGGTAAGAGCGCGGGTCTTAGAATCCCGACCTGTACCCGTACCCCAGTAGTACCCGTACCCATGACCCGCACGGGTTACCCGTACCCGTGCAGATCCCTACTTACAATCATCCTTTGCAAGACACTTATACAAGTCTTGCGTTTCCTGACTTGTTTTGAGGAAGTGTTTTCATGTGATTGAGTCATGAAATGTTGCAAGATTCTTCGATGGGAGACCAGCTTTCTTCCACTGCTTGTGGAAGTCCTTCTTGACGATGTCATCAAAGTGGTCTTTGGACCAGCCTGAGCGTTGGTGGGGTTGAAGAGCTTTTGGCTTGGTTTTTGATAAACCAGAGAGCTGCAGTGCTAAGTACCAGGCCCACTCGTCGTTCTCAGGTTTTGCACGTCTTTTGAATTTCTGCGTTTTCCTGGTTTGGTAATCCAGCCATGCGTGTATACTCTAAAATATGAATGTGTCAGTGTAATGAAAATATATACAGAAACAAACCTTTCACATGGCAATGACTTTGTGCTGTTTTTGCTTGATCTCAATTTCACAGACCAGATCAATTGGTGGATGTATGAGAGGATTATATGGCATGTTGGGATTGTCTGTTACCTTCAGTCTCCAGGGAAAACACTGAAAGTAGCCATTGATTACTGAATCGAGCTGTTCTGAAGCTTTTGCGGAGCCTTCAGAGAGACTCGGAGATGCAGAATACAGTGGGAGTTGGCTATTCAAAAACTCCAAATGAGGACCCTTAGCCCAGTTCCGTTGCAACTTCTCAACATATGCGTCAGGATCATTCAAGTTGGTGTTGATCAAGGGAACAGGGGACGCAGCCTGGGATTGAGTCGAACGGCCAGATGGTGGGAGTGAGCTACTATATGAGTCGTTATTATCTCTACAACAGAAACATTATTATTCATTGATTTGAAAGGATCAAATGATCACTTACTCCATGTTTTTATCCACGCAACATTTGCACTTTCTCGAGTCTATTCCTGGGTTGATGAAGTGAAGCGACAAAAAGTGATGACAAATACCCTCTCAAGGCAAATTTGTGCAAATAGGAAATAAAACCATGACAAATGAATAAACGGAATGTGAAACCGTCAAGACTCAAGACAAATATGTGCAAACAGAAAATAAAACCATGACAAATGAATAAACAGAATATGAAACTGTGACAAATACCCACTCAAGGCAAATGTGTGCAAACAAAAAAGAAAACTATCACGACACACAAATAAACAGAAAACCAACAAATATATTGCTGGGTACATCCCACTGGCACTACAATATTCTAGCTCCGCTAGAACCCACTGATAGCCAACAGCTATGGCAAACAAGCCTGTGGTAACTGCCAGGTTAGTTTGGTCAAAAACTACAATATAGGCTGGTCGGATAGCCTGGTGAGGCGCATGAAGATGAGCGAAGCACGAGAAGCAAAAGTGCTATGAAGTGCAGTTGAGCGACAAGTGTGGTAACACGAGGTGCACGTGCAGGTGGTGGAGCGCAGCGACTCTAAGTGAGTCAGGAGACAGATAAGACAATGTTTTTATTTGAGAATATGAAGACTGGTGCTCGTGTGTGTTCAGGCACTTAGTGTCGGTCAGCGGATATGACAGAGATTTAGACTTAGAGTCCAACAATGTGCAGGAAGAAAGATGATCATTATACAGAGAGGCAGGAGTATATATATTCTAAGTAGCGTTAAGCACTGTCAAGCGCTAAAGTGAGCCAGAAAGCGAAGCGAGTACGTGATAACATGTAATAAGGGTTCATGACAAAACATACGGAATGTGTGCACAAGCACCGGAGATATGTCAGAATACATGAGAATAAAATAGGAACACGCACCGATGAACTGAAAGGACATGGAATGGATGGATGGAGGATGAGTGACAGAACTGAGGATGTAGTATGTGCCTATGCGTGGCTGAAGCGCTTGCACATGATGCGATCAGCCAATGAAGTGCCAAGTGCGTGGAACAACTTGATATGAGTCGAGCTATGTTTTAGAAGTGGTTAGAGCATTGGAGAATTAGCTCTCTACAAGGCCACAGAGATGTCAGTCTCTACACCACACACTTACCCCTCAAGTAGTACCCGTACTACTGACAAGAAGGAGACCAAAACACCACGGTGACAGGACTGAAAGGAGATGACCAATCAAAAACAAAAGAGGTTGGAAAAGCCATGCCACCAAATCTGGTGAGATCAATACAAAGTTTCCATCCTTAAAATCATTATACTGGCAATCCCCTAAAGGGTCCTGGGATTCAGTTCATTGTCCTACTACTAGTATGACTGACTCAGAGATGTGACATTGTCTAGACTCTATCATAGATAAATGTAGAGTCACATAGAACTTGAATGTTTTTTGTTTATAATAGATGATGTCATAGTTGACTCATAATCACTAAGACTACTCAGGCTAGATATAATTATATATATTCAATTACAGTATGGCAGTATGCACTTATGGTATAGTGGTATGATTGCTCTCGGAGTCTGCATTGTTTGGCTGTCGAAACTTGAGCTCGAACCCTGACAATTGATTTTTAATCTTCGGTACATTTTTCCTCAGCACGTTGCTTATATAATTTAGACTCTTCGAGAATTTGAACCTATTGTGGCCATTCTGGGTATAGCCGGCGGAGTTCGATTGTCATAGCCATTCCTTATATAAACCCTACTTGGTTCATACTGTTGTCTCTTTCCAACTCCCATGTTCAAATTTGTACCTAGTAATACTGATGCTACACGCTTCATCCCGCTACTATAATAATACTTAATAATGCAATGAATGTACTGACGGCCTGTAGTCACGCAATACAGTAGCTAGTAACTTAGTAACTTGTGAAGATTGTTATAATGTGCACTTTGCGCATTTCAATCAATATGTTGATATGATTTCGCAGACTCACGTCAGAAGTCAATCACCAATGGCTGTTCCACGTGGATCGCGACTTGATTGTGAGGTGCCTTCTTCCCACCATGACCAGCGTTATTGACGTCATGAATAGGAACACATGTACTAATCATGCCTTGATGGCTGTTAGTGATTTCTGATCATATGAGGACGTAAGGAAGTGTGCAATGTCAAAAACACTTACCTCTCCGAGGATAGTACACAGTCGGTACGCAGGCTCTTCCGTAAAATTTCTCAACATTTACTGAACGTTAGATCAGCCTTGCTTGAAATTTGCTTGGAAGGTAGCTCACACAAGTAACCGCACGTGCTGGTTGCGCACTCAGCCATGTACTCCCCTCGGCATATCCCTCGAGTGCGCTGAAATACAGCTACTTCAACGTATCTGCCACCCGTGGCGCACAGGCAACAGGGGTAACGAAACTTATGCGCCCGACGATAAGCTTCCCACCGCGATGGGTGGACTTTCCACCCATGTTGAGTGCTTGGCCTGAAGTACGTCTATATTAATGCCATGCTTTTGTACGATAAACAACTTACCATTAAAATGTAGCCAGTTCTTTTGTCTGACCATGGAAATGAAGTACACCATGGCGAGCAATCAATATCGTTACCAACATCCTCACCACGTTAGGGTCAGGTTTGAATTCCACGTCCGTCAAAATTGAACAAGAAGAACCTGGAGATGAAGGTGCGGACATTTCAATCTCAGTGTGTTAGAAGGATAATGGCTGAACACCTTATAGGTCACCTTTTAGGCCAGTCATTCCGGTGCCATCGAGTTCCTGGCAATATGCCACAATAATGGCGGCTTTAATTATATTGTCCCCTTCCGGCCGTTTCATCACAGAGCCATCGAATTCTGGCCATAATTATCAAATACTACCACGATCAGCAATACTCTTCGCTAGGACTCCTTCATGCCCTCAGTCACCCGGCTGTCCTTCATGTCAGTGTCCGATCTCACTTGTGTATGCAAGCGAACATTTACGACTCACAATCACTATAGCCAACACCAGCATTCATGCACTCAAACTAAAAAAACGCCTTTCATCGGCATTGTCATCTTTCAAGGATTTCGTCGCTCAAAGGAAAAGGCCACGTGTCTCGCTCGCTCCTGCTGAGCAACCTGTGGCCATTGGAGCTCCGAATGCCTTGTCGGCTTGTCACGCCAACGAGACTCTCGGTGGTGAAGCCTCCGTGTCACCCTTGTCTTCACTTCTTGAAGAGCCTGTGTCTTTGCACAATCCATCACAGGATTTTGTGGGTGTCCTTCGTGATCATAGCTTTGAAGAAGAAGGAGGAGGAGGAGGAGGAGGAAGAGATAATAAAATGGAGGACATGAGTTTGGCGCAGTGGAGACCCAGATGTCAGAACCGACGGTTGCTGCAGAGATTCAGGGATGTGCTCCCTCAGCCCCCACCTACTATACCTGCAGAAGTCCGTGTTCTGCTTCCGCAATCTGTTTGATGTATTGTCAGTCCAGAAGATCGCCCAGGCGTATCAGCGCGCTCAGTTTTCCATACTCCCCCAAATGTCTTTGGGCTAGTGTGCCAATACTTTTGCGCTATGCCCCCATCCCACGATCCAGAAGAGTACATGACTATAGCCGACCTCTCATTTATTCCTGAAGCCCCCCAAGAACCGTATGCTTCAAATAACCATTCTCTCTATCATCTATATCCCAATCGTTCCTCCTTCCAGCTTGGCGAGTGGTATTGGAACCAGGGACTTCAAAAGTCTCAAGCAGACTACACGAAGTTATTGGATATTATAGGTACCAGTTCTTTCAGCGCTTCCGATGTGACCTCCACGCGTTGGAAGAACATTAACTCTACGTTGGGGGTGAATGAATACGATGAAGGAGATGGGGATGAATGGCAAGACAAAGATGCCGGATACTGGTCTCCATTGAGGTACCTTTTTCCCGCACCACCGAAAAACCAGGGCCCCGGACGTACAAAGCCGCACATCTGTATCATCATTCGCTAGTAGCTGTTTTACGGGAGAAGCTCTCGAATCCTCGAGATGACAAATTGTTTCATTATGAGCCATATCAGCTGCGTTGGACTCCACCGCATATAGACGCAGAAATCTCCATACATGGCGATCTGTACACATCGCCAGCCTTTCACAAAGCTCACACAGAGCTGCAAGAGTCACCCGGAGAACCTGGTTGTAATCTGCCTCGAGTTGTAGCTGGCATTATGTTTTGGTTGGATGCCACGCAGCTCACGTCATTTGGCAATGCAAAACTGTGGCCTACCTATATGTATTTTGGCAACAAGTCCAAGTATTGACGCTGTAAGCCATCGTGCAATCTGAGCAATCATATTGCATACTTCGAGATGGTACATTTTACTCAAATTTCGCACTTTACATCACACTTACCATTACGCTGCTCAGCTTCCGGACTCATTCAAAGACTTCACAGGAGGAAAGGGGTTGTCCAGCGATTGTGCAACTCATTGCCATAGAGAATTTTTTCACGAGCAGTGGAAGATTTTACTGGATGACGAGTTCCTTGAGGCATATGAGCATGGTATTGTAGTTTGTTGTTGTGATGGCATCAAGCATAGATTCTACCCAAGGATCTTCACTTACTCTGCGGATTATCCAGAAAAGTAAGTAAACTCTTATATGACATCGAATATTATTGATGTTTTTCTCCAGGGTGCTTATAGCTACAGTTCGAAACCTAGGAGGATGTCCATGTCCTCGATGTTTAATACCAAAACATCGGATTCAGAATATGGGTAGGCCTCAAGATCGTCAACAGCGTGATACTTTGGCTCGTGGTGATGAGAGAAGACGAAATATCGTGGACACTGCACGCGAATTAATTTATGACAAGAATTTAGTGGTCGGCAGTGCACCAGTTGAGCATATCCTTAAACCACATTCATGGGTGCCCACTTCGGTAAGGCCTGAATCATTTTTGTAATAGACCATGGCTAATTATTCTTCAGAACGCATTCTCAGATCGCCTTGGCCCCTTGGGGTTCAATATTTTCCGGGCGCTTGTGGTCGATCTCTTACACGAGTTCGAGATTGGCATCTGGAAGTCCCTTTTTACCCACTTGTTGTGTATCATTTTGGCGCATGATAAATCTCTTGTCCATGAATTAGACCACAGGTGCGCATGTGTCATCGTACTGGCATTTCATCTGTCTAAATCCTACTATCAGATACAGGCAAACTCCAACATTTGGCCAAGTGACCATTCGAAAATTTTCTGCTAACTCTTCAGAGATGAAGAGGATGGCAGCCCGCAATTTCGAGGACTTGCTCCAGGTATGAACTTACTGTTGTTGGTGAAGTGCAGTATCTGATGTGAAGTGCAGTGTTCTATCCCTGTCTTTGACGGCCTCCTTCCAGAACCACACAACACGATCGTCCTCAAACTGCTATTTACGATGGCGCATTGGCACGGGCTTGCTAAACTTTGAATGCATTCCGATCTGACCCTTGACATTATGGACCTGGTAACTTCCGCAGTTGGTCAACAGTTCAGGGAATTTAAAGCCAAGGTTTGTGACGCTTACACCACCCGTGAACTTCATCGGGAAGTCGAGGCTCGTACGCGACGCCACGCAAGGCAAGCATCGAAACAAAACGATGTGCGCAAGGGCAAGAAAAACGCTTTGAATTATGGGCAGCAGACAAAAGTTTTCAACTTCCAAACGTACAAATTCCATGCTTTAGGAGATTATGTGTCCACAATTCGGCGATATGGCACGTCCGACTCGTACAGCAGTGAACCAGTCCGTTCATTGTCATTTGCCTGACCATAACTAACTATTTACTCCAGGGTGAACTTGAACACTGGTCACCTAAGGCGAGTTATCGCCGCACCGATCACAAATTATTTGTGAAACAGTTGACTCGGATCGAACATAGGCAGACTCGCATTCATCGCGTGGGTGACAGGGTCGTTCATCGCCCCCACATTGAAATCACGGAGTTAGCGAGATGCCCGGACGTCCACCACCATATAGGCCTGACACAAAAGCATCCTATTCATGTAGGATCCTACTTGCGCCTTCATGAAGGCGATCCAGCTGTCAAGGTCAGTCTCATTATCACCACGTAAACACCCTTACACCTCCTGCAGAATTTCGCGTCAAAACTGAAACTTCATCTGTTGTGTCGCACCACGATATCAAGAAATATTGCAGAGTCACATCAAGATACTAATTCGATCATCCTCAAGGATGACCAAATATATAGTCACAACACCGCTAGGTTTAACTATACTACATACGATGTTCGTTGAGCCCAAGACGTCATCAACCCACAGACTTCCCACTCCAACATTATGGTTCTCCACGCCAAAAACGATATGGGACCTCAAGGTCACAGATATATTTACGGCAAGGTACTGGGTATTTATCATACTAATGTAATTTTTATCGGAGTTGGTATGGTCGACTATACACCAATTCGAATGGAGTTTTTATGGGTTCGGTGGTACGAACCCATAGATGAAGTCTCCACCTGGGACTCCTCAACCATGGATCGTGTTAGATTTCTGCCTGTGACTCACGATCACTCGTTTGACTTTCTGGAACCAACCGATGTCCTTAGGGGCTGTCATATTATTCCTGCTTTTGCTGGCAAAAGGAGACGGTCTGATGGATCAGGTCTCTCAGTGTGTGCAGGAGATAAGAATGATTGGCGCGCATACTACGTTAATCGGTGAGTAATGCTCCCGCTACACGCATGACATGCATTCAGTTCATAGTTTTAGGTTTGTAGACCATGATATGTTGATGCGGTTCCATTTCTGTCTTGGAGTTGGGCATACTTACTCGCACCATCATACCTCACAAGCTCAGTCTCAGGATGAGTATCTCTCAAGCTTCGAGCATAATCTTCAAGATTTCGAAGATAGCAAAGAAGTTGAAGGCCACGATGATGATGATGATGATGATGAAGAGCAGGAGGATTCCGAGTCAGAGGCCGAGGTCGAGGTGCCTGAGCAACAGTTCGGCTCTAGCAGTGAATCGTTATCTAAGTTTCAGGAGATGTACGATAGTGACTTAGAATTAGATTACGAGAACTAGCATTTTAGAGTCACGTTGCATTGGCGTGGAAGACGGGCAATCATATGGTTCAGCCAATAATGTATTATTGTACCGCCTGAATGGTGCACATAATAAGGGTCCGGACTTTGCGATGGCACTGCGACGACCAGTCGTTAATCTGAGCCTCATGCCAGCAATGTAGCTTAACCTGGTATGTACATGTAATACACTCTTGTACTAACACCTGATAGTTCCTGCTACTTTCAAGACACCGCACTGACTAAATGGCGTGCTAAGCATATTAATGTCAGCTCAATCCAATTATGTGTTTGTTATCGCTCTAATAGTCTAGTTTATACTCGATTTTACAGGAATTTTTCGATTGTGATTTGGCATTCTCAAAATGGGGGATGATCGTGTCGAACATCCACTGGGGCTGTGCGCAAATTGTATTTCTCAATAAGCCTTAAATATGCATTGTATTGATGTTTTTTGTAATTCATCGCAATTGCAATGTCTACCTTCGATAATCACGCAAACAATATGATCAATGCCGATGTGTGTTTGTTCGACCTGTGCTTCCTGGGTTCCTCCCGTTCTCTGCAAGTTTTCTTCTCTCGCAACACTGAACAACTTTACTCACTGGTTCCTTCAGGGTGTCCCTGTAACCACTGTTCAACTTGCAGGGTACTTGGCACTGGGCCCTCAGCCCATTATTTTACCTCTATATGTAAGTATTCACTGATTTGTTTACACTGCATCTCATCTATGTTATGGCGCAGTGTCCCCCAATCGCTTTTGGCACTGTAGGTGGATTTTGTTTTTATGCGTGATTTATACTTACTACCTGCTCCCAGCTAAAGCAGCAATTGTCTCTCTTCGCATATCTGCAAACCCCGATGATCCATAATATGGCATACAAGTTACTACCCAGCAATGAGGTACCTGTGTATGTTTTAGCAGTAGGTTCCATCTGTACTGTATCACGTGTTCCTACTACTGATTTCCTGCCAGCTGTCAGATATCGCCGCACCGTTCTTGAATTTGCCATGGCTGAAAGGCAAGACAGGCAACGATAAGATGCTGCATGGTGTTTACGACTATGTACGTCTGAGTCCGCCTCGCTTGAATGTATCACATTCTCATGCTACAATGTCGTAGCTTGGTGTGGCCTGGGTCGACAAACCTTTAACTATCGTCCATCTTGCGCAATTTCCTCTCGGCTACCAATATATTCAGGCTGACGATTTAATCGACGAATTAGAGTCGATCCTTCAGACCACCTGGATTGACTCATCAGCCATGGCTTCAGCAGCAGGAGTTGTGCGGTCGGTCCGCCCCAAGAAGAAGAAGGTTCAGGCTGAACACACCCTTCATGGAATTATGAAGACCTGCCCAAACTGGGGCAGGGCCCTGGCGTACCTGTGTGTCTTTTTGAGGATTTTCATATGTTGCAGTCACACTGACAATCCTCATCTTCTCACCAATGTCGATTACGGCGAACGCAGACTTGAGCTTGCTCGCAGTCTCTGGCCTAGTTGTCTGAATCGTGCAAATATCACTATCCATGATTTGGAAACGGGTAGGGGAACTCGTTATGGTTTTTCATATAGACTGAATATTTTCTAGTGCTGAACAAAGACTCCAAGCTTCCAATGTCACAAAACGAAGTATTGGCGCTCGTACGTGTCATTCCTGTCTTCATTTTCTTGTCTCATTTTAAAATAGTCGAGCCCGTGGATTACGCAATTTCTATATGATACCCGTCGGGTGATCACCATCTCCATGGACGACGCTCGCATCTTTGGGCTCAGCAACTTCTTTGGCGTGGCTCTCAAGCACAGCATCGGGACTCTCCTGCAGATGTTCACGCGACCCCATGCACATTTGCTTCCAATCTGGGTGAGTTCTCCGGAATTTCTTTCATCATTACACCCTGATTTTATCGTGCAGATCAACGGGTTTTATGCCTTCTTGATTCATCAAGCAGGAAAGGAGTTGGTTTATCATGTCATATTCAGGACAACAGCGACAAACTGTATTCGTTTCACAATCGCCGATCTAGAACCAGCAGTCTTCAGGCTCTCTGCCCACCCGCCAGTAGATACTTTGGCTTTGGTAGGGTCATGTGTAAGTGCTCTACCATCTCACTATTTTACTTGCGTTTACTATTATCACACTAGTGCTACCAGTCGCTCCTCACGAAGCTCATGAGCATCTGGGGCACCGCAGACGTCATGCCACAGTTTCCTCCTGTGAGCCAAGTGCACACTGAACTTCGGGAGACAGCTGTGATGCTCCTCCAGCAAGATGAAGACCCGGACATTGTCATGTTCAGGGGTCAAATGAGAGTGCTGTGCAACATCACGTAAGTTGACAGGATACTTATGCTTTCTGTACTAGGGCTAACAGCAGTGCAATGCGTAGTGAGACCAATGTGTTCTGGATCAGCCGCAGAGGATCTGCGACCTAACACTGCTGAAAATGAGTCCTGAATCCACGCTGTATATGTATTATGTAACATCTACTCAAATGAGCCTTTTGAAATATACTTTGTTCTCTGTCGGACTGCAAATTTTGTGCTTGTGAAAGTCATTGCCTGCACTGCTGATACATCGCGAAGTATTTCCCGATTGGTCGTTCAGGATAATACTAATAATGTGCACAAACAGGTCATCTTTTCACTATCTTATTTGTGCCGTTTTTTAAGGTTTGATGGTTTGATCGCCATCGCATCGTTTGATTGCTATCGCTCCTCAAACTACTGAATAGGTTGTGTAAACATTACACGCTCATGAGAACACACCCCTCTAGCCTCTCTCTCTTGCTTCCCTCTAACTTCAACATGGTGAACACCAGTTCCGCTGTTCCTTTTACATTTGAAGTGTCTTCCTACTCTCATTTTCTCGGAATTGAACAAACTGAGACTGCCATGATATGTTGGCTCCAGAAACAGGAGCATGATACTGTGAGCGCAGGTCCTATGATTATTGTAGCATTCTAACTTTGCTTCCAGCTTCCAGACTCCCTCTTTGCCACAGCTTCCGTGCTGTTTGGATGGATTGACTCCCACAATCTTATAGCTCTCCTTGACGTGAGCCTCCGGGAGGTTGCGATGCAGCTCGAGCGAGAACATGATTTTGGTATTGTATCCTGTTTGCAAGGGAGATGGTGGATGGAGGACAGGATGCACCAAGCTCAAACTGAAATTTCATTGTTCAGTACTGCTATTGCTAACTTGTGCGAAGAAATGGAATGTAGAAGTTCCCCAAGTGAGTGACACCTTGCGATTTTTTTCTGTCCGTTAATATTTGTTCTTAGATTGCCTCAGGAAGCTGCCCACAATGGGTGATGTCGCATGTATGAAAACATGCTTATCACCCAGTTTGGTCAATTTCGATGACGTCCGACCTATACAGGTCATGCCAGATAAATGCGATGCCCGAGACAAATGCAATGCATGGCTTATCGCGTTGCAAGGCAATACCCTGGATGATTCTGATGTCAGTTGAATACCATTTGGTTCCCCACGTGCAGAAGCTGTTCATTTCTATGAATACCTTACGGGGGTAAGCGCTATTCATGCTACAAGAGAGGAGTTCTGATGCGACGCTGTGCAGCCTAACGATCGATTTCTCTCCCTGCCTCGCTTGTTGAAAATATGGGTCGACAATACCACATATCGCACCTACATAATCGCATCCCTAGCAGAGTTCAAACCCTCATATAATCGTGACAGCTTCAAAACAAAGGAATGCAAGAGTCTGACCATCCTTAAATCCGATCTACATATGCTTGGACTGAAGAAGCAGTGTGCGCAGGTCGAAGTGGACATGCTTTCTGAAGCAATAGCGCGCATGTCTGAGTTCAAGCACACTGATGACGGTAAGCATGCAGTTACACTTGTTTTTTTTCGACACTAACATCACTGTAGGCATATCTTCCGGAAGTTCAATGATGTGTGTGTCATGTCTGCCTGAAACCAGCGTGGGCTCGTTCGATGATTGGTTGTCCTCATACACCTCTTCTGATATATCATCAGTCATGTGACACTCTTACTTGTAGTTGTACCGAGTTTTTGTAGCCCTTCCCCATGTCACCCAAGTAGGTTGTAAGTTTGTGTGCTACTTTTATGCTACTTCTATTCGACTGATTTCTTGATAATCGAGGCTACTAGAATGTCGTCGTCAAGAACCTTGTTTACCATTTATGTACAATTTGTTCTGGCAAGATTTGCTCTGTCTATCAGCATTGGAATGGAATTCTCATGGTGAAATAATGAGAAATACACTCGATGACCACGAACTTACAGTGTTCTTGCCCACAGCTGCAAGTGTCAAATTAACATACTTATTACAGCTCTGCATAATTACGCCGAAGCACAAAAGTTGAATTTGCATGTCGGAAATGCCCTAGGTACTAGGACCCCTAATCTATTAGTAGGCACAAGATAGTACTATTCCCAATGGCCCTCCGAGTCTGGGCATCCCTGTACCCTACCAATCTTTTTTTCCATTTTATTTCCTTTTGAACGTTATCTTGGCATTTTTCTTACATAATCTGCTGCTCGTGGTTGGTCAAAGCCTGTTATTGTCTAATTAATTACTAGTACTAAAGCTACTCGATGTTGAGCAGCATCCAAAGTTCTCACATCCATATGCCCAGATTCACTAGTGGCAATGCGAGCATGACATCTAGAACTTGCATGATACAATTAGATATGCATACTTGTAAGGTGTATGTCAAAATAACATGTCCCTAGCATAGCTATATATTTGATCATACATATGTTGCATACTTGTAAGATTCATGTCAAAATGAGATTCCCATCACATAGTCATATACATTTTCATATAATTGTTCCATACTTGTAAGGTGCATGTCAAAATGACATGCCCCTCACATAGTCATATATTCCTTCATATAGTTGTTGCATACTTGTAAAAGACATATCAAAATTATGTGTCCCTAGCATAGCTATATATTTGGTCATACATATGTTGTACACTCATAAGATTCATGTCAAAATGAGAGGCCCTTCACATAGTCATATACATTTTCATATACTTGTTCCAAACTTGTAAGGTGCATGTCAAGATGTCATGTCCCTGGCATAGCTATATATTCTTCCATACACTTGTTGCATACTTGTAAGATGCACATCGAAATGATGTGTCTCTGAGATAGTCATATATTCTGTCATACACATGTTGTGCAAAAATAATAATATATAATTTTAGATCTAGATGTATCATAATGTTCCATACCTGTAAGGTGCATGTCAAAATGACATGTCCCTGGCATAGCTATATATTCTTTCATATACTTGTTGCATACTTGTAAGGTGCATATCAAAACGATGTGTCTCTGACATAGTCATATATTTTGTCATACATGTGTTGTGCAAAGATAATAACATACAATTTTAGATTTAGATGTATCATAATGATTTTTATTTGTCAGCTCTACCTGGTCATATCAATTCCGGGTTGATTTCCTGATGAATGGACCCGCACCCGAGGGCTGTGTTGCAGCATTCTGCACATCCAATGGTGCAGGCGCTCGGATTATCCACTATCACATTCCCACCAGTGATCTCAGTCTGGCTCATCCACGCAAAAAGAACCAACTTTGCCTTATTTTGGACGGGGGGTATTGTGGACTCGTCCTACCTGTGGCAAAGTGTAACAAGAATCTCAAGACTGTTGAGATTTTGATGATGGCTTCAAGTACAATTACATCCACTCTGCATTTCAACCAAATATGTCTCATGGAACCTAGTGCGCAATACCAGTAGACAATACCAGTAGACAATATTATTGCAGTAATTTGATCATACCATTTGTTACTACAACTACCTCTAGGATTCCGGAGTACATTGCCAATGTGTGTCTTCTCATGTGGTCATGAGTTCGAACCTCTTGAATGACAGTTTCTTTTTTCTAGGTTTATCTACTCTCTGTCTCTGCTTGAGCTCGAGGGTTCGAATTCCCTTGGTGTTTTTGTTTTTGTTTTTATTTTACACTAGTGTCTAGCTTGACAGACGGCTTGACCTGGTCACCCGAGAGGGCGCAAGGAGGTAGAAAATCCTATGCGCGTTATTGACCTTGTATAGCAAGCCAAGCTTGATATTATTCTGTGAGTCACATACCCAAATTTTCGGTTGTTCATCGGCGATTTGATACACAGTATCTGCGTGCGGAACCCACACTCCCTCGGCACCAGTAATGCGTCCTTGTACGGCTGGAAGGCGCATCAGCTACACTGGAAGGCATTCGTGGGCTTTTAACCTGTGCTCGTGCTTGCAGTGTTCCTCTTGATCCGAACCCTAGAGTCTTGTCAACGAGCTGTGGATGACTTGGAAGAGCGCGCAAGGTTGTTATTGGACCGGTCACACAGGACCATTGAAGAGCTGGACGAATTCTTTGAGACAGATTATACCATTCTATTGATCTCACAATCTATGACTGGCTGATGTCCGCGCGCAGCAAAGCGAAGGATTTCAAGAAATACGTAAAGGCTTGGATATCCCTTGATGGTCAAGGACTCAAATTCAAGATTTCGGGAAGTCATGCGTTTTGTTGCTCGCACTGAAAAAGACTTCAGTATTCCTGCTATCAGAGATTGGAAACAAATTGCCGAGTTTGCTTTGGATCTTGAGAATCGATGTGAATCAATCCTTCAGCATCGTTATCAGCACTGGGAAGACACAGACGTCTTTGGGATGATCCAGAAGTGGAGATCCTATGCCCGGGACTATCTCACCATGTTCTCACTTCGCCTTTTCAAGAAGCTGGACGATTAGCTCACTCGCCATTAAGAATGGTTAGAAGGTCTGTCGTGGTCCCGTCCGCAGCACGAATGCGCACCTGGTTTGGACATCCTGAATGATGTTGAGTCAAAAAGACAAGAAAGTTCGCTGTGTCTCCAAGTCGCGAAGTCTTGTATGGTCTTGACCTTACTGTTCTGCATCGCATCCTCACTGGTCAACCTCCAGCTGTTCAGGTCAAGAAGAGGCAAAGACCAATACTTTTGGCCAGGATGTTGACCAGGATTGGCTGGATGGTACGCGCTGCATATGCCGTGGTCGCACGCCATACCTCCTCAATTATCCAACCATTGAATGAGAAGTTTGCAGAAGACATTGCCACTCTGGCTGCGCCTTCTTCCCTATGGAGGCCAACATCAGTGGCAATAATCGATTTGTGTGCCCGCTGTACTGTTTGCGTAGGAGTTGACCATACATATATTCAGAAGTCCACATTAAGCACGTTGGTTAGTAAAATTTGTTGAACATATTGCCCACACTAAGGGATGAGCAGATAAGCAAGATCGAGACACATATGTCAACACGAATGCGATGCTGGATACCTTCAGCAAAGAAATTGTTTATATGAAGATACATTATTCATGGAACTCATACAATTTTTGCCCAGCCAGCTTGATCTCAATAACGGCAATGCACCAGCTTCCAGGAGTGTTCCAGTGCATACAATGCCTCACAGTACTGAACCTCAGGCTAGCTCTTCTACGCACCACCGACATTCGCATATTCACAGCACTCCCATGCCGTTTCCTACACCACTAACACCTGTTTATGAGCTTGCAAGGCAGCCATCAGTGAACCGACATCACGTCCCACCTCCCTCACCTTGGTAATCCCATCAATAATCACCACATTTGAACAAGAGGTGTAATTGTGTGGATGACACTCCACAAAACAACCAGGAGACGAGATCACCTAAGCAGCGGCATCTTCCTCAAACCCCTGTTCTTCCGCCCAGCAGCTTGTATGATGCAGCAGATGCTTTTGCCTTCACTGACCATGATTGTACCACCAGTTAACACCGAGCCTCAAGCGCTCAAAGCTCAAAAGGCAAATCACGAGAGTCCTATGAGTAGCGGAATCACACCAGCATCAAGTTTATATCATATCCTGCACCATAAAATTACAGTCACGCCCCATACTATATTCCACATCACGCTAACCAATCATAATCATAATTTTTGACCTGAGGCTATAATACTACAAATTTCTTAGGCATTGCTGAGCGGACTCTGAAAGCGGCATGACAACTTATGGGGGTGATGCCTCAGTGGTCAGCCGTGAGGCATGTTTCCCATTTCGGAGGCTGCCGGCGGAGTACAAATATCAAAGTCGTTCACTATATAAACCCTACTTGCTTGCACTTGTATTTCTTTTTCCTTTTTCATCATCCCAAACACAACCACTGAGTATGTTAGGCACGTAGTAGGGTTGTAACATGGTGTGCCGCTTGGGCCCTAAGTTTTAACTGTAGCTCAAATGAGTAATTGAGTACAGAGCGCATTAGAATGATAGTGAGATACTCCCGTCCTCATGACTTCGTCTCACATGATTGATGAAAGGTCTAGAACAATGATCGTTGTCATTGACATCAATCATATGGTGGAACCACGTTGAGCGGTTGATCAGATCTAAAGATATGAGCACATGAGAACGATCAATTGTGAATTCATACCTCCGAGGATAATACACAGCCGGTACGCATGCTCTCCCGAAAAACTTCTCGATATTTACTAATTGAGAGATCAGAAATGTCCACCCTCTAGGAACTTTGCCTCACACATGTAGCCACAGGTGCTGGTTGCACATTCGGCAACATATTGTCCCTCACATACGCCTCTACTACGTCGAAATATTGCTACTTCGACGTACCTGCCCCCACTTGCGCACATGCAACATGGGTACCAAAAAGCATGTGCCTCGCGATAATCCGCAAATTGTGAAGGATGAATTTTGTGTCCATATTTGGTGGACGGCCTTGAATACAGATGTGAGGGTAGGCGAAGCCGCACTTCTCAAAATAATGAACTCACCACTGAAACATTGTTAGTTCTCCTGTTTGGCCATGGAAATGCAAAATTCCGTGACGTGCAGTCAAGATATTCACTAGCATGCTAACCACCTTTGGGTCGGCTTTGAATTCTGGGGGTTCAATGCTGGAGCACCTGGAAGATGTTGCGGACATGTCAGCACACATGCAATTAGCTGGAAAGTGTATTGGAAGATATATAGTTCCCCCCGCACCTCATTGTCCTAGCACCATTGCGTGCCTGGTCAAATTAGCAAATATTAATTTCTCTCGGTCGTAAGGTCGCCATCGTCCCACATGTTTTCAGTTACCTCCTTGGGTCAGAAACATTCTCACATCATTCCTTCATGTCGGCGTCTGGCTATACATGCGTTTGCAAGCGCTCTTTTGCGGCGCAGAACTACTTTAGCCAACACCAGCGCTCATGTCTGCAAACCAAGAAGCGTCTTTCATCGGCGATATCTTCTTTGAAAGAGTTTGTAAGCTGCAGGAAAAGGTCTCATATCTCGAACGATGAACCTGTGGTCGATGCCTCATCCAATGGTGTTGATCCGCCTGCTTACCCCCCTACCGGTGTGGATGATGCTTCGCCAGCGCATCAAGATTCCGAAGCTACAGCGTTTCTTTCCAATCTATCACAAGATTCCGTTGGAGGTGGAGGAGTGGACATGGATGACGACAGGGACATGAGTTTGGTGCAGCGCAGACCGAGGCGTCAGAACCGACAGCTGCCTATGAGATTCAGGAACGTGCTACCTCAACCCCCACCAACTGTCCCCCCAGAAGTTCATGGAATTTTTCAGGAACCTGTTAGCCGTGTTAGCACAGTAGAATGTCCAGTCTCACCGGTGCACATGGTAAAATTTCGCACCCGCCCCAATGTATTCGGGTTAGTACATCAATACTTCTCCTCGACACCGCCATCACACGACCCAGAAGAGTATATTATGATTGCAGACCTCTCAATCATGCCTACCACCATTCAAGTCGACCAATTACCCTACGAAACTCCTGCTTTGAGCAGCGATTCTCAATACCATCCCTATCCCAATCGTTCATCTTTTCAGCTTGGGGATTGGTACTGGAATCAGGGCGTCCAGAAGTCACAAGGTGACTATATGAAGCTGATGGACATATTGCGCTCCAGGTCCTTCAGCACTGACAACATGAGCTCTACTAACTGGAAGGAGATAAATACCAAGCTTGGTGTGAACGAGTATGATGAGGGAGATGGGGAGGAATGGGAGGATGAAGACACTGGATGGAAGAGAATGCCGGTCTCCATCGAGGTGCCTTTTCCCCGCACCACCAAAGTTCCAGGTCCTCGCACGTATCAAGCTGCCGATTTATATCATCGATCCATTGTAGGTGTTGTGCGGGAGAAACTTGCCAATGCCCGAGATGACAAGCTCTTTCATTACGAGCTGTATGAGTTGCATTGGAACCCTCCTCACCTGGACACGGAGGTTTCCATATATGGTGACCTGTACACTTCCAGGGCTTTCCATGAAGCCCACAGTGAAGTCCAAGACTTGCCCCGGGAACCTGGTTGTAATTTGCCCCGAGTAGTCGCTGGTCTCATGTTTTGGTCTGACACCACGCAGCTCACTTCGTTTGGCAATGCTAAACTCTGGCCAATGTACATGTACTTCGGTAATGAGTCTAAGTATCGCAGGTGCAAGCTGTCATGCAACCTAAGCAATCACATTGCTTACTTCGAGACGGTATGTTTCTCTCAATTCTAACTTCACAGCTTATCTAACGTCACACTGCCAGCTCCCAGACTCTTTTAAAGATTTCGTAGGTGGGAGAGGAATCAACAGTGAGTGTGCTACGCACTGCCGTAGAGAACTCTTCCATGAGCAGTGGAAAATCTTACTGGACGACGAGTTCCTGGATGCGTACGAGCACGGGATCGTGATATCATGCTGCGACGGCATTACACGTAGATTTTATCTTAGGATATTTACATACTCAGCAGATTATCCTGAAAAGTAAGTGATGTCATTAGCAAGTTGAAATACACTGATTACAATTTGATCAGAGTGCTGATAGCCACAGTCCGAAACTTAGGAGGTTGTCCATGTCCCCGCTGCCGTATACCTAAAGATCGGATCCATAATATGGGACGGCCGCAGGATAGGCAACAATGCGAAACCCTTAAACGCGATGATAATAACAGGGGACTCTTAGTAAGTGATGCACGCAAATTGATTTATGAAAAGGACTTCGTGGTCGGGAGCGCACCAGTTGAACGCATACTGAAACCACAGTCGTGGGTACCAACTCTGGTGAGGCTGAATTTCTGCATTATCGATCATGCCTAACACGCGCCTTAGAATTCATTCTCAGATTGCCTCGGGTCAAATGGTTTCAACATTTTCCGTGCTCTTGTCGTCAATCTCTTACATGAGTTTGAGCTTGGCGTGTGGAAGATGCTATTTGTGCACCTCTTACGAATCGTTGTGGCCCAGGACAAGGGACTTGTACATGAATTGGATCGCAGGTATGTTACTACACCATGCGTTACCTAGTCCAGCTGACCCCCTGCGACCAGATACAGACAAATTCCAACATTCAGCCAAGCTACCATTCGAAAGTTTTCGGCCAACTCTTCCGAGATGAAACAGATGGCAGCTCGCAATTTTGAAGACCTCCTTCAGGTATGATTCCACCCCTAGTGTGGCTAAATTGGCCCTCACGCAATGTACAGTGTTCCATCCCTGTCTTCAATCGTCTCCTGCCTGAACCTCATAATGCGACCATTCTTGAGTTACTATTCACCATGGCGCACTGGCACGGATTGGCTAAGTTAAGAATGCATTCCGATTTGACCCTAAATGCCATGGATTTAGTGACTTCAGTGCTGGGCCATCAGTTCTGCACTTTCAAAGCTAAAGTTTGTTCTGTGTATGATACTCATGAACTTCGTCATGAGGTTGAAGCTCGCCGCCGACACCATGCAAAACAAGCAGCAAAACACAAGGCAACCAAGAAGGGCAAGGAAAAGCAAAGGGAGGTGGTTGAGTCAGAAGGTGCTGTGAACAATACGCAGCAAGCAAAGGTATTTAACTTTCAGACTTATAAATTTCATGCCTTGGGAGACTACGTGTCAACAATCCGCCAGTATGGCATGGCCAATTCCTACAGCAGTGAACCTGTACGTCCTCTGATGTTTATATCTGAACTTCACTGACTTATCCAGGGTGAACTTGAACACCGTTCACCCAAGGCCAGATATTGCCGTACCAATCGGAAGTCCTTTATAAAACAGCTGACTCGGATCGAACACCGGCAAGCTCGCATTCACCATATAGGCGACAAAATTGTTCATCGCCCCCATATCGAAATGGCCAGGTTAGCAACTGGCCCTCACGTCCACCACCATATTGGTTTGACGCAGAAGTACCCTGTACATATAGGCTTGTACTTGCGCAGTCATGAAGGTGATCCAGCAATCAAGGTGTGTTAAATTGTACTCCTAAAGAATTTTCACGGATCCCTGCAGAACTTTGTGCCAAAACTCAAGACACATTTATTTGGTCGAATCAACTTGTCGAGGCCCGAGTCGAGAGAGCATCTTAATACCGATGCACTTATCCTCAAGGACGATCGAATTTACCACCACAACATTGCCAGGATTAACTACACTACATACGATGTTCGCCGAGCACAAGATGTCATCAATCCCCGCACTTCCCATTGTAATATTATGGTGTTGTGCCCTGACAACAATGTGGGGCACCGAGGTCACAGATTTGCCTATGGTAAAGTACTTGGTATCTACCATGTCAATGTAATTATCATTGGAGTTGGTATGGTCGACTACACTCTGCTCCGGATGGAGTTCCTATGGATTCATTGGTACGAACCCATAGATCAAGTCTCCACCTGGGACACCTCAAGCCTAGATCGACTTAGGTTTCCGCCCATGGCGGATGAATATTCGTTTGACTTTCTAGATCCAGCAGACGTCCTCAGGGGCTGCCACATTATACCTGCTTTTGCCAGCCTCTAGAGATACCAAAATGGAGTGGGTGTGTCAGCATGTGCAGGGGACAAAGATGACTGGCGGGAATACTATGTCAATCGGTGAGTGAAAGTCCATTTCATGTACAACGTATATTGAGATCATCATTCCAGGTTTGTTGACCGTGATATGCTGATGCGCTTTCACTTTGGTCTTGGAATTGGGCATGTGTACTCTCACCATCATGTCTCGCAGGCTGAGCCTCCGCATAGAGGCGTCACAGAACAAGATGACGGGGAAGTTGAAGACGATTATGAAGAGGCTGAGGAAGATGATTGTGCATTTGAGGGGGAAGATGGAGAGCTACGGGTGCAATGTGTTGTGCCGCTGTTTGGTTTCAGTAATGATTCACTCGTATCTCAATTTGATGAGATGTATGGCAGTGAAGTAGAATTAGATTACGAGAACTGAAGTTCCAAAATACTGTTCCGATGGATCGTGTAATAGGATCCAGACCGTTATAAAAAATAGGTGTTTGCATACCACCACTATGGTGCACGTAATAAGGTCTCTTCATTCTGAACGTCTCCACAATTCTTATTCTGATATCGAAAATACAGCTCAAACAGGTATGCAAATGTGATATTCCGCTGCAACAATGCTTAATATTCAATATATAGTTTCAATGTATGTAATACTACACCGATACAGCTCAAACAGGTACACAAATGTGATATTCTGCTGCAACAATGCTTAATATTCAATATATAGTTTTAATGTATGTAATACTACACCGATGGCGCTGCGATGGCATGAAATTTTAAACACAACATGTACATGTAATACGCCAACACTGTTGTGACCCATGACTTCCCAGTCGATGGCGCTGCAATGATAAGTTGGAACCCTAATATCAATACGGTCTAAATCGGACATTCAATATGCTTTAAATAAGCATCGCATTGCCTTTCCTTCCCTCAGCCGCAATGTCTGTCCCAGTAAATTCTAACAGTGGGATTGAGGGCAATGCATGTGTCTTCCAACTTGACCCTCCTGCATTGTGCTCTTTCTTTGTAGGTTGTTCTCTTGCCTGCACACGCTTGCTCACAGTTCTTTAAGGACACTCCCGACATCAGTGTAGAATTCATAGGGTACTTGTTGCTCGGTACTCAGCCCATGCTTTACCCTCTTTATGTGAGTATTTGGATGTCTTGACTATGGACTCAGCATGTCTGATGATCAGCACAGTGCCTGCCCGCTGGCTTGGTTGACGTACGAGGTTTTATTTTATCGGTGCCATAATCTACTGACCTCTCCTCCCAGCTTCGGCCAGAGCTCGCCTTGGTCGCTTATCTCTCAACCCCGATGATACATAGTCCGGTGTATGAGTCGCTGGACATTGAGGTTCCAGTGTATGTCCTAGTAGTAAGTGTAATCTCGACTGTTCCACTTCTTTCTACTGATGAGTCGTACAGCTGCGTACAACCCCCGTGCCGTTCCTTAACCTGCCTTGGATGTGGGGCAGAACCGGTTCCGACGACATGGTGCACGGTGTTTATGATCATGTATGTTCATTTTGCCCTTGTATCTTTCCACGTGCTAAAATACTATAGGCTGGCATGGCTCACGCAGACGAGCCCAAGACTATCATTCATCTCGCGCAGCATCCTTCCGGATACTATGTTCCTGAAGTTGAGAATTCAGTCGGCAGCTCATCAATCCTGCCGATGACGTCCCAGTTCGGCTCATCCGTCATCGCATCAACCACTGGAACCGAAACTGGAACCGGAACTGGAACTGCAATGCTTGGACATCCCAAGAAGGTTCAAGCAGAGCATAGCCTCCACCAAATTATGGAAACGTGTCTCAACTGGTGCAGGGCACTTGCGTACCTATGTGTCCAGTTGAGGATTGTCATTTGTTGTGGGCACTCCAACAACCCCCATGTCCTTGTCAGCGTTGACTATGCTGAGTGTAGACTCGAGCTAATTCGCAGTTGTTGGCCTGATTGCCTTGTTTGTGCCAATGTCGCATCTGAAACTTTGGAAACAGGTCAGGAGCTTAATCTTAGTGGTGCCCACAATATGCTGAATTTTTTTTTTAGTTTTTAGGAAAGATTCCAAGGTTCCAATGATGCACGCTGAGGTTTTGGCGCTCGTACGTGTTTTTCATGTTTTTGTTCACTTGTCTTATTCCAGGATAGGCCTCTCCCTGGATAACCCAATTTCTATATAATAACCGTCGAATTGTCACCCACTTTATGGACGACCCTCGCATCTTCGGCTTAGGCAACTTCTTTGGCTTGGCCCAAAGGCACAGTATTATGCTCCTACTTCAAATGTTCACACGACCCAATGCCCACTTGCTTCCAATCAAGGTGAGTCATTTTAAGAGCATGTTCGGATAGAAATATTTGCATGAAGTTTTGAAATATTGATCACGCAAATTCATCGGCATTGTGCCGAAAGTTCGTCGGAGCTTTAATTCAATCAGCAGCTGTTATCAATTGATATTCAAAGGTATATCACATATCATATATCTCCTCGTCATGGATGCTCAAGAAGATCAATTCGAAATGGATCGTCAACAGCTCGCCTTGCTCGTTTCCAATCCTCAACCGGAGGTTTGGGATCATCTTGTTAAATGTATAGGACTTGTTATCAGTATAGTAGTCGCTGCAACACATGGTACATTGCAGACCATATATCCCAAGGACCGACAACCATATCACACCTCGGCCCTCTCTGGGCAGGACTGGGTTATTGAATTACTAACTGGTCACCCAGAGCGCATCCGCTGTGAACTTGGCATGCACGCCTCTGCCTTTGTGGAGCTTATCACTCAGCTTCGCGCTATGGGCCACTCAGATTCCAAATTCATCTCCCTCGAGGAACAACTCGCTATCTTTCTGTACGCTTTGGTGACCGGCCTATCAGTCAGACATGTTGGGGAGAGATTCCAACACTCAAACAAAACAATATCTAAGTACATTTATTTTTATCTAGGATGCAGTGGATATCTGACTCTAGCACATAGGTACTTTCGCAAGATCCTTGTTTCTTTCTCCTCCGAACCATTCTATTCAACATACGTCCAGTTTCCTGATGGGTCTGTCCCTCGTGAAGTCCGCAGAAACCCTAAGTGGTGGCCTTTTTTTAAAGGTGCCATTGGTGCAATAGATGGGAGCCATATTCAGGTGACCCCCAGGGCTACTGACCGTGCTGTGTATCGTAATCGGAAGGGGTTCCTATCTCAAAATTGCCTTTTTGCGTGTGATTTCGATCTCAAATTTACCTACGCGCTCACCGGCTGGGAAGGCTCTGCAACGGACGCTCGTGTTTATGAAGATGCGTGTCTGAACGACTTCGAAGTTCCCCCACACAAGTATTTTCTTGCAGATGCGGGTTATCCACTCCGTCCCGGCTTACTTGTGCCATACCGAGGTGTGCGCTATCACCTAGCTGAATGGGGACGCGCAAACACCAGGTAGGTCCTTTTACTTGAATCAAGCTCAATTTGGAACTCATCTTCCCTACAGGCCTGCTAATAAAGAAGAACTATTTAATTTGTGACACGCATCAGCAAGAAACGTCATCGAGTGCATCTTTGGCGTTTTGAAGCGTCGTTTTCGGATCTTGCTGTTGCCACCTGCATATGCCATGGAGTTGCAAGCGCGAATTCCCGCCGCACTGTGCGCCGTTCACAACTTCATCCGCGTGCATGATCCCAAAAACATCCCCACCAACGAGGCCGACGATGAAGATGACGACGAAGACTGGCAGGGTGGATATTCTGGTGGAAATGCCGAAGAAGACAATATTGCGGCTATCGAAGAAGATAACGAACTTGAGTTTCGTCAAGGATCTGCGATGTGGAATGACTATCAGCGCATCTTGTTAGAACGTACTTTCGAAGGGATAGATCTTGATGAGGGGGATGAGGACCTCGAGGACACTTTTGATGAGGATCAGGATCAGGACAGTTTTGCTTCAGAATAATTCACACTTCGAGTACCACTTTGTAGCCTCCAAAATCAGACAAACATTGATGCATTGCGACAGTTGTGAACATGTAGTATTGTACATACATTGAAATGAAAGCAAGCGGTAAAGAACAAGGTACATGATATATTTTCAGCCCGCCATTGCATCTGTGATGAGCTTCTCAATAAACGGATGCCTGATTGCTTTGTCCGTGAGGGACACATAGAACTTCAGGAATCTCTCGTTGTTCTTCTCACCAAGGACCATTATCAAGATGGCATGCTGGTCAGCAGGCATGTCAGCGTCCTCAGTTTGCAGTAGGTGTGCCGCGTGTGTCACCAAGTCCATGCTGTCCTCAGGCTCAGGCACAGGTGGAGGCGGAGGCAGAGGCAGAAGGGTACCATTATTCATGGAACTAACAATGAATTTTTCAAAGATATCTGTCAGATGGTTGACAGTGCCCTGCAGTCCCATCACAGCAGCAGCAGGCGTGATCTTGGCGGCCTGTGTTGCACTGCTCATCTTGGCCGCATTGGTCATCTTCTGAGAGACTGTGCGAACGTGCTTTCTTTGAGGGGGGGGGCAGGACACCAAGGTGGTGGAGACCGGCTGAGCCGAATCATGGGTCGACGCGAACGAAGTGGTCTCGACAGAATCCACATTGGTGCCCTCATAAGGGTGCCTTGGCACCAGCAGAGCTGGTAGCGGTAGAGAGACCACCGGTGTTAGAGCGAGGACCGGTGGTGAATGAAGGGCCAGTGACAGATGAATGATTGGCAGTGGTGGAAGGACCGGCAGAAGAGAGGGCTGGAGCCTGAGCAAGGCCAGGCTCATTCTCATCAGCGTCTGGTACTGGTGGAGGACCCATAACACCTGGGTGGAAGGCATGGCGCCCTCTAGCGCCACCCAAGGGAATTATTTCCTGCATTTTCTCAAAGTAAGGCCAGCCTGTGTTGCGGAATGAACGCATGTGAGAATTGGACTAAAAAATGTTAGCTTTTATTTGAAAAATACAAGGGGCTGACGTACACTGAGCGCAACATACGAATCCCACACAGCGGACGCTGCAGGGCCATGGATCCCAGCTCCATTGGCACTGTCCCAGTGTGTACCGGTCTGGTTGCGGTATTTATCAATAGCGTGATGAATAGACTTGAGCTGAAATATTGAATCAGTAAAGTGAGTGAAGGACAGAGTTGGATGGATGCACTGATGCCCACTTGCTCTTCACCATCTTGACGGTCTTTGCTGGACCGATCCGCAATGGTTGAAGGTCGGGATCATCGTTGATGACTGTTAGTGCAGAAGTATACACCTGTGGCTTGAAGTTGCCGGAGGTATCACCACTTGCACGGTTATCGTACATATGATTAACAAGTGCAGTGATTTCTTCGTTTCTCCAGTGCACAGGTGTGCGCCTTGTAGGGATTTCATGGGCCTCAGGTTGAGCCATGATAAGATTGGTATATTGAGTACAGATTGCAGTGATCGCGATGACACCAGCGATCAGTCTATTGCGCTGGTGGATATCAAAGGAGGAGGAGGAGCAAGAGATCTCCATCGATTAGTATGTACAGTAGGAGACAAGGAAGGTTTAAGCTCCGACGAACTTTCGGGACAATGCCGACGAATTTGCGTGATCAATATTTCAAAACTTCATGCAAATATTTCTATCCGAACATGCTCTAATTCTCTCACAAGTATTAAAACCCTAATTTTCTCTGCAGGCCAACGGGTTTGCCACCTTCATAACCCACCAAGTAGCAGAAGAGATGCTTTATCACATAGTATTCAGGACCACGACTACAAGTCGCATTCGTCTCACCATCGCTGATTTAGAGCCAGCGATCTTCAGGCATGCTCCAAATCCTCCAGCGGACACTTTGGCCTTAGCTGGGTCCTGTGTAAGTGCATTCTGCTCTCTGGGTATTTTAATTCATGTCTATCATTGCATCTAGTGCTATCAAGCATTACTGGCAAGACTTATAAGCATGTGGGGAATAGCCAATGTCATGCCAGATTATCCAACTGCAGTTCAAGTACACGCTGAGCTTCATGAGACAGCTATGATGCTGTTCCAGGCGGAGGATGACCCGGACATTGTACCATTCAAGGCTGAACTTAAAAAGCTATGCACAATCACGTAAGCTATCTCTACTAGAGATCACATCTATGCTATCGCTGATGGGACTACTATGTGTAGTGAGACGGATGTGTTCCGCATTGGCCGCCCAAGCTGAGCTGGCAAGCGAAAGGCAACAGGCCAAGTCCTAAATTTGGTTGAGCCTTAGATATATGTACCACACGCAATTGTACTCACAACTCGTTAAGCCCGTCTTTGAAATGTAACCTGTACTTCGTCAGACTGCAACATTTTGTGATGGTCATTCACAGCACCTGAAACCAGACCTCTCCACGGGGGTATTTAATTTCTTGCCATGTGACATGCCTTTCTGAGAACTTCGAGATTTATTTGACAGCCCCATTGGGCCAGAATGCTGTTGCGCCATTGGTACAACTCCACAACCGTAAATATTCCTCCCAATTAGTGGTTCGCTATATATATACTAATTATGCGCATTAGCAGGTTTTCTTTCCGCTCCCACAACCTCTGAGTAGACTTTTAGATGTAGCGTATGTTGGGGGTTCACTAGCAAATGCAATTGCTCAAAATGGGAGCGGATAAGGGGGAGCGGTACTTGTAGTTATATTTGCACATGCTTGCGACTTGTCCTGCAGGCTGCGGTATGTATGATATATACCATTGCATTGGCGTTTTTATTCATTTCCGCCATTATGTTCCAGCGAGTCATCACACCCGTTTTATAGTACCTAAACAACTCATCACCATCAGTCATAAATTACTTGTTAAGTATCTCGCAAATTTTGCACTTGATTTATTACGTTTAATCTATTTTTTTTCTTTAGAGTTTGATCGCCATCACCTCGTTTGATCACCATCATCTCATAACTTGGCCATCGCTTCCTAGCCTACTCTATAGGTTGTGTAAGCATTTAACAATCATGAGAGACATCCCTCGAGTCTTCCTCTTTTCCTCCTCTAATTCAACATGTTGAATTCTAGTTCCCCTTGTCTTCCTACATGTGAAATATGTTCCAGTGCTCATTTTCTTGGGACTGATCAGACCGAAACCGCCCTTACATCTTGGCTTCAGCAACAGGGGTGTGACACTGTGAGCGCACTCACATGTTTCTTATACTTTTTCTAATTCCTAGCTTACAGCTTTCAGACCCACTATTTGTTACAGCTTCCGTACTATTTGGATGGGTCAACTCCCACGATCTTATGGCTCTCCTTGACATGAGCCTTAAGGAGGGCGTAATGCAGATGCTGCTCCAACAAGAAGAGGAGAGAAAGTGCGTGGCCTTTCGTTCCTGAGGGGGATGTTTGATGGAGCATAGAATGTATCGAGCTCAAATGGAAGTTTCATTGTTTAGTAATGCTATTGCACACTTGTGTGAAGTGCTTGACGCTAAAAGTCACTCGAGTGAGCCATGTTGTTTCAAGGATTATTATCGACACTCAATTGTTTGTAGTTGGCCAAAAGAAGCCGCTCGTAGTGAACGATACCGTGTATGTTGCAGTATGCCCAGCACCCAGCTCGATCGATTTTAATTGCTTCCGACGTACAAACGATGCTACACACACTGGAGAGAAATGCCACGCATGGCTTCGGACATTATCGCCTTCTGAAGACACTTTAGAGGTCGAATCTCATGCAAACTGAACACTTTTTGGTTTTTTACAAACTTTAGAGGTTCCTGACCATCACGAATATTTTCAAGGGGTGAGTGCTGTTAATACTACACAAACACCCGACGTTCTGATGCTATGCAGCCCGATGATGTATTCATATCTTTGCCTTGTTTGTTGAAGACTTGGGTGGATCCTGTCACATATCGTGCATACATGAGCACGACATTTGCGGAAAACAAGCCCCAACACATCGACAATAGCGACGGATTCACCCCGAAAGAGAACAAGACTCCAGACGTCCTCAAGTCCGACATACATATTTTGGGCCTGAAGAAGCAACAAGCACAGGCCGAAGTCAACATGTTTTCCAAAGCCCTAGCATGGGTTGCTGAGTTCGAGGGTACTGATGATGGTGGGCATCTATGTTGTGCTTCCGGTTTCTAACACTGATATGACTTGTAGGCACATGTTCTGGAAGTACTGTGACGTTTTCTTCTCTTCCATCTGACACCCTTGCCGATGATTGGCTTGATGATTGCTTTTCAACCTCATACACCTCTTCGAATGCTTCTGTACTCTTGTGATACAATTGGATGTACTTGTACAATAACTCGGTTGTAAATTAAATTCAGTCTATGTTATTTGAGGATCGGAGCGAGTTGTTGCGTTAATAGCCAAAGGATCCGAGATATGAGTGCGAGCGCAATAGAACGGAATGACGGACGAGCGCTTTTTGACGTCGGTTCGTACATATCAATGTTTTCAGTATAAACTTTTTGTTCCTATCCTAGTACGTACTATATAAGCACCAGCAGTGTTCTGACTAGAAACTGAGATATGAGTACTGAAACGTTTCAGACACGATACAATAGACTGACGAGTTATTAGTATCTGTGTCTACTAGTAACTCGCTCCCCGTGCCCCATCACCTCCCATCACGAGATGCATTACTCATATTCGATTACTTTGTTTTTGGCTAATTGCTATCAATTGAGAGTCTCCATGCCAGTGACAGGTAGATGAAATTGAAGCCTAGCTTGCTCGATAGGCGCTAATAATTGAACTACCAGCCTTGCGTTGTCATTCAATATTCCAAGGCCTTTCTTTGTCATTATGATGGTTATTCATCATTCTGACTACTATGTACTGCTACTTGTAAAAATGAAAAATGGATTATATTTCGGTGGAAATTTTGATGGTCTGCATGTAGCCAATTGCAATATATGGTAGGTTCATTTGTCACACTGTTATCTTCCTATAAGATACATATCAAATTTGAATTTCCATATAATCATGTGTTTTGAGGCCAGCTAGTTACAATGTATGGGACATCCAATTGTCATAATGTTGTCCCCTTATCTTCTTTCATAAATTTGTGACAACATGATAATATTATCTAATTCTACATCTGGACATATAATGAAGTGTGTCAAAGCCAATGAGTAGTAATCTAGATAAGACCTATCCTATTATTTAAAAAATGTTACAACACATTATCAGTCTACTGGAAATGTGATTATCTGCAGCTATTTAATTACAGTGCATGGACAGCCCAGTTATCATACTGTTAGCTGCTTCCAAGATGCCCATCAAGGTGGTATTTCTCTGGTATAGTCATATCTTGTTTCATCTATGTGTGACACCATAGCAAAAATATGTAAGGCCAAACCATGATGTGTTTTGATTGCCAATTTTTATAAGGATACTGAAAATATGATTATCTGTAGCCATTCAATTACAGTGTATGGACAGTCTAGTGACCATAGTGTTGTCTGCTTCCAAAGCACACATCAAGGTGATATTTCTCTTGTATATTCTTATCTTGTTTCATCTATGTGTAACACCACAACAAAAATTTGTAGTGCCAAACCATAATGTGTTTTGATTACCAATTTTTATAAGTCTACTGAAATATGATTATCCATAGCCATTGAATTACAGCGCATGGACAGCCCAGTGATCACACTGTTGTCTGCTGCCAAGATGTGTTACGCTGACCGTCGGTCGGCGTGTGCGAACTAGGATAGGTCTTCTCAGCGACGACTCGAGTGAGTCTACTGAAGCTGAGGGTGGTTCTCAGCTTGACGGAACATCAAGGGTTCCTCCGGCGATCTCGGTAAGGCGGCGCTCGTCGAGATGCAGGGCTAGCGGATACGTGCTAAGTCGTATGGGAGCGACTTAGAAGTGCGGTCTCACACAAGGAAGCTGGTAGGCTTAGTTGAGCAAGTTCTGGGGATGAACCTAGTAGATTAAAGTAAAGTCTAAGTACAATAATCTGTGTCTACTTATAGGGAAGTACTACAAGTATTCTAGCTCAGTCTGTAATCAATAGTATATCGTAAATCTATGATAGCCAGACATGAGGTTCAGATAAGATACATGAGGCTTAACCTCTGATCAAGCATGCTGCACCAAGGGCAGCTGCGCATAGGTACAGGAAGCGCCAAGAGCGCTCTGGATCTTCATGAAGCGACATGCGGTATGCATGCGCTGATCTAGGGTGACCATGAGGCGTACAGCCTCCATGGATCAGGTACAAGGCCGTCTAGGCCAGGGGCGGGTCATAGCGCCAGGGGCGGGGTCACAGCGGTCCAGACCGCTATCTTTCTAGGTGCGGGCGGCGCACCGCCACGCGGGGAGTCTAGCAGAGCGGGGGCAGGTGTAGGCAGAGCTGGGGCTCCTGTAGGTGTTATGGATGCCTGTAACAAGATGCACATCAAGGTGATATTTGTCTGGCATAGTCATATCATATCTCATCTATGTGTGACACTGTGATAAAGATATCCAAGACTAAAACGAGGTGTGTAATAATGTGTTTTGATTACCAATTGTATCTGGTCATATCAATTTCGGGTTGATTTCCTGATGTATATCCCTCTTGCTCTACTTCCTGATGCAAAGTTTATCCATAGGGTTAAACACATGCATGGTGTTCTGGTGTTCTGGTTACTTCATCAATGCATTGACATTGTGATTGAACTGTTGAAGCAAGCTGCACACCTGGGCATCATGATGAGTGATCCAGTGGGGTTCAGTGGATATTGTTTTACGCCCCTTGTTGCATATGTAGCTGATACTCCAGAGGAGCTCGTCATCACATGCATAACCATGAATGCATCACCCAACACTATGGCTACATGTACCAACTTTGGGGATCCAGACTGTCACCCTCTTCGTAAAGGCTCATCTACGCTTGCTAATATTCGAAAAGTTGTCACCTCTGTCTCCCCATCTGACCTCATGGCACTTTTTGAGGAGTGCAAGCAATATCACTTAAACAGTGTCCAACAACCATTCTGGATGGATTGGGTCACCGTGGATCCTTCTCCTTTCCTGATGCCAGAGTCACTCCATCATTTTCACAAAATGTTCTTTGACCATGACTGTGCCTGGTGTATTGATGTAGTCAGTGCCAAAGAGATCGACTTTTTCTTTTCCTTACTTCAGATGTGGACTGGGTATTGTACTTTTAAAAAAGGGATCTCCAATTTGAAGCAGACTTCAGGTTGAGACCATCACAACATCCAGTGTTATATTATTGGCATTATTGCTGGTGCTGCTCCCACCCAATTCATAATGGCCATCTGGACCCTTCTTGAATTCAGATATCTTGCCCCAAGCTCCGCAATTTTCCGATGAAATACTAATGGAGTTGGATAACTGTCTTCGACTCTTCCATGAACATAAACAGGGCATTGTTGATGCAGGTGCCTGGAGAGGGAAGGATGGCGGTGTGGAAACAACAATCTTGCTGGGTGGCAAGAAAAGGTTGGGTCAAGCTAATGCCTAGCTGCTATGTCTAAACAGATATGTTCGACCCTAAAGGGAATTGCTACTAGAACGATGATGGATGTGTGTGACCCAAGAGTGTACCAAGCGTGGGAAAATAGCAGACAAAGGTATGCATGAGGTGCAGGAATGTATCCAAGGCTATCTGAAGCGCGGGAAAGTGTGGACAAGGTATAGGGAATGTCAAGGAATGAAGTTCGGAAAGAGTGAGGGCAAAGGTATATTGCAAGGTAAGGAAAGTCTAGGTATAGAGAGGTATAGGGACCTAATAGGGGCTAAAAAGTGCACACTACAAGGGACTACTTCAAAGGTAAACCTATAGGGAGAGGTATCCAGTACAAGGGAAGTGTAGTAAGTAGTCCCAAGTAATAGTCAACTTATACTGTCTAGACTCTCACTCAGAGAAGGAAGGGATAGGAAATATAGGAAATATGTAAGGACATGTAATAAGGCTGCAACACATTTTACAAGCCTCAAGGTAAGGAAATTCACATACCAATAGGGTTTGGATGGACTATGGATAGACAAGGGACCTTCCTAATGCATTTCTGAGGTATCTGAAACGCAGGAATGCGCGTCCGATGCGGCAAGGGAACCTGAAAGTTGGAAAGTCCCATCCATCCTGTCCGTTCTGTCCATCCTGTTCTGTCTGTCCTGTCTGTCCTGTCTGTCCTGTCTGTCCTGTCTGTCCTGTTCCACCTGTCCTTTCTGTCTGCATTGTCTGCATCAATGCCAGGTCATGATCACACTGAAAAGTGCTGCTGAGCTTCTTGGCAGCATTCCTGACCTTACTTTAGAAGCCATATTTACCTTTGCTTCATTGGCAACAAGCTTGAAGAATGACATTATCCTCACACAGCCAGCCACGTATGATGTCCATGAACCTCTGATGTTCCTTCCTCCAAGTATTGTCACATTCCTGAGTAAGGCTTGTGTGCTGTCATTGGAATCTCTTAGGATGTGTTGGAGCGCCCTCAAGAATAATATTTGGACAGGCCACTTCACCGTCTATGATAAGATCAAGGATTTATTCAAAGTGCATGGACACCCATACAGATTTAGTATGTTTCACCTACACATTGTGTTGTTTGTGCAATACTAAATGCATGGCTAATGCAGAGTCTACGAAGTTTCCCGACATGAAATGGTTCACGAAAGAGGTCACTATGGACCACATATGGAATGCTTTTGTCATCTGTAGCCTACTCAAAGATTGCCATCAATGTCAGTGTGTCCTCGAAGTCAATCAGTGCCTCAATCAGAGTGAGCACTTTGTTGAGGCAATGTTAGATTGAAACCGGCGCATGCGCTCATATACTAATCAACCACTCGCCCGCAGACACTTTTGTAGCGAGTGTACTCAGATCATTAGTGGTGAGGAGAATATTAGTGAGTCTTGTGTGTTTTCCTTTTCCCGTGCTAATCATGAGTAAGGTACATTGGTGTCTGTGATTGTTGTGGATGGTGTTGTTGTCAGCTGACCATGCTGCTCTATTCCAAACTGTTGGGTCCATCTTCATAGTCCACACAACAGGTTTTGCCATGTCCATTCCGCACATCTTAACCAATGCATGATCAAAGGCTGTACACAACCTGTGCTGTCAGGTGGCCTCACTTGTGACATCCTCGCGCACCAGGAATCCGAAGCACTGCATACTCTGAGAGGGAAATCGCGCTTTCAACTGCACAAGCACCTTGAGCACTCACGCGCCATTCATGGCTGCCTTGCAAATGTGCAGATCAGGGCTAAAGACGAGGAAGGTGATGAGGCTGATGCTACACAAGCCATTGGTGAGGAGGTGTATGATGTTGAAAAGAAATCAGGAAAGAAGAAGAGGCTCCACACTCAGTTTATGCGAAACTATACTCACTGTGAAGAATTAATAGTTGCACCTTGTGGGATAATTCACGCACGCGAGACTATGCATAATGCTGAGGGAGTTGGAAGTGTGGCCATGAGTACCCCTCTTCCTGCCTCCTGCCTCTATTACTGATTCTGACTACTAGGAATTTATTTGCCACATGTTTCAAGATCCAGAGACACGCCCCACACATGTATTCTTCGACAACAACTGCTGACTTGCGCTCCACATCAAGGACGATCCATTCTTTCAAGACATTGGGCTTTCTGTCGATGTTTTTCACTTTGAGTGCAAGCATTCAAAGCAGGATGTGTTCTGTCAGGAGAACTGCAACCCTGCTGCTTTCCCGGAGCTGAAAACTGATACTGGCGAGTGGTACTTCAATTCATCAGCTTGCGAGCAAACGATTCATGGTTCAGTAACTTCAATCCCATCACGTGAGGGATGAAGCCTGCAAAATTTGACTTCTTTCTTGATGAGATGATCTTGTGCCAAAATGAGCAGACATTAAAGAAGTTAGAGAAGACAGGACAGAATCTGTCTGTCTGGAAGAGGTCAAGTGATGGAGCCAGCCAGAAATTGTGATACTAATCTCCGCCCCTCATGTACCATGTTTTCTTTGTTAGTGCAATTGCCTTCCCAAACCTCAGAACGAGTTAGCTACACTTAGGACTATAGTACTGTAGGGTATTGAATATATTTTCTTTGTTAACACAATTACTTTCCTTGAGCTGCTTAGAGGGTGCCAGTGTGCCCTCAAAACTGTTGGTGTTAAGAGTTCTGCCTCAGCACAAGTTAGCTACACCTAGTACTGTAGGGTAATTAAATGTTTTCTTTGTTAACACAATTACTTTCCTTGGGCTGCTTGGCCAGCCTGCCCTCAAAACTGTTCATGTTAAGAGTTCTGCCTCAGAGGTAAGTTAGCTACACCTACACTATAGGGTATTGAAAATGTTTTCTTTGTTAACCAGAGAAAACATTTTCAATACCCTGCAGTATAGGTGTAGCTAACTTAATACCTCTGAGGCAGAACTCTTAACATGAACAGTTTTGAGGGCGGTGTAGCACTCAGATCGGCGTTGGGCTCGTATCCTGCCAATCTCATAGGTATCCCACATACATATTCCTCAACACTCCATTTACCTTCCGAGAGTTCTGTGCCTTCGTCCAAGTTGTCCAAAGGTCGTCCGTCCATTTCCGAGGCCTGTATACAGTTCCGATCCTCTGTACCATGTCCCATCTGTGTCGTTTGACTTTGCTGGTGCATTTTTCACTTGTTTATCCGTTATTGATTATGTCTTAGGGGCACATATGTTGTCGGCCTGTCAAAAACCATTGGTTATATGTATAGCAGCACACCTTGTGCTCTATTACATGCATATCTCTGTAGCGGCTCGCCTCGAGTCTTATTACATTTCAGATGGCTTATCTCACTACTGTTTTTGCCTATGCAGTTTCCAGATGTTCACGTTGTAGGATAAAATCTGCCTCGCTAGCTACTCGCACTTCACTTCACTTTCCCTGCTATGAGTCATAGTTAGTAGAGTCACTTTCGGATAGTCGTACCTCGCACAATCGATATTTTGTTCATTTGGAACAATTGTTCGGCTTGACCGCTGCCATTTCGCATCTCGCTGTCTCTAAGTTCTTTCGATAGACTTTGCCTAGTCATACTTCACAAGTCTTATACTTCAACATACCTGCCGTTCTTCTCTCGGAACCTTCACTGTTTGCTGGAAGCTCTTCGGATGTTTCGTGCAACCTCAGACCTTCGTTTCTTGATGTCGGACCACCTTCGGACCACTTCGGACCACTTCAGACGAGTACTTTGGTACTTCGGACACATTCTCGGAACATCGAGTGTACTCTTGGTAACTTTCCTTTCTCTCATCCTCAATCTTAACAAGATATCCCTTGCATTATATCAAGGAGTATTTCTATAGGCAGTCTCTTTGGGACAAGCATTACACTCGCACATTGAGTTCTGAAGGTAACACTTTGTAGAGCCCACACAGAATCAACTCTTTACAGCAGGTTAGCATCGGATTGAGCGGATGAGTGTCGGATAACATTGGGAAGTGATTCGTGTGCGATGGGCATTTGACATGCATCAGAAAATAGCTGAATACAGTACATGCTCAGCGCGAGCTCGAGTGCTACACCGTGCACAGCCTGATGCACCTCTGCTATTTGATGACCTCAGGGTCTGGTTCAAAGTATGTATACAGCAGGCATCATGCCATGGTCAATTGAATCCTGCTCTCACAGTGAATGTATCTCCTCCGAGCGCAACTGGGAAGTATGGTCGCTATGACGCTGCAATATTCACTGTTGATGACACCAAGCTTAATCAATGGCCCACTAGTGGGCTTAAAGGTGTGTTTCAAATATCCACTTGTGTGTTATGCCTGATGTCCAAGCAACGTGCAGGTCACACTGTTGTCAAAGTGCACCTTGTCATGCAACCACTTCCTCTGTGAGGAAAGACCACCCCTTGGGCTGCACGCTTCCTGACTTATGTTCAATGCCTGGATGTCATACCTCAGTGACGTGGAAGCTTGTTGGAACACACAATGCAGATGCACATTTTGAATTGCGCAATGTGATCAGCAGGGGCTCCATTTGGTGACATCCTCCCGCTAGATCAACTACGTTCTTTTGCTCACATTGTCCCCCGCTTTGGTCCTGTTGCTGATCCCCATCTGACAGCAGAAAATAGTGCTCACTCTGCACAAGTATTCTTCTTGAATAAATTTATTGACAAGGAATTTTACTATGCTATCTCGAACTTGTAGTAGTTTTGTACTAGAATTTTGAATACTACTGGTAGATATCTAATAATATGTGTTGCTGTGTGTTGCTGTATAACACTGCACATCACAATCAGCCTATGCAGTACCAGGACACGCTGGGCAGCACTGTACAGCGCTGTGGAGCACTACCCGTCATGATGCAGCACATGGTTTTTCAGCTGACTAAAATGGCATTGGTTGGGCTCTCAACTGGGCTGTGGCACATTGACAGCCTCATCCCCTCTTGATGCCTCTGACTACTATTATGACACTTCCAGTCATGTATTCTAAGCTCAATATGAGTTCTGAATCCAAGGGCTGGCTCCCAACATCATCTTCCAATACTACCAGTACCTTCATTCCCCCTGCAAAACAATGTTTACAACAACAACTTCAGAAACCAGCAAAACCTACTATCACATCTCCAATGGAAAGACAACTTCCAGAAAAACAAGTGCTTGCAGACCTCAAAGCAGCAATACAAGCAAGACTCAACCTTACAGATGATAATCAAGCCAGCCTAAGCTTAGGTTAGTATTTCTCAGATTGCTTATCTGATTCCAAACTTCTTCTTGACCATCCATCATCTTGATCATCTTACAGAGCACTGTGCAGTCATTCTTGAAGCTCTACAAAATCCTCAATCAAATACTATCATAGGTCGCTTTGTCATTGTCATTGAGCGATACCTGACACCCTTCAAGGTCATCATTGGTATCACACCTGCAGAGTACACAGCAGTATTAGCATTTACATCTGAAGAGAGAGATTTTGAAGTTCAAGCAAAGTACACACTATCATCAGCTGTCTGATACTTACACTACTGATCTTTTTTTAAAAATAGATTCACCTATTTTGAGGACACCCAAGAACTTCAGATCATGCCTCCCCTCCCCATTGTTAAGAACGTGCTCAAGGGTCGGATCTGAAGGGCTTGGCTTCAGCTCGTGCACTGCGCCCCTTACCCGAGTATGTGCCCCTAACTTCCAAAGGTTGTTGGACAATGTCCAAAGGTTGTCGGACGAGTCCGGAGTCCGATGTCCGATGCGTGGGAATTCTGGCAGACATTCGGGAACGAGGGATAAGACTAATCCAGAAGATGTCCGAGCTAGAAAGGAAATAGCGGAGGACTACCAGAGGTAGAGGCAGAGGTGAGAAGTCTATAGGAGTCGATCCTAAGACTAGCGGAGGACAATGAGAGGAGAAACTCAAGTCGGACGGAGGAGGGAATGAGCAGAGTCTAAGATAATATTCGAACTGAGGAAGTACAAAGATTCTACAGGGTTTATATACTACTGAGGACTTAACGGAGAATCAGTCAGCGCAGTCCAAAACTATGCGAGGCTGTGGATGGAGTGTATAGAAAAGTCAAACACTAGTCTATCGGAAAATAGTCAATGAAGACGGAAATGAGAACATAGGAAAATAAAGGCAGAAATAAACTGAGGTACGGAAAATGAGTATAGACTAACTGGAGAAGGAACATACAAAGGGAAAAAGGCACGGAAGATAGATGCGGGTCGGATCCAGATGTCCAGATGTCCGGAGATGGTGGGGGTGATCTGGATATGTTTGGAGATGAGGGCGTGATTGGTCCGGAACACGCGATATGACAGTATCCCCCCCTTGGGGCTGAGCCCACAAGGCTTCTGATCCGGAAGTCTGGACCGGACTTCTATGAATGCAGGATGATGGGCGGAGCTCGTAAAAATAGAACTGGACATATAAGTAGGCCGGGGCACCCATGAGACGTCTAAAACTTTCCCCTTAACTCCTATTACTGCTTAACATGTCTAACTCCACTTCCGGCAACATGAAGTCCACCCGGCAACACCTCCAAGAGAGGCAGGCAGAAATGGTGGCCAAAATCGTGCGACTCGAGGCGGACACTCAGAGAGAGGCAGAGGAAGAGGAGCACAAGTGCAAGGAGGTGGAAGAGGAGCGGAAACGGATGGAGGAACAGAAGCGGAAGGATATTGAGGAGACTCGGAAAAGGTTGGCTGAGCGCGAGCAAGAGCATTTGGCAAAGGTTAGGATGGGCAACACGTCGGAGGTGAGTCAGATGAGGTGTTTGTGTTTTTCCGGAGTTTCACAAAATGTTAGTCCTCCGGTCCGGCGGATCCGGAGGTCACGTGTGAGATATGTGTCAACAGACGCAAGATTTGCACCTGGGCAGTAGCGTCTAAGATGCCTAGGGTGAGTTTTCTGTTTTGTCCAGATCCGGATGATTACTGATGATTCCAAAAGATCCAGACTTGCAACCAGTGCCACACGTCCAAGGAGAAGTGCGTCGGCGGAAATCCACCTGTCAAGGTGCCGGCCAGCAAAGGCAAAGGCAAGAAACGCGCGCGTCCGGAGGGATCTCCGTTGTAGCACTCGAGCTCGCGCTAGGCTCGTATTCACTGATTTCCTGATATACGTTCAAATGCCCGTCACTATCCGATGTAACCCGCACAACTCGACACAAACCCGACGCTTTGACTAGCGGACCCGACGTTTCGGCCGCATCGGACCCGATATTTTTCCCGCGCACTTGTCCTATCCATGTCCCGTCCTGTCTTGCTAGCCCCACTAGGTGTGTAGTTGATTATTTCACACATTACTCACATCGTAGCCAGCGCTATTACATGTTTTCCCGTCATCCACAGCGCCTCGTATTTATTTACATGTACTTCGGACCCGAAATCGTCGGCCGCTACTTTCGCCTACGGCCTTCCGGATTTCTACGTACTTATATATATATTGGACTGACTACAAGTATTTTCATTATCCAAGTAGTAGGGAGCTGTTTCCCGATACTTAGTGGTCAAACCCGATATTTCGTAGTTCTTAGTTGACATTGCGAATATTACCGCTCTTTCTATCCGAAATACCCGTCGTTATCATATATCCACATACCGCTCGCTTTCCCGACATTTGCTATTGCCATTCCCACTAACCCGCTAAACCCGAACCCAAAACCCGCTAACCCAAAACCTGAAAACATCGGACCCGACGCTTTGGCGTCGGACATCGTAGATATACCTTCGGACTTTGTTTCCCGCACTCGGACTTTTGACCGTTTTATCATTTCACTGACCACAGACCAATCCAATAGCTAACCCCTCGGGTCGAACGCACTTGTCTTGCAAGTAAAGCAGACTAGGCTGTGCATGACCACAACATTTTATATTGCTAAACACTTACTTCATGTAGTGTCTGGCAATTGTTGTATCTCTACACCATCCCCGAAGGGCAAGGGCAAAAGACGTCAGCGCAGTCCGGAGGACATTGACGACAACGTGGAGATAATCTCCAGTCCCCGGACAATCATTGGGGAGGAGCAAGACTGGGCAGAGTACAATGACCAGGCCTGGGTCGCAGCCACCAACAATATTGTGGCGGAACTGGCCCAGACCAATGGGCTGATGGAGAGGGGTATTGCAGTGGTGGAGGGAAGTAGGGCTGTGATGGACCAGGTGAGTGAGACAATGCTCTGGTTCATGGAGGAGCAGAGGGTGTTTCAGGCTCTCTTCATGGAGAGTCTGAGGAACGGTTTCCGGATGCATGTGGAGGATGCTCTGGAGGAGGAAAATGGGGAGGAGGCGGAAAAGGAGGCCAGCGGATCCGGCGGAGACATGGAGATGGACTCTTAGGTTGTCGGATCCGAAGTCTGGATGTCAGACACCTAAATAATGTACGTATATGCATGTCCTTTTTTTACTACTTGTTAGAAGTTGGTCCTGGCTTATCCGGATATGCCGAGTGGAAATCCGATAGAAGTTCCGGCGCATTTCCGAGTTCGGTTGCGAGTATCCAGGAAGTTTCTTCGTCTGTTCCCTCATATCTGGCCCAATGTACTAAGTATAGTAGTTGGCAATGACATCTCCGGCAGTCAATCTTTGAGTCCAGAACTTCGGAGATTTCATATTCTGGTTCTCCATCGACTAATACCAGAGGCGGAGGAGGTTGGATGTGATTAGGAATGGTGTTCGGAGTTGCGGGTTCTAACTGAGAGACATGGAATACAGGGTGCACAGATTGCATAGTGTCCAGAAGATGGATTGTGAAGGAATGAGTGCCAGGACAAGTGATGATGTTGAATGGACCGAGATTCTTTTCCAAGAGCTTTTTCGATGGTCGGGTTGAGCGGAAATATTTTGCTTTGATGAAGACTTGATCTCTGACTTTAAAGTCCGGAGCAGGTTTCCATCTAGCATCCGCGGGTCCCTGATATCGTTCTTGGGCAGGGGACATTTCCTCTCGGAGGAATTGGTGAAGCTCATCTAGATCTATAGCATAATCCCAGGCATGGGTGGAGGAGAGATCACGCTCCGGATGTATGGAAATGTTCAGGTGATAACCCTCATTGGCGAAGAATGGTGAAACTCTGGTGGTAGCACTCGGAGCGTTGTTGTAAGCAAACTCGGCCAAGGGTAACAGTTCCGACCAATTATCCTGCTGATAGTTGCAGTAGATCCAGAGGTATTGTTCTAGGGTTTGGTTAGCTCGCTCGGTTTGTCTGTCACCTTCTGGATGATATCTGGAGGTGAAATGGAGGATCATATCTAATGCTTTTCTGAGCGACCAGAAGAAGTGAGAAACGAATTCCATACCGCGATCGGAAGTAACATGGGACGGAACTCCATGCTTGGAAAACACATGGAGGAGGAATAACCAGGCGAGGTCCAGAGAGGTGATGGTGTTGTAGGTTGGGATGAATATGGATTGCTTGGATAGTCGATCTATGACTACCAGGATGGCGGTGAATCCGGAGGAATCAGGGAGTTGTTCGATGAAGTCCATGGATATAGAATTCCATGGCTTCTCGGGGATGGGAAGTTGTTTTAACAATCTGTATGGTTTGTGCCTTGGAACTTTGGCTCGGGTGCAGGTTGTACAAGACTTAACATAGTCTTTGACATATGCACGGATTCTGGGCCAAGTATATTCCCAACGGATAATTTCCAGGGTCCGGTTCTGACCAAAATGTCCGGATAGGGGGTGGTCGTGTGTATTCCGGAGTACTTGGAGACAGAGGTCATTGGATTCTGGAACGTATATACAGTTGTCACAACAGAGGAAACCACTTTTGTCCACTGTCCATCTCGGGTCCAACAGATCCGGAAGATGACTGGAAGCAATAGGGTTATTGGGGAGGGCGGACAGAATGTCCTTATGAAGTTGCTCAACATCCATTAGTACAGCTGCCCGGAGCACCGGAATTGCTAGGTGTGATGCCTGGAGGGACGAAGCGAGCTGTTCTGTGGTAAATATTGGCCAAAGGTTGTGTGGATTAACTTGAGCGTAGTCCTTATCCCCCTCTTTGGGGTAGACGTCCCAACGTCTAGTCAGGCAGTCGGGCTTTGCTCCGAGTTTTCTGGGTCGGAAACGGATAATGAGGTTAAACTGATGTAGGTATTCCAACCAGCCGGCCTGTCGGCAGGTGAGGAGTTTTGTGGTAGCAAAGTACTCAAGGTTTTTGTGGTCTGTGACAACGTCTATTGGCTCGGCAGAGCCTTCAAGGTAGTGCCACCAGGACCGGAAAGCTTCGTAGATGGCTAAAAGTTCCTTATCATGAGTGTCATAGTTGAGTTCCGGAGCCGAAAGGGTTTGGGAGTAAAAGGCAACTGGGCAGAGCTCCTGATCCGGGCATACAATAGAAAGTATTCCGGCAATAGCGTAATCAGAAGCATCTGTCTCAACAACATGTTACAGTAACATGGCACGAGTCCCCCGCCAGCAGACAGCCCTCTGCCACCGCACGGCTATAGACGATATAGGGTCTCACCAGCCCTATGACGATAGATGACGATAGATGATGATAGACGATAAGCGGCAACTGCCGGCTTAGATAAGCGGTCTGGACCGCACGTGACATGACATGACGACATAGGTCTAGAAGACCTATTTATGTTATCAAGATAGAAGGCAAGCCTCGTGTTGCCTCATGTACTGATAGAAGGATACCACGTGGATCCTATCTCTGATGGAAGCGTACCGCATGGACGCTATCTATGATAGAAGCCCGCCTCATGGACGCTATCTCTGACTCATGTAGATAAGCATATTAGAACCCAGCTTTAGACTGAGCTTAGACACGATAGAGTAGCCTTATATAAGGTCGAAGATTAAAGTAGATGTTCCTTACTTTAATCTTACTAGGTTTACCCCAGAACTCCTTGTCCTGCTAAAGCTACCTGCTTGACATCGACTCGTACCTTCAGTGACGCCTCTCACTGTCTGTAAACCGCTATCATCTCAGCGTAACCCCTCGTTAACCACCACGAGCTACGTTCGAGTACGCAACCTTTGCTTGTCTGTAAAGGCTGACGACTCTCAGCACTTGGTACCACTGTCGTGGTTGTCGCTGTTTAGATCATCCTAGTCGCACACGACCGTTTGTCGTAACACAACAATAGGAACATCCGGCATCCAGTGTGTAAGCACCGGAGCAGTAGTGAAGGCTTTCTTGAGAGTTTCAAAAGATTTCCGGCAATCCTCGGAGAAATTTCAGGGAGCATTTTTGCAAGTGAGCCGCGTAAGCAGAACTACAATGTCCGAGTAGTTGAAAATGAAGCAACAATAGAAATTGGCGAACCTGAGGAACAATTGGATATCCTTAATTTTCTGGGGTTCCGGCCAGTCACAGATAGTCTGGACTTTGTCCGAAGACATGGTAAGGCCGGCTGGAGATAGGAGGTAGCTGAGGTATTCTATGGAGTCGGAATGGAATTAACACTTCTCCGGTTTAGCATATAGCCGATGCTTCCGGAGGCATCAGAGGACTTCAAGGACATGTTGTTTATGGGATGCAAGGTCTGCGGAATAAATGAGGATGTTGTCGAGGTACACAATAACACATATGTCAAGCATATCCGCGAAGATGGTATTGACAAAACGCTGGAAAGCCACCGGAGCATTGGTGAGACCCTCGGGCATAACCAACCATTCATACGAGCTGTAGCGTGTTCGGAAAGCAGTTTTCCACTCGTCTCCTTCCACCATCCAGACTAGATGGTAAGCAGACCGGAGGTCAATTTTAGTGTAAACTTTAGTGTGGCTCGGAGAATCAAGAAGGTCGGAAATGAGGGGAAGCGGTCTTTTTTTGTGATTTTATTGAGGCCTCGGAAATCTACACAGAGACGTAGGGAGCTGTCATTCTTTTTGACGAACAGGACAGGGGCTCTGTGCGGAGAGGATGAGGAATGGAGAAGTCCGGTCACAATATTCTCATCAAGGAATTTGCGGAGAGCTGCAAGCTCGACCGGAGAAAGGGAATAGATGGTGCCAAGGGGCGGAGCTGCTCCTTCCTCCAAATCGATCTTAAGATCATAGGGACGATGGGGAGGGAGCTGTCCGGCTTTGCTTTTATCAAAGACATCCGCGTACTTGTGATATTCTGAAGGGATTCCAGATAGGTTCGGAGGTTTGGAGGAGAGTGTAGTGGAGCGGAGATTGACACCGGTGGGTTGGATGAAAATACTGAACTGGACCGATCCCTCTAATTTGCAGGCCCAGCAAAAGGCAACTGCATTGATTAGGGAAATATTGGGAATGGTGCTATCAGCGGAGGAACTTGGCAGAGTTGTGGAAGGGGTTTCCGCCGGAGCCGGCGGAAATGAGGTCGGAGGGGGTGAAGACACTCCATGAGGAATCAGACGGAAATCGATGCTGCCCTTTACCCAGTCAATCAACAGATTGTGTCGGGTGAGCCAGCTATATCCTAGAATGATGGAACAGGATGAGTCCAACGGAGTAACATAAAATGTTTTGGAGGTAACCACGCTGGTCGGAAAATGGATCGGTAAATCTACTGCCTTGGTAATCGTAGCATTAGAAGTACCATCAAACAAGTGAAGCGGAAGTGGAGGGATTGCATAGGTTGGAATGTTATTTTCTCAGATTAGTTTGGTTTCTACAAAACAATGGGAAGAACCACAATCTACTAGAGCCGGGAACAGAGAGATATCGGGAAAAGTAGAAATGCAAACATTTGGCATAAGTGAGTTCAGATCGGAAAGAGAAACAGCATTGAGACGTAGCTCCATTGCGTGGGTTGAGTCAATGCAACCCTCGTCCCGCACGGAGTCAGGAGGGTTGCAGACTAATTCTTTGTTTCTTCCGAGACCTCCGGTTTGGCTTCCAGAGTCACCGTGCTAGCACGACCTTTGGCCGCACAGGAAGTGGACTTTAGGCAGTCCCGGGCAGTGTGACTGGGCCCATTGCAGAAGAGGCAGAGCTTCTTCTCCATGCGCCTCTGGCGCTCCTCGGAGGTGAGTTTACCGTCTTTTCTGAGCTTGGACGTCAAGTCCGGAAGTTTGGCGGAGGAGGAAGCCAAGGCATTTCTGGACCTTCCGCCAGAATATTCTTTCCGGTCGGAGGTCGGAGCTGATTGTTTAGTAGGAGGGGTGGGTGTGGAGGGTTTGGTTTCGCAGGAGACTTCTCCCTTGCGTTCCCAGTATCGAGTGTCGATAGTCTGGGCGAGAGTTTTGTATTGGGACAGAGTGGTGGGTTTTCCTTGACAACTGATTTTGTCCTTAATGCGAGCCGGAAGTCCGTTGTAGAACTGACGGTGCAAAGCTCTGTCGCCCCAACCGCGGACTTGGGAAGCAAGTCATTGGAACTCTACAACATACTTGTTGATGCGCTGTCTGTCGCACATATAGAGCTGTTCCAACTGCATTTCTGCATCTCTGACTGGGTCATGAGGTCCGAAGTTAGTTTGGAGTTCTAACATGAACTCGGAGTAGTCATCCATCCATTCCAGACAATTGACAAGATCATCCGAAAGGAGGTCCAGCTCAAACCATTCAAGAGCCATGCCCTTGAGGTATGACTGCGCGAAGTTGACCTTGGTGCAGCCGGTGCGGAAAGACTTTGGCTTAGCTTGGAAGTTAAGCTCACATTGGACAAAGAATGCCCGGAGCTTCCATAGCTCAGTGCCATCAAAGGTGTCCGGTTCTCGGACTTTGATTTTAGAGTCGTCAGGGATGGCAGACCGGCGGTTGTTACACACCAGGTTATTGATTGCCTGAGAAAGGCAGAGGAAGACCAAGTCTTGTGGACCGAAACCTTTGTTTTCATCGTCAGTCGGGTCTTCCGGAGGTTCATCATCTGGGTCACCTCCCCCATCATCCGGCAGATCTCCACCCAGAGTATCTTCGTTTTCCGGTAGGAATCCGGCCGGTGTGCAAGTTGGGGTTTCTGGGTGCGGACGATTCATAAGTTGAGAGATGCTGGATGCAGCACCCTGCGCGCTAGCACGACGCTGTGAGAAGCTAGTGAATGCATCAACTATGGGAGTAGAGTCACGTCAGGCGGTTACTAAGCCCGCCGCATGGAGGTTGGTCTGAGTGGTTGTAGGTGCCATGAATGTAAGTATACTCAGTAAGGTGTGAGTTCGAATATACTGTTAAGAACATGCTCAAGGGTCGGATCCGAAGGGCTTGGCTTCAGCTCGTGCACTGCGCCCCTTACCTGAGTATGTGCCCCTAACTTCCAAAGGTTGTTGGACGAGTCTGGAGTCCGATGTCCGATGCGCAGGAATTCCGGCGGACGTTCGGGAATGAGGGATAAGACTAATCTGGACGATGTCTGAGCTAGAAAGGAAACAGCAGAGGACTACCAGAGGTAGAGGCAGAGGTGAGAAGTCTATAGGAGTCGATCCTAAGACTAGCGGAGGACAACGAGAGGAGAAACTCAAGTCGGACGGAGGAGGGAATGAGCAGAGTCTAAGATAATATTCGAACTGAGGAAGTACAAAGATTCTACAGGGTTTATATACTACTGAGAACTTAACGGAGAATCAGTCAGTGCAGTCCAAAACTATGCGAGGCTGTGGATGGAGTGTATAGAAAAGTCAAACACTAGTCTATCGGAAAATAGTCAATGAAGACGGAAATGAGAACATGAAATGAACTGAGGTATGGAAAATGAGTATAGACTAACTGGAGAAGGAACATACAAAGGGAAAAAGGCACGGAAGATAGACGCGGGTCGGATCCAGATGTCTGGAGATGGTGGGGGTGATCTGGATATGTTCGGAGATGAGGGCGTGATTGGTCCGGGTCCAGAACATGGGATATGACACCCATCCATGAACAACCAGCTGCCCACCTCTCCAAGGCCATCAACAAATACTCAGATACCCTTCCATACAACAAGCTCCTGATTGACGTTACTGTACACCTCAACCACTGCATTCAAAACAAAGACATGATGAACATTCTGGATTTATACCTCGCTGTCACAATACAACCACCAGAGGACAACAGTGTGGACGACATTGAAATTCCGAAGTCCATCTCCAAATGGGTTGGAGAGTGTGGGCTTTCATCAGACTATAACTTCATGGTACAGGAACTGAGTGGCACATGCAATGGCCATCGCAACATTGATCTTGCTCTGATCATGGAGTTCAAAGAGCAGGCTACATGGCAACAGCCCAAGGAGATGAGCATCACTGCTCAAACTCTTCATACGAGTCCCACTTTGGATTACAAAGAGTTCATCCCTACACGCATCAAGAAGAGTCTGAAGTTCGGTCCGGTCATCATTCACTCTCATGTGTGGATCGACATTAGCAAGGTTTGATACACTGTGTTCAGACGGTGGCGTGGATGGCCACTTTGATTTTAACAGCAAGAATCCAGACATGTTTGCAGAGGGGGTACATTTACATTATCATTTTTTTTCTAATCTTATGCTCTGCAGACTCTTTACCCCACAGTACAGATGTCCGACATCGAATGTATATTGAGGGACAGCACCAACACATTGAAAGGGTACATTATTTCCTTGATGGAGGGGATGAATTTAGAGGTGTCTGCAATCCAGCTTGTGCGCGAATCCAATCCCATGTTCGAGCCTGTTTGGGGGGCTGCTGTTAATCAAATCTCTTCCACCATATACCTTACAGCCTACTGTTGTTACCTGGATTGGTGCCATCATAAATACAGCAAATGTAAGAACTCGCATGAGAATGCTCAATCCTCGAGCACCAGTTATCAGACTACTACCACCTCTGTCTCATCTGATCTGAGCACCTCCTCATCTGACCTCACAATGATTTCGTCCACTGGGCTCTTGCCTGATGCACACCCCAAGCCCTTGGCAAAGAAGGCCAAGACCCAATCTGCTGAGGAGCCCAAGTCGAAGTCGAAGTCGACAAAGACAAAGACAAAGACAAAGACAAACGGAAAGGGGAAGGGGAAGTCAGGGCTCTAAGCTGGAGCACTATTCATCATCGAAGGTCAGTTACCTATTTGAAGTCAATTATCTCCAATAATCTCATTACGACTTGGGCTGCTGCTTGTTGCTCTATTAGTACTATCGCTGTCATTCTCGCTTACATGCTGACATGTTTTCAATGCACTCTGTCTGTGTACTTGTAGTCTCAAATTCTCTCGCATCAGACTATAGTAGTATCACATAGGTACTACTTATACTTGTATTGTGCTCTGTTGAATGTCACATCACGGTTGACTTGGAGTTGTCAATCACGGGTGCCTGTGATAACACTTCTTGAATTTGTACAACTACAGTTAATGTCTTCTAGCATCCGACCTGCGACATCCACATCTGTTAAGGGCAGCAAGGCTCCTCCAAGCCCTCTAATCTGCTCATGTGAGGCTCAGACCCTTGTAAGTGCAAATCATGGAGAGATTTTGGCGAGCATTTTGCCACATTCTCAGACCTCTGGGTTATCCAGCACGCCCAGACCCAGGAAAAACACTACCACTACAATTTCTGGGTCCATCTCTCACAAAAAAACCCTACCTATGGATGGGGTTTTAAGCTCCAAGAACATTCAAATTGGAACTCCCAGGGCTATGGGCACGCTGTTAACCTGCCGATCCCCTGCATTACTGCATCACTTGACTAGCATGCCAGGCAACTATAGGTTCAGCATGAAAAATCCTGCATCACCGAAATTCCCAATAATGAGGGAGTCAGACTGCGAAGACCACAAAGACAGCCTGAGTGTGAGTTCATAGGTACTGACATGTGCTATCTGAATAATGATGTGTTTTTTTAGGAATCTACAGACTCCAGTGACATCGACCATTCCAGCAATGAACTTAAAGCACAGCTTGTCTTAAATGCAACCCAAGCACAGCGAAATGTTTGCCTCGCAGAGAAGATGCTGGCAGATTGCATTCTCAAGGAGAATGCTGCACTCAGGAAACTGTACAAGTTTAAGGCTACAGAAGCCAAGAGGAAGCTGGAAGACACTGATATCGACATTGGCTTTGTACACCACTCTGTCCGGAAAAGTGGCATCACGTTGTATGAGGACTCTAAGCCTCGAAAATGCCGTTGTGAATCTGCTAGTCAGGTTGATGATAATTTAACCAGGCCAGAAGGAGATTTGACTTGGACATTAGGTACCAATACTCATTTTTTTATTTGACTACTTCTACTCACACATTTTTTACTCCTATTTGCCAGCAGGATCTGCAAGTACAACTCCATCTGCGACATTTGAATCTGAGGCAGCGACATTGGACTCGGAGAGTGTGTACTAGTAGTAGTAGTAGTAATAAGTGTACATGATCGCAATGCTATTACTCGCATGTTCACTTTCGGATGGTTTTTATTGTGAATTACTAGTACTATGATAAGAGATGTCAGTACCCTATGTTTGCTGTAGTATAAACTTTAAATTTTTTCAGACTTCCTAGTACCAGAGTAGCAGACCGGCTTGCTGTGGTGCGCTGTGTAGTACTACCTTGATCATGTATCACTGTACCATCTGTAAATACACTACAAGATGCTGTAAGTCACTATAAATATATCACTACACATCACTATGGCTGCCTGCACTGCTGTAAGATGCTGTAAGATGCTGTAATTGGCTATGGCAGCTGTGATAAATTCAGGGTTTTGCTGATGTGTCAGATTATTTAAATATCATCAACAAAAATTCGTCACAGGGGGCAGATAAACACACATATGGTTTGCATGAGACTGCACAGTGCATGAAGATTCTCAGTGTTCTCTAAGTCCTCTGCCAGCTTGAACACTATCTTCACAATATATGCCTGCTAAAAGCTTAGCGGTCCATCATGAGGAATTTGATGATCTGACGATGGACCTCACACAGAATATACTTATATATTCTCTCCCTAATCAGACCCTTGCAAATATATATACCAAATGGACCTTGTTGGTAACAAGCTTGAGGCTCTTCAACAGAAATGATGGCGCCAGTGGTGTCGTGTGGATGTTGATTCACCTGCCAGAGATGGTGGTGCATGTGTGTGGCAAGGATTGCAAGAATCAAGAAAACTATGGTTAAAGGTCTAACAAGACATATGAGAAAAAGTGAGGTTGCTCATGATTGGTGGGCACACAACTCTGGGTTGGGCTGGATGAGTGGCAGTACATGTCAAATTAAGATGTCATTGAGTCCATGGAGGTCTGTAAAATCAATATTGATGAGGGACAAAAAGCCGCAGCCTGAGCCACCAGCTCAGGCTTTTCAACACCTCAAGCCGGACCCTAACTTGGGCCCAGCTCAGCTCAGCCTAATCAGGCTTGGCTTTGGCTGGCCCATGGCCTGAAGCCAGGCCATGCACATCACTAGACTTGATCATTAAATTGGAGTGTGTTAGTTTTAATAAAATAGCTGGAGTTGGTATCACCTTGTGAGCCAAAAGTAAAACCATTTCTCTCTGCTTCCACTGTGGAAAATGCTGATCTCCCCAAAGCATTCTGTACTGTTCAGTCTGTTCTGCTTGGGCCCATCAGAAGTTTTGACATAACAATGCTTGCTGATCAAGGTGGTACAGAATAGCTTGGGTGCATAGCACTCATGTGCAAATTGGAAAATGGGCTCACCATTTGATGCTCACATATAAATAAATTTGTACGTGATAGTTGGTGTATTATTTATTCATGTGCGCAAAGACGGAGATAAATTAGCTGTTAACATGGATCCCTTCCGATGCAATCAGCACTGCATATAAGTCGGCACTTGGCATTTCTAGCCACTTGAACACAAAACATTTGAAACAAATATCATTCTTTATCTAATATTCATTGGGTGACTATCCGTAGGCTGAAATAATGCGGAATAAAATAAGATAGAATAAAAAAGACCATTTAAGGAAGTCGTGCCGCGATGCCGCTGTTCATTTGCATCGAATTTGCAAAACATTATTTTTTGACCCCCTTACCTAATGAAAAATCAAATAAAGTTAAACCTAATAAATAATATTATAAAATAATATTTACGAAAGATTAAAAATATAAACTATTTTTCTAAACAAAAAATATATCTATATTATATATTAATATATTATATTTTACTAAAAAACAAAAAATATGTTGAAAATTTATAAAATAATGTAAATGACTCAAATCTAAATAATACAAACTCTAAATCTAGAAGGGGCCCCCCCCCTTACAGATTATTCCGGATTAAATCCGTTTTGGGCCACTACGCCTAAGCTATCTGCTGACTACTGTAGAGATACGACACTAGGTTCGTCACGTGCAGCCCGTGACGATGTCACGCTTAGTCTTACAGGTTCGAATGTCCAGGTGACCTGTGACCTTACCCAAATAGATTCGCCTGCGGATCGTAGTGCTTCGCCGCTCGCAACGCCGTTTGCAACCATCTGACATGCTGCTTCGTGATTCAAGCAACTTGCTTCAGTCTGTCATGGATTCGCCTCGCATAGCGCTGACTGGTAACGAGTGGAATTGGAGATTCGCGAGCCTCGCAAGTCGAGAGGCGTTGCAATATTTACGTGATGTTCAGAAGAATGATCCAGCTGGATGGACGAGGATTGCTACTGCTCAGTACAAGACTGTCAGCGTTGACCAGGCAACAAACTCCGAGTCAGAGAACGAGGCCACTGATACTACCGGAGCCGAATCCCCCTTCGACGATGCTAGCGAGCATGACCTCGATGCCAGTGACGTGCCAATGGATGCACTCCTTGATCATATGGCTTCCGGGGGTGAACACGTCCGTTCTGACTGCCGTATCGATGCAGATGGCGGACTTCTGTGTTCAAACCACTCCGAAGTCTATGATGTGGGTGACATTACTGCCAAAGATGTGGAGAGTGGCTCGAATAGTGTTCCGAAGGTTGATTACGGGCGTGGAAAGCGTAGACGCATCGCAAATTCGATGTATGATGATTTCTGGTCCCATTAGCGCATAACCTATGTTTTTTTTCCCATATGTCACAAATTAGCTTCGTCCCACCAAAAATTCATGTGACAGTCACACCAAATAGATTCGATTTGTTAAGGGCTGTGACCTGTGACGAACCTAGTGTCGTATCTCTACAGTAATCCATGACTTGAGGTCCGCCTGACACATGTTCAGCATGGCGATGGTCACCACCTGGTCCAAACATTTTCCAATATACAGAGTCCCATCCCTGAGCTCCCTGGTGAAGTTTTTAGCTGAAATTTTAAGATTGCTATCAGCAGATGACGCCGACATGTACCACTGCGACCAGCCAGGGTACGAGGTGAGCAGTGCTAACACCATTCTCTCCCTATAAGTCTAGAATTGCGAAAACAACTCGTTCCCCAAGCTACCGCAACTGTTTCTTTTTCATTAAAGACTTGATTTCATGTGTGTACTAACGTATTCCTGCAACCACCGCTGGGCACGACAAAGGTACAGCCACTTAGGGTTCCAAGTTTCAACACGATCAAGTCAAGCTAGCTCTATTCCAGCAACAAGTGTAGCTGCTAACATCCTCACATCTTCTTCATCATCAAGAAATGCTGTCTCTTCTCCATCATTCACCAGATTGTGGTACTGTAGTAGTAGATCATCCATTGCAGTTTTGACCAAATTATTTTATTCCAGATGCATTACGGTTGTGTTTTCTGTACAGATTATCTTTTGCAAATATCTTTCAAAGTCCGTTATAATCTATTCCGCATTATTTTGCCTACGGATAGTCACCCATTACCAGGTTAAACGTTAACAACCACGATGAAAGCAGAATAATTGAAACTGAAGGTCACCTGCCGGAATGTGCCGTGACGTGTTGATAGTGCACACACCCGAGTGGGACTTATCCGCATTCGCAAGTACACGGGTAAGATGGCTGATGGCAAGTAGGATGATACAGGATTGTAACGAAATGTTGAAACCTGTTAAATAAACCAAACGTTTCGTCTCGATGACAAAAATCAAGTTATACAGTGGAACGCTGGATTATGTAGACAGCTAAATGTTCAATTATGCCGTCAGCGAATTTCATAGAGTGGTAAAATACTGACCTGGTGCAATGTCCTTGTGAGCCTGCCACCATTCTATATCGCAGGTACTGCTTGATTCATCCTCCGAACATCCCAATTCGAAAACAAGGACGTCGTCCATCACACAAGAAAGTTTTCTGTGCCAGTTCAAGCTGTCTTGCCCTAGCACAATGTTATCAAGTTTCGCGACCCGTGGCGGTCGGACGTTAAACGATAACGTTGAAATATCAACTGGTACAGTGGCATTGAGGCGATATAAAGCAAGCGTAGTTGGTCGATCCATAGGCGGAATGGCGACGTGCAATTCGCAATTTTCCATGCCCCAGTCAATCGCCCTGAATTGAAATATTGTTGAAACCTTTTATTCCATCAGTCTATAGAACACAAAAAAGGAAGATAAACTGACAGATTGTGTAACGTGGACTTTGCGGTCATCAGGCGAGATTGTGCCGGCACGTGTCGTGCGCATCGCAAGATAGTCATTAAAAACATGACTTGGCGCAGAATGATCCACCAAGCTGACAGACATGGGGAAATTTATGAACTCTCTCGAAATGGGAGGCGACGTCCGTGCGATCTCGTCGAACCGCATATATTGAGAAGGACGACGGAGAAGGTGAACATTCTTTCGAGTAATAAGTTTGTCTGAAGATACTGAAGAGTCTGGGAGAAAGGCAGGGGTATAGACCAGTAACAGGTTAAGGAACGTGCAGAAGATTACGATGACAAGTGGCCAATGGAGCACAGTTCGTGAAGTTTCATGCAGTTTCGCTTTGTGGTCGTCATCACTCTCAGAGTGAATGACTTCTTGTGGCGTCAGACTCAATGGCACGTATGACCCGTAGCGTGAGGAAAAGAACATGACGGGGAGAATGGCATGGACTTGAATTGATCATGATAGCAAGGGGAATTTGAAGCGCAGTGGACGTATCCGATTGGCCTGAGCGGCACTTACCGAGTTATTACATAATTATATAGTACTATTGAGGTGTTTCACATTGCAGTAGTAAGTTCATCAGAAGACATGGTGCATCCCGAATGCAGTTCAACGCTCATAACTTATTTCTCTTATCTATGGTTCTACCGCTACTACGGGCAGCCCTGGGCGCATCATCTCACGCAGCCATCAGACCTGCGGCAATACAATCATTCCTCCGAGCTTTGATGATATCATGCATCAAAATGACTCGTGATTCTACTGGTAAAGGACAGACCTAAGATGGATGCGCCGTTACTGCGAGATCTTCCTAGCATATCGGAATGATCTTGCGTCAACTTGGTTAACCCTGGCCAAAGGCAGTGCTAATCAAACTCATCAACAGGATTTTTAGACAGCTTTGATGATCAAGAATTTATTGCGTGTCAATCGGTATTGGCGGTTTCCGAAGGACTCGGTGATTCGGGACTCTTAGGAAGTATGTCGGTCTTCCAGTCTCGGATACTTCCATGGGATGCAACCTACAATTGTGCATGGTGACTTGAAAGGGGTATGTGGGTGCTTTGATCGGTGAGAACACCACTGAAGGTTTGTTATAAGGCCAACATTCTGGTTTCCTCCGGACGTGCGTGTTTGGTTGACTTCGGCCTTGCAACCACGCGAGACTCTCAAACACAGCTTCAGACCAACATAATCTCTGTTGCGGGAACCCCCTCTTTCATGGCGCCTGAACTTTTGGAGGCGCGTGCAAATCCACTGATCTGTTATCAGCCCTGGATAGACGCCCATGTGATATATTCGCATTTGGCTGCATATGTTACGAGGTACGGTTTCCCGTCATGATGCTCAACCATGAACTGATCTCTTTGCCTTTCCAGATGTATGATGGATTGCGCCCATTCTGGGACTTATCCCCACAGACAGTGGATACCAATTTTATGAAGGGAAACCATCCCTCACGTCCTACGAATAACGTGTGCCTTCAACGAGGACTGGATGACGACATGTGGGATTTCATCCAGAATTTGTGGCACCATGATCGAAAGCTTCGAGCTACTGCTAGCCAAGCCTCTTTGTAGATGTCGCACAAGATGCACATGGCAGGCAAAAGCACGGACAGGCCACCCGCGGAGATGGAGTGGGACTTTCTGACGGAATGCCTCGCAGAGTTGACTGATTTTGACCCTCTTTCTATTTCATGAGTAGCACTACAAGTTCATACCGATGCTGATTTCGCTCTCTGACGTTGAATCAAGTATACGAAACCTTCTGTCGTACGCCATACCCGATGTTGAAGCATCATGCACATACCTCACTGCAGCGGTAGCGACAAGCCTTTTTGGTACATCTCTTCACTTATCTTGTGATCTATCCTTGCACCAGGCGCTTGTTGGCCTTAAAGGACATTGATCTCATATCAACAAATGGTAGAGATCTTCTTTGAGAAGCACATTTGCAAGAGCACCTCCATCGCCTTTGGCCAGCAGGTCTTGCAAACGTGCTTTTCATAGAAGATCCCCATCATTTGGTTATATCCAGGGCTATCTGTCTTTCCCTCTTTCTTGTGCCTCTCAATCGTCTCTCTCACATCTTCCATAGCTTTATCAGTACTTGGTCAAGCTAAGCTTCTCGCAGATCTCGCCTGTACTAGTACGTTCCCACACACCCTAGATTTATTCACAATTTTCAACAGGCCTTAGGACAGAACGACTTTTCAACAGTGTTATTAACCGTTATTAACAAGTATTATAAACAGCTGTTGAAAAAGATCGATTTTTCAACCGTACCCTATCCGACTCGGAGCCTGATCACTACCATACACCTGTAGTTGGACCGCCTCCGCACTCCGAGTCAGAGACTGTACTCGCCGTGCTATCTCGATAGAAGGAACTTCAAGAAAGACTCAGACAGTTGTTCTCGAGAAGCATGTAATACATTCAGTATAAACAAACAATCACGTGTACGCGAACACATCTTCTACTCCCAGTGTCAATGTACCCATGCACTCGATCTGTCCTTCTTTACGTCAACCTCCAGCTGTATTTATGTTTCAAAAAGGATCGATCAACGCTAGAAGCTCGTCAGTCGTGCTCCACATCATCGCCGAGATCCACTCACAAGGAACATCCACATCGTCGTTGTTCTCTGCAGCACTGACCACTAGGATCTGTGCGAAGGCAACTGACAAGAGTAGAACATAGAAACCGAGTTTGTTGATGTTAAGTACGGTCATGTTAATGATATTCTTCTTTGAGGTGTAGAGTTTGAGATGCGTTGTTTTAAAGTGAGACTAAGAGTTGTACCCTTTAAATACCAATTCATGAGTGCCCAATTGACTTGCCCGTTAGTCTCGGCTAAAAAATATTTCTAGATGTACGGTAGCCCACATCAAGTTGCCATGTACTAGTAGTGATTGATTGCACTCCAGCTTTCGAGGTTCAAACCTTGACGGCAATATCCTAGAAAGCCGAGCAAGCGTTTCAAAATTCGGAGTTCATAAAGCGCCCGAGCTATATATATCCACGACCAACGATTCCGCGAGTTGACAAGTCCCCAGTGCCACCACTAAAGTAGTAAGTTCATCAGAAAATCTCATGATGTATGCCAGAGGCAGTTCAACGCTCATAACTTCTTTCTGCTATCTACGGTTCTACCGATACCGGCAGCCCTGACGCATCAGCTCACGCAGCCGTCATGAGACCTGCGGTGATACCGTCGTTCCTCCGAGCCTTGAGCAATCAGAACATCGTGCTAGTAAGATGCGTCAGAATGAAATGATTCTGGAATGATCTTGGGTCAACTTGGCTAAGTAACCCTGACCACTGGCAGTGCTACTCAAATATATCAGCAGGATTTCACGACAACTTTCGATAATCAAGAATGCATTACGACGTGTCGAACGGTATTGGCGATATCTCAAGGAGGACTAAGTTGGACTCGCGGGTTCGGCATCCTTAGGAAGTATGTCTGTCGCGGACGCGATCGACTTGCATCAGCGGAAAAATGGAAGTATATACATGGTTTCTGCAAGGTATGTCATTCATGACATAGTCGCACACGGTGTTCGGAGGCCAATAGAAGCCACTTACCTTACTAGGAAGATTCAAGCGTTGGAAGTAGACCTGGTCTGGCTTTCCATACTGTTCGAAAGCGTATCAGGAGTCCTTTCGAAGCTCTTTGCCTTATCAGGAAATGCACGTGAGCCCTGCTTTCCATAATTAAGTGGTCTAACCTGGTCTCGCAGATTCAATATTAAAAATTAAAAATCAGGATGGTTCATGGTGCCACTCTAAGTCTCAGACCCTCGTTCCGTTTTCTGTTTCAGTATGGCGACTGACTCGTTTCCCCAACGCTTACCTACGCTGGATCGGCTTGGCGTCACTCATCCTTCCAATGTCTCCTCATCCGAGGTAGCCACCGAGTGGCTCAACGCTTTCTCAGCTGCAATAACTCAAAGTGATGCCGCAGCTGCTGTCGGCCTCTTTCTCGAGGATGGCTTCTGGAAGGACGTCATCGCACTGACGTGGGATTTCAGGACATTCGAAGGAAGGAAGGACATCAAGAAACTCTTGGATGCTCGTCTCGTTGCTACGGGTCTTAACGAACTGCGTCTCCTACAGGAGCCCTTGAATGAACCTGTTCTGCAAAAAGTTTATCATGATTTAGTCTGGTTGCGGTTTTGCTTCGGTTTTACCACCAAGCATGGCAAGGGTACTGCAGTCGTTTATCTTGTTCCCCTTCCAGATTCAAAGTGGAAGGCGTACACTCTGTTGACCTGTCTTGATTCGTTGACCAATTTCCCTCAAAAGGTGTGCAATCACATTCCTTCGAGAGCACTTACTGACTCGGACTCTATGGAAGCTCGGTCCCCTCAGAAACTGGGAGACTGATCATGGCAGTTGGGAAGAGAAGCGGCGCCAAGAGACTGAGTTCTCAAACAATGACCCAACGATGATTGTCATCGGTGCGGGGCACAGTGGTCTGGAGACCGCGGCAGGCTTAAAGTACATTGGTGTACCCACGCTTGTCATTGATAAGAAGCCGAGGGTTGGGGATAGCGTTCGTCCCGTGTCAATTTTGGTATTTAAATATAGCTAAAGGCTCGAGGGCGGTTTCATAGTGGAGAGATCGTTACAAGGCTCTTTGTCTGCATACTACGATCTATTCGTGCCTTTTCCTTTTCTTCTACGGAAAGGGATCGACTAACAAACTTACAGGGCACAGCCAAACGCCTTACCTGAAGTGAGTGGTCTGTCAGACCTCCTTTTGATTCTTTTGTAATCCAGTTTGCAGATTTCCACCCACTTGGCCGGTCTACACCCCAGCCGCAAAAGTACAACATTACCCACATAATGAAAATTCGCTGATTCCAGCTATTGCAGCTGGCAGACTGGTTGGAAGCATATGCGAGTTTCCTTGAGCTCGACGTTTGGACGGCCTCGACGATCACCAAGACATCTTGGGACGATAGCACGAAAACCTGGTCTGTCGAAGTCAATCGCGGCGGTAAAGGTACTAGGGTTCTGACCGTTAAGCACCTCGTTTTTGCCACTGGATCTGGCGGTCGCCCGAAAGTTCCCGAAATCCCTGGGAAGGTTGTAACGCTCGAACCGATCGAAACGTGACTCATGGACGCAGGCAAGCTTCAAAGGGACTGCCGTGCACTCGTCAGACTTCAAATCCGCGGCTGATCATATCGGTAAAAAAGCAATCGTAGTCGGTTGTTGCAATTCTGGTTGGTCTGTCATATCTTTCACATCGAACGAGGTCTAAATATTTCATCAGCACATGACATTGCTCAAGATTTCTGTAGCCACGGTGTCGACGTCACAATGTGTGTTCTTTGGTTCAGGTCATGTCATTTTCATATCTTACAGGATACTATGTATCAACGATCGTCGACATTCGTGACCTCGCAGGAGTCAGTGGCAACAATGCTAGGCGGTAATTGTTCCCGTGGTTGTCGGTGGCTTGGCTTGACTTTCCTTGCCTAGTTGTCTACAATGACGACCTCCCCACTGAGCTGGCTGATACTTACAATACCTCGCTGCCTTGGGCAGTTGTTAGGCGGCTGCAACAACGTATGGTTCCTATGGTTGCTGAGACCACAGACAAGTATGTCGGACGATTCGAAGCTCACTTCCAGATGCATCACAATCGCAGGGCCATTCTAGATGGATTGGCTCAGGTTGGCTTTAAGACCAATCTTGGCATACATGGAGCAGGTCTTCTGTCCCTTTACCTGGAGCGTGGTGGTGGCTACTACGTCGGTGGGTATACCTCTGATGCATGAAGAAGATGTCTCTCAACAGTTTCCAGACACCGGAGCAAGTAAATCTATTATCGACGGGGATATTAAAATCAAGAACGGTTCCGCAATCGAGTCCTTCACGGAAAACGGCCTTCGATTTTCTGATGGCACTGAGCTACAGGCAGATATGATAGTATTTGCTACGGGGTATGGTGATATTTCACTTTGACGAGCAGAACTCATAGTTGCTTGCAGTTACGGCGACCCCCGTGACTCCATGCGTGAGGTCTGTGGAGATGAAGTCGCATCAAAAATCACTAGGGTCTGGGGTCTAGACGAAGAAGGGCAAACTGCGGGAGTGTGGAGGTACTGCGGGCATGATGGTCTGTGGTTCGCAAATGGTATTTTGCGTCGTTCTTGTTGTGGGCGCGTCAGTTTCATTTCGATGAACAGGTGATTTTGCTCTATTGCGCTTTCACAGCCTCCATTTGGCCGTGCGTGAGTTCCTTCGTTGTGGTATATAGAGCGTTGCTGATGATCGAAAATGTAGAAATCAAAGCAATAGAAGAAGGTATTTTGAATAAGGCGGATATAGCTATTCGATGATGTTTCGAAGATCTACTCATGATCAGGACTGGGAGACCTGTAAAATGTACGAGTAGTTATTGCGCAAATTAAATGTTGTATGTACAATGAATTCAAGGGAATTTTCACTGGAGCCTCACCAATTGCAATGTGTTTTTTTGTTTTTTAATATAGATATATACAAGATGTTTCTAAACACGTCGAGCCCGCCACGATCGACCCAAAACAACCGCAGGCCCACCTCATCTAACCTCATCTACTAACCTTCTTGTTGCAGTCTTCCTTTTGTGCTTACTTGCGCCGTCCTGCCAGACGGCGCAGGGAGTACGTGTTCGAATACACATATATTATAGTGCCACACCACCCAAAAAAAACATATACGAGGGAAAGCATATGACGAGACATATCCAACATATAGGGTCTACGATCCCAAAGGACTCATTCTGATGAAAAAACCGCTATTCTCCCAGCACCAGCCAGTACCAGTTACAGAGATAGCTGTCACGTTAATGTATCAGTGACATTATTGACACGGCAAGCAAGAAGCGGGCTCACCCTTTCTTTCCTCTTATGTGCAATTCGTAGACCCGATGTCGCCTACACCTCCGTGAGTGACAGTACAGCACTGGATACAAGTGCACATTTTAACTGTCTCGACAATGTTGTCTTCATTGCAGTAAAACAAAAATGGCATGTTCCCGTTATAACCCGCGAGTCGTCCACACTCATAATTGCCTGCAAGCACCCGTAAGTATGCGGTCTGAGATCAACTTGAAAATATGTGCTGAATACTCACTATTCTGGGCACATGGCCCCCCGTTGGGGTCGGGTTGTGCTTTAACGATGCCCACCAATACTGCGGCAGACGTAATCATAGTGGTGAGTGAGGTGAACTTCATTGTAGCACGAGTCGAGGATGGGTCTTCAGTGACTGTGGATGATATTCTTTGTTGTTGGACTGAGATATTACCGCTTCGCTTTTATACACGAGCAGTAAAGGGCGGTCAGCCCAAAACATGTACCTGCTGTGTGTCCGACTAAGTAAACCAATGCGCCGTGGCAACACGATATCTCTAGACGTGGCTCTATGAGAACTCGGTAGTGTCAAGCTCGCGTCCAAATTTCATATGATCCGTCTATGAAATTTGGACGCGAGCCTGACACCTGAGTGGGTTCTCATTGAGCCACGTAGGCTAGCATCCGCTTTCCGCATTTGCATAGTTCAGCTTTCAACTTTCCCGATGATCCCTTAACGAATGACTTTTTTTTCTATTAAGTTCGGTGTGGCACGATCCTATGCTGGACGTACGGTACGTGTGCAGTATTTGTAGTTTGTCTAGTGACACGCGGTGACTTCAGTCCTTGCTTTATTACAAAAGCAGACTTTTATACACTATATTTGCACGATCTTTCTCTTCGTTTACTCTTGAAAATGTGCACAGCGTACCTCTGATGGTTTTGACACAGGACAATGCAGTAATAAAATAACGACATGCTTGGAAGGAGGCGGCAGGTATTCTGAATAGGTGAGGATACATTTGCAGATGCCTGTTGAGCCTGAGAGCGAAATATATCGATGTCGCACCCATGATCTTATTCTAATGAATAAACGCCACGACTGACTTTCCCAGCTATGATGAATACAGGCAGCGCACGATTGCCGTCAGCAAGAGGTTCTACTAGTTCCTGTGAAAATAGCATGAGCAAGGTACGACGCCGAACAGTAGGTAACAGGAAGACAGCGAACATGATTCCCGTATAGACCGGAAGTGTGGGTAGGAGTGCCATCGTCGGTCACTGCAGAACCAATATATTCGCTCCAACAGTGAAGACTGCGGCTACCGCTAAGTCGCCGTCAGAATCAGGTGACAGGTAGAGCGCCGAGCGGTGTAGCGGTCCTATTTCGAGTAGTTTTTCTTGTCATATTGGTACCTAGATGAATATTATTATGAACACAAACCAATTCATGAAAAGTACAGGTGGTCGTTATATAGTGCTGGACTGAATATGAATGAGAAGTGGCAACAGAGCAGATCACAAAAATTGCTTAACTAAGATGTTACCCGATTTACATAAACTGTTGCGCGCTTGACAGGTCATGTCGGTGACCTGATGTAGATACTAAGCACAATGACTCAATCATCCGAATGATGTGCGTCTGCGATGCGTTTGTATCTACATGATATATGTAATACAATAATGTGTCGACGAGATCTACGCACGCTCGATTTTCGATAAGTCCTTGGTTTCGTACCCTCAAGTGCCACTTTGCCACTTTTGCGCAAACTGGCAAGCGACGGAAACTCCGCCCCCAGTCCATAGCAAAATACATGGACAGAGATACTCCAGCACCCAACACCCTCCTCAGTATCACGAACGCGAACATTAAAGCCCGTCCTGCTACTTCCCCTCCAAGCTCTCCAGCCCCACTGAATTTCAGGTTGTTTTCCTGATGCAGGCATTTCAGTTATCATTTATGTAGTACAGACCTTGCTTTTACTTTGCTTATCACGCTATCATGTTCTGCTCAATGCACGCTATCATTTGCACGCCTTCTCAAATTTTTTTGCAATCAATGGTATTGGAAATTTTTGGTTTGTATTACTAAGCTGGGGCGAAGTTACGCCAGCTCCATGTTCTGAAATGTAAATTCCCACATGCCTCTTGCTTCAAATTCGTTAGCCTAGGGGCGGGACGTGTGACGAAATCATGGTTGTAACTCTACAGTATCACCACAGCACTCTCAGAGTAGCCAATGCTTTGGCCCTATAGCAGTTCCTTCTACCTTTAGTTGGGCTGAGCAGCTGAAGTCGCGGGGTTCCGGCATGTTGGGTGAGCGGCTCCACCTGCTTGCGTCCCACCCCGAGCTAACGCTCGGTCCAGTCCAACCCCTCAGATTGTGTCACTGACTCTAGAGCCAGACGAAGTTGGAATGCACGTGAGCGCAAACGCTGATCAAATGAGCACGATGCTCCGGCTGTCCATAATTAAGTGGGTCTAGGCCTGGACTCGCAGATTCAATTAAAGTTAAAAACCAGGAGGGTTCATGGTGCCACTCTAAATCTCATACCCTCATCCGCACATATCAGTTTTCTGTTTCAGCATGGCGACTGACTCATTTCCCCAACGCTTGGTCACTCATCCTTCCAATGTCTCCTCATCTGAGGTAGCCACCGAGTGGCTCAACGCTTTCTCAGCTGCAATAACTCAAAGTGATACCGCAGCTGTTGTCGACCTCTTTCTCGAGGATGGCTTCTGGAAGGACGTCATCGCACTGACGTGGGATTTCAGGACATTCGAAGGAAGGAAGGACATCAAGAAACTCTTGGATGCTCGTCTCGTTGCTACGGGACTCTATGAACTGCGTCTCCTACAGGAGCCTTTGAATGAACCTGTTCTGCAAAAAGTTTATTCTGGTTGCGGTTTTGCTTTGGTTTCACCACCAAGCATGGCAAGGGTACTGCAGTCGTTTATCTTGTTCCCCTTCCAGATTCAAAGTGGAAAGCCTACACTCTGTTGACCTGTCTTGATTCGTTGACCAATTTCCCTCAAAAGGTGTGCAATCATATTCCTTCGAGAGCACTTACTGACTCGGACTCTATGGAAGCTCGGTCCCCTCAGAAACTGGGAGACTGATCATGGCAGTTGGGAAGAGAAGCGGCGCCAAGAGACTGAGTTCTCAAACAATGATCCAACGGTGATTGTCATCGGCGCGGGGCACAGTGGTCTGGAGACCGCGGCAGGCTTAAAGTACATTGGTGTACCCTCTGGTTGGGGATAGCGTTCGTCCCGTGTCAATTTTGGTATTCAAATATAGCTAAAGGCTCGAGGGCGGTTTTATAGTGGAGAGATCGTTACAAGGCTCTTTGTTTGCATGATACGATCTGTTCGTGCCTTTTCCTTTTCTTCTACGGAAAGGGATCGACTAACAAACTTACAGGGTACAACCAAACGCCTTACCTAAAGTAAGTGGTTTGTCAGAACTCCTTTGATTCTTTTTTAATCCAGTCTGCAGATTTCCACCTACATGGCCAGTCCACACCCCAGCTGCAAAAGTACAACATTACCTACATAATGAAAATTCACTGATTCCAGCTATTGCAGCTGGCAGACTGGTTGGAAGCATATGCGAGTTTCCTTGAGCTCGACGTTTGGACGGCCTCGACGATCACCAAGACATCTTGGGACGATAGCACGAAAACCTGGTCTGTCGAAGTCAATCGCGGCGGTAAAGGTACTAGGGTTCTGACCGTTAAGCACCTCGTTTTTGCCACTGGATTTGGCGGTCGTCCGAAAGTTCCCGACATACCTGGGAAGGTATGTAACGCTCGAACTGATCGAAACGTGACTCATGGGCGCAGGCAAGCTTGAAAGGGTCTTTCGTGCACTCGTCAGACTTCAAATCCGCGGCTGATCATATCGGTAAAAAAGCAATCGTAGTCGGCGGTTGCAATTCTGGTTGGTCTGTCATACCTTTCATATCGAACGAGGTCTAAATATTTCATCAGCACATGACATTGCTCAAGATTTCTGTAGCCACGGTGTCGACGTCACAATGTGTGTTCTTTGGTTTAGGTCATGTCATTTTCATATCTTACAGAATACTAGGTATCAACGATCGTCGACATTTGTGACCTCGCAGGAGTCAGTGGCAACAATGCTAGGCGGTAATTGTTCCCGTGGTTGTCGGTGGCTTGGCTTGACTTTCCTTGCCTAGTTGTCTACAATGACGACCTCCCCACTGAGCTGGCTGATACTTACAATACCTCGCTGCCTTGGGCAGTTGTTAGGCGGCTGCAACAACGTATGGTTCCTATGGTTGCTGAGACCACAGACAAGTATGTCGGACGATTCGAAGCTCACTTCCAGATGCATTGATCACAATCGCAGGGCCATTCTAGATGGATTGGCTCAGGTTGGCTTTAAGACCAATCTTGGCATACATGGGGCAGGTAATACGTCCCTTTACCTGGAGCGTGGTGGTGGCTACTACATTGGTGGGTGTACCTCTGATGCACAATGAAGATGTCTCAACAACTTCCAGACACCGGAGCAAGTAAATCTATTATCGACGGGGATATTAAAATCAAGAACGGTTCCGCAATCGAGTCCTTTACGGAAAATGGCCTTCGATTTGCTGATGGCACCGAGCTACAGGCAGATATAATAGTATTTGCTACGGGGTATGGTGGTATCTCACTTTGACGAGCAGGACTCATAGTTGCTTACAGTTATGGCGATCCCCGTGACTCCATGCGCGAGGTCTGTGGAGATGAGGTTGCATCAAAAATCACCAGCGTCTGGGGTCTAGACGAAGAAGGGCAAACTGCGGGAGCGTGGCGGTATTGCGGGCATGATGGTCTGTGGTTCGCAAATGGTATTTTGCGTCGTTCTTGTTATGGGCGCGTCAGTTTCATTTTGATGAACAGGTGATTTTGCTCTATCGCGCTTCCACAGCCTTCATTTGGCCATGCGTGAGTTCCTTCCTTGTAGTGTATAGAGCGTTGCTGATGATCGAAAATACAGAAATCAAAGCAATAGAAGAAGGTATTTTGAATAAGGCAGATATAGCTATTTGATGACGTTTCGAAGATCTGCTCATGATCAGGACTGGAAGACCTGTAAAATGTATGAGTACTTATTGGGTGAATTGAAGCTTGTATGAATTCAAGGGGATTTTCACTGGAGCCCTCATACATGGAAAACAACATCTTTGTCGGACTGAAATACACGTCACCAATGTGTTTTTTTTTTGCTTTTTATGTAATACAGATATATACAAGATGTTTCTGTACCCCAAACTCGCAACTTAAGCTATTCCCCCAGCACCAGTTCCAGTTCCAGTTACAGAGATAAGTCACGTTCAAGTATCACTGACATTATTCACACGGCAAGCAAGAAGCGGGCTTTCTTTCCTCTTATGTGCGACTCACAGACCCGGTGTCACCTACACCTCCGTTGACGACAGTCACTGCGGAAACGAGAAAATAGGTAGGCCGGATTAGTGTAGGGATAGACCATATATGCAGAATATAATCAGATGTCGCATATAATACAAATCTCGAAGCGGATGAACGAGTAGCGCTTCAGTGCTACCAGACCGGTCAACCGAGCGTTGGAACGTTCAGCGCTCAGGACTCAGGACTCAAGACTCACATGAGTCTGAACTTTTCAAATTCGATCGATTTCCGACAATCTCCGTGCGAGGCTGTCCGACCGATTTTTACCGGGGCTTAGCACTGAAACTTGATCAGTAGCGTGCGCTTCACAGCACGTATGAAACACAGATAACTCAACCTTGTTAGAGGTAGCCTTGTATTCCATGCATCACATACAAAGCAAAGTGACAAGGGTTAATGCAAATGAATTACCTTGCCGAGCCTCGTCTGAAGAGATGTTGAGTTTCCAACTTTAATTTTTGCTTTATGTAATACCCGACCTCTTGTAAAAATAGCCAGATTGCCTTACCTATATGCAGTACGAGCGCGAAGTCGGTACGTACCAGTGCCAGGTTGCGCCGTAACATCCCCCCAAGTGTATTTGTGTCTTCATCTTTGTATCACTAGAGCTTCCAAATTTCACCAACCTTCCTTCATTACCTTTCGTTGAGGTTGAGCCGGTCTCCTCCTTGTGCACTATTGCACGTTTCCATTCACTTCCTTTCGACACACCAATCCTTTTCTTTCAAGTCGACTTCGAGCAGCGCTCGATACACTCGTTTCTTTGCCCATCTACTACCCTTTGTTAACCACCAACCTCTTCGATCAATGGGAAAGCTCATCTGGCACGAGCTAAGTCGCTACATCTCCCTCACGGCCAGTGTTTGTACGTCGCATCCCTCTATCTGGCAAAAATCATCTCACCTGATGTTAACAGATGCAGTATGGGCCAGTTTCTGGGGTTTCTTCTTCCGCAAGTTCTTTTGGGATTTCATCGGTGGCATCTTGCGCTCTCCCGGTGGTCTGCAGTGAGTGTCATAAGACTTTGTTGTACTAATTTATATTCATGTTCCCTTGCAATAGACCGTCACCCAAATTTGCTCTGTTCATCAATGTTATTGTCAAATACCCTATTGTGCAGATAGGCACCATGGCCCTCGGGTTTACCATAATCGCGCTGGAATATCCTATCCCCATCTTCAAGGGAACTGCTATATTTAGGAGCATCGCTCTTAGAGTGGTGTTACTGATCATGCAAGCCGCCGGAACGGTTTTATTTTACCAAGTGAGTTTCCATACGTCTTGTACTGCCAGTTTTCTCATACAATACAATAGGGCACAAATGCGGCACTATGGTCATTAATTGCTGCAATGTTATACATTCGTGCATTAACATTGAGAGAGAGAATGGAGGAAGCAATAAAACACAAAGGCCGAGCGGGTCAGGCTTGACGAGTACGTTTACACGCAGTTCCAGACCTTTTCAACGGTATTATATGCTGTCAGTCTGTGACTGCGGTACTAGTACAGCACTCGATACAAGTGCACATGTCAATGACCTCGACAAAGGTTGTCTATCGAACAAAAAAAATGGCATGTTCCTGTTATAACCCGCAAGTTGTCCGCACTCATACTTTTCTGCAAGCACCCGTAGTACGCGGTCTGAGATCAACTTGAAAATAGTATGTGCTGAATATTCACCAGTCTGGGCAAATGGCCCCCCGTTGGGGTCTTGTGCTTTAACGATGCCCGCCAATACTGCGGCAGACACGAACTTCACACTTCTTCATCGTTGAGACAGGGAACGTGCGCGACGCACCTTCAAGTTATTGCTCGTACCTAATCCTTGGTTTACGAAATTCTCGGAGTGCACTCTAGAGGCAACAGCGATGATGACAGACAGAGCAACGGGAGGCATGTGATACATTCAGTATGATCAAACAATCCTATACGCTCGAACACATCTTCTACCCCAATGTCACCTGCAATGTGCCTATGTACTAATACATCATTCTTTGCGTTAACTTTCAACCTTTCAGCTGTATTTAGGTTTCAAAATCCCCGATCTATAAGCTCCAAGTTATCAGTCGTGCTCCACATAATCGCCAGGACCTACTCACCATCATGAATATCATCCTCACTATCATACTCCAGGTTGTTCTCTGCAGCACTGACCGGTAAGATCTGTGCAAAGGCAACTGACAAGAGTAAAACATAGAAACTGAGTTTGCTGATGTTAAGCACGGTCATGTTGAAGATATTCTTCGCTGTCAATGAGGTATGGTGTTTAAGATGTAAGATGAGATCGGGAGTTGTGTCCTTTAAATACCAATTCGTGAGCACAGTGACAAACAGCCAGCACGCTCGAGCGTTATTCAATTGACTTGATCATTAATCGGAGTGTGTTAGTCTTGATCAAAAAAATATTTCTAGCTGTGGTTGGTATCACCTCGTGAATGCTTTGCATCATCGAATTCGGCGCTCTGATTGCACGCACAGCAGGACTGGAGTCGACTGTACTAGTACGCATTAAGCATTGAACCGTACTACAAGCCCACAGCAAGTTTCATGTAATGGTTACGATACTCCACCTTTTAGGGTTCAAACCATGCGGATATAGCCCCGGAGAGATGTGTTAGCCATAAGTCACACCATTTCTCTCTACTTCCACCGCGCAAAATACTAATCTCCGCAAAGCGTTCTGTACCGTTCAGTCTGGGCATCAGAAGTTTTGACGTAATGATGCTCGCCGATCAAAGTGGTGCGGAATAGCTTGGGTGCATAGCGCTCATGTGTGCAATTCGGAAAATGGGCGCACCATTTGATGTTCACATACTAGAATCCTTTAAATCTTGCTTGAATCTATTCGTACGTGATGTTGATGGTATTATTTATTCAGGTGCACGAAGACAGAGGCAAATTAGCTGTTAACATGGATCCCTTCCGATGCAATCAGCACCCCATGGAAGTCGGCACTTTCACAAAATTGGCATTTCTAGCCACTTGAACACAAAATGCTTGAAATAGATATCATTCTTTATCTCATATTCATTACGAGGTTGAACGTTAACAACCACAATGAAGGCAGCATTGAGTGAGATAATTGAAACTGCAAGTGCGAAAGTGTCACCTGCCGTGACGACGTGTTGATACTGCACACACCCGAGTGGGACTTATCCGCATTCGCAAGAACACGAGTAAGATGGCTGATGGCAAGTAGGATGATACAGGATTGCAACCAAATGTTGAAACCTGTTAAATAAACCAAATGTTTCGTCTCTGGCAAAAATTCGAGGAAAATCAAGTTACACAGTGGAACGCTGGATCATGTAAACAGCTAAATGTTCAATTATGCCGTCAGCGAATTTCATAGAGTGTTAGAGCACTGACCTGGTGCAGTGTCCTTGTGAACCTGCCACCATTCTATATCGCAGCTACCGCTTGGCTCATCCTCCGAACATGCCAACTCGAAAACAAGGACGTCGTCCGTTACACAAGAAAGTTTTCTGTGCCAGTTCAAGCTGTCTTGCCCTAGCACAATGTTATCAAGTTTCGCGACCCGTGGCGGTCGGACGTTAAACGATAACGTTGAAATATCAACTGGTACAGTGGCATTGAGGCGATATAAAGCAAGCGTCGTTGGTCGGTCCATGGGCGGAACGGCGACGTGCAATTCGCAATTTTCCATGCCCCAGTCAATCGCCCTGAATTGAAATATTGTTGAAACCTTTTATTCCATCAGTCTATAGAACACATAAAGGAAGATAAACTGACAGATTGTGTAACGCGGACTTTGCGGTCATCAGGCGAGATTGTGCCGGCACGTGTCGTGCGCATCGCAAGATAGTCATTGAAAACATGACTTGGCGCAGAATGATCCACCAAGCTGACAGACATGGGGAAACTTGTGAACTCTCTCGGAATGGGAGGCGACGTCCGTGCGATCTCGTCGAACCGCATATATTGAGAAGGACGACGAAGAAGGTAAACATTCTTTCGAGTGATAAGCTTGTCTGAAGATACCAAAGAGTTTTGGAGAAAGGCAGGGGTATAGACCAGTAACAGGTTAAGGAACGTGCAGAAGATTACGATGACAAGAGGCCAATGGAGCACAGTTCGTGAAGTTTCATGCAGCTTTGCTTTGTGGTCGTCATCGCTCTCAGAGTCAATGACTTCTTGTGGTGTCGAACTCAATGGCCTGTATGACCTGGAGCGTGAGGAAAAGAACATGACGGGGAGAATGACTTCGACTTGAATTGATCATAATAGCAAGGGTAATTTGAAGAACAGTGCAGGTGACCGAGTGATCCGATTAGCCTGAGCGGCACTTCCTGAGGTATTACATAATTATATACATAGTACTATTAATTGCAGTAGTAGGTTCATCAGAAGACCACATGGTGCATCCGACCGAATGCAGTTCAACGCTCATAACTTCTTTCTGCTATCTACGGTTCTACCGCTACGGGCAACCCTGGGCGCATCAGCTCACGCAGCCATCAGACCTGCGGTAATACAATCATTCCTCCGAGCCTTGACGATATCATGCCAGTGAGATGCATCAAAATGCCTCATGGTCACTTCTACTGGTAAAGGACAGACCTAAGATGGGTGCGCCGTTACTGTGAGATCCGCCCAGCATATCGGAATGATCTTGGGCCAACTCGGCTAACCCTGGCCAATGGCAGTGCTAATCAGCAGGATTTCTGGACAACTTTGATGATCAAGAATGCACTGCGTGTCGAGCGGTGTTGGCGATTTCCGAAGGACTAAGTTGGACTCGGGGGTTCGGGATTCTTAGGAAGTATGCCTGTTGTGGACGTGATGGACTTGCATCAGCGGGAAATATACATTATTTCTTTCAGGTATGTCACTCAGATGTTTGCCGCTCTTTTTCCTTATTATCTCGATCGACTAGAGTCCTTCAAGCAATCTCTGATCAAAAAGTGATCCAGAGACTCGAGGCGGTATCGGAGATGTGTGGAAATGGCTTGCCCAATTGCTATCAGCGTCTTCCGGGTCCAAAATATCGTAGGCGCTTCTCGAGGCCGTCGCAATCGAGGTCACAACTCAGTACTCAACTTCCTAGGTCCTATTGACTGGTTTGCAAATACCATCATTATCATGATCGCTATTTGTAGAACAGCACTGGGTGATACTTTGGGCCGCTTTTGGATGGAGACACAACAACTTTGACCCGACGATGCGCAGTATTTTGACTTGGCCCGTGGAAGCAGGCACCCTTTATGTGACACCTATGTCCGCTACTTTTTCATGTATACTGCAGTGAGGTCTTTGGCACAGACTCACTGACTATTCACACAACGCTTTTAGAACGTTTATTGACGTCGTGTTTAGAACCTATTTTTGCTTCGCCCTCGTCATCCTCAACAATATTAATGAAATTGCTCACGACATCCAAGTCTATTTGTATTGAAGTGGCCCGCGCACTATTTGTCGGTTTTGCACGTCCCGAAGTCTTGTCATGGGGGACCATAAACTGCGGGCATGTCGTTTATTTTTGGTTTCATGGCCCCTAAGGCCTGATGCATGATGGCCCGTGGTGATCATCTATTACGGCGTACGTGCTTCACATTGGACATTTCATAGCGGTATTACACTTGCTGTGTGTTGAGACTAGAACACCCGAAGACTCAACGATCAAACAGAAAACAGACAACTTTCAATAGCATTCCCATAGCAAATGAATGGATATCGATAGAATATAGCAGTAAATTAACGAAAGTGAGTTATCGATGATGTTACATAGCGAGAGTGTGGGGATAAAGGATAAGCGCTGACAATACAAATGGGACGAGAGGAAACCAATAAACCAAGCATAAGATATTATACACATTCACCTTCTTACCACCGGCGTGCCCCCTTTTTGGGAGTTACGCGAGTGGATTTTCTCGGTGGAGCGTGGGCTGCAGTACTGGCAGCTTCTTCCACATCCTCGTCGTCCTCTAGATGCTCCTCCTCCACGATCATCCCTGCCGCTGCTCCCTGCAACATTGCTGCCACTGGTGATGAAGCACCTCCCCGCCCACGCCCTTTTGCAGCTCTGGTGCGTGTAGTGGGGCCATTCGACTCCGGTACCCGCCTTGACTTTTTTGGGATCCCATTCTCGACCTCCATATCCGGCAGAGGGCTTTGTGGGTCTAACTTGCGCTTCCCGTTTCGCACGCCATTCGCAATTTCTTGTGCATGTTGAACCATCTGCCAACTCGGCTCCATGAGTCCTTGATCGTTCTCAGCAGCTTGGGCGAGTGCTTGCGCGCGCTGCTGGAGGGGCGCACGGGCGGATTGTTGGCGCAGGTGAAGTTTGTCGAGGCCCTCAGTTACAGTGGGTTGGCTTGAGCCATCGGTCATCTCTGTGTCTTCAGAGTCATGCGAGGAGACGCAGGAAGCACCGTCTTGGATAGATGTGACGGAAGAGTCAGTGATAGCGCGAGGTTGAAGATGGGCCAGT